AAGCCCCGGTGACCCGGATCATCTCCGGCATTGTTCTGGAACATTCTATGATCACGTGATTCTATCGGCAATCTGTTTGGTTTCCTTATTGCCGGACTCTACATGTATATAGCTGACCCTAAGATGGGGACATCCCTTTCCCCCGGCTTTAATCACAACTAGGTTATTGGAGCATCTTGCGCGAGCACGCGCATCCCCTGACACTGGGATAGGACCGCACTGGTCGAAGTTAGAGGCGTCGCACTCGAGTTTGAAGCAACCTGTATCGGTGGGGAAGGCGAGGACTGGGGCGGAGGTGACGGTGTCTTTGAGGGCCTGGAAAGCATGGTCTTCGCCTGGTCCCCAGGTCCATGCCTTGGTTTTGTGGGTTAGCACGTGGAGGGGATGGGCTGTCTCGGAAAAGTCTTTGATGAACCGGCAGTAGAAGTTGACAAACCCCAAGAAGGACTGTACTTCTTTGACCTTGGTTGGGGTTGGCCAATCAAGAACTCCACGGACTTTCACGGGATCCATCGCAACGCTTCCCTTGGAGATGATGAGGCTGAGGTACTCGATCTGCTTCCGCTCGAACTTACACTTTTCCAGCTTCAAGAAGAGTCTCTGCTTCCGCAGCATCTCCAGGACCTCTTGGACGACCCTCCTGTGTTCCTCCAGGGTGGCAGTGAAGATCAAGATGTCGTCCATGTAGCAGATGATGACCTCTTGGTCAATGAAGTCTTGGAGAATGTCGTTCATCATTGTTTGGAATGTCGCTGGGGAGTTACACAGGCCGAAGAACATAACAGTAGGCTCGAATAATCCCTGGTTGGTCGAAAACACTGCCTTCCACTCATCGCCATCCTTGATGTGGACATTGTTGAATCCCCAGCGCAGATCTAGCACTGAGAAGTACTTGGCATTTCGGAGGCATGCGAGGACGTCCAAAATGAGTGGGAGGGGGTATGAGTTTTTGACCGTGATCTCGTTGAGCTTCCGGTAGTCCTGGACTAGGTGCAACGATCCATCCTTCTTCTTGACAAAGAAGACTGGGGCTCCCATCGGGGATTTGGACGCCCGTATGTGCCCATTCCGCAGGTTCTCATGCAGGAACTTGTCTAGTTCTTTCTGCGCTGGTCATGACAGGGGGAAGGTCCTCCCTCTCAGGAGCTTGGCATCCAGCACCAGGTCTATTGCATGGTCCCAGGGCCTCTGGGGGGGCAGCTGGTTGAAGGCCTCTTTTGAGAACACATCCCGGAAGTCCTGGTACTGTACTGGGACTAGCACCTTGAACAGTGCCGGCTCCGCTTCTGGTTTGCGGGCTTCCTGGGCCATCTGCTGAGATGGCATCGTGGTTGCTCTTAGTTCGTGTCCCCAACCTGGGGGGATGATAGCGGCGTAAATCCTGTTGCCAGGTTCCACCACATGGTCTGGGTTGGCATGTCCCCGCACCAACTGGCAGGAGGACGGGCAGTGGGACATACTGACCTTTTGCTGTGTCCAGTCCACTTCTGGGTTGTGGTGCAGCAACCATGAGTGTCCTATGATGAGGGACTGCCACCCGAGGTTCGCAACAGCGAAGTGGGCCTGCTCTGTGTGCTGTCCGAATGTCAAGAGGGCCTCTAGTTCCTCAGTTATGGCCCCGTTCTCGTTTGGGGTCCCATCAACGTTGCGGACAGGAATGGGTTGAGGGAGCGGGGTCATCTCGAGCCGGTGTTTTCTGACAAACTCGGGGCTTACAACATTCCCGGTGGCTCCTGAGTCCAGGAGGGCCAACACAGAGACAGTGGCGAGGGAGGTCAAGGCAGTCAGCTTTACAGCTAGGTTGAGGGATCTGGGGGGTTGCTTGGACAGCACGTAGATGGCAGGTGGCGGGACCGCTACTTCCAGCGCCGCACTTGGTGTTTCTCTGCCCTTACTGATTGAGGATGCAACTTTCCTCTTTTTCTTGGCGATGACTTGGTGGAATTTGACGTTGGCACTGGCTTAGGCACATCACAGTATCTACACGAGCTAGTACTATCGCCTACAGGTGGCCGGGGCATGTCCTTCACTGGTTGCCTTCCTGAAAATCCTCTTGGGCTTCTACCTCCTGCCCTTCTCCTCCATCTGTCTCCATCCCCAGTTCATCCACTAGCTGCCTTCTCAGCCCCTCCATGAGTGCCCTGAGGTCCTCTGGGTGCATCCATCTGGCTCGGTGGGTTTTCGGCTGTGGGCAGTCTTGCGTGATGTGCCCTGGTGCATTGCAATTGTAGCAGAAGCCATTTCATCTTTGGTCTATCCTCAAGCAGTCAAGGTCCATGGGTTGTGGCCCTCCCCCTGCTGCAGGGCAGGCTGCAGGAGGCAGCGGTGCAGCGGCAGGTGGGGGATGTGGCAGTGCAGGGGCTGGGCGGGCTTGCAGGAAGGTGGTGGGGAGTGGGGATCTTGCAGGTGGGAGTTGGGGCCTGACTGGGGGCAAGCGGGGCTGGGTTGCCTGGAAGCATCGCCACTGGTTGTCGAGGAGGGTGGCCTCACATTTCCACTCGGCCCAGGTAGTTGGCATGTGGTAGATGCGGTAGATGCTCTCTCAGAGCCAGGAGTTGATCGCCTGTTTGAAGCAGTCTACTAGCCCTACATCTCCTAGCCGCAAGGTGGGGCCAAGGATCTCAAACTCTTGGATGACCTTGTCCACAGAGTCGGTGCCTTGTCACAAGGTGGCTTTGCGGTTCAGGTCTTGGAACATGGTGTCAAGTTCTGTGTTGAACTTATCCATGGTAAGCCTGGGGGAGCCCATTGTCAGCAGCGTGATGGTGCACTGCGTCGCCCATGCTCCTGCAGTCCCTCGCTTCATGTAGGACAGGACAAAGAGGATCTGGGAGAGGGCGTTGGGGAACTCCACCGCCTGAACATGGAAGTAGATGCCACATTCAGCCTTGAAGTGGTCAAGGTCTTCAGTTGCTCCAGAGAAGGGGGTGGGGGGGCAACTTTAGGTGGTTTGGGTCTGGGGGCGGGTACAGGTGCCAGTGCGGGTGCTGGCACCGGTGCGGGCGCAGCTGGGGGTTGGTTCTGGGCTTGGCTCTCTATGATGGCCTGGAGCTCTTGGAATCAGGACAGCAGCTTGTCATACTGCTCTTCGGTCACCATAGTGGGAGAGATGGGGGAGGCAGGGGAAATGAGGTTAAAGCCTTCTTCTGCTGTCAGGGACAGCTCCAAAAGCAGCAAGGTCCCAGCGTGAGGGACTCAATGGGACAGGTGTCAGCTATGCATAGCGGTGGTCCCATCGCAGGGTGAGCATCCCCAACCACTTAGTCTGAAGTGGGAAGTTGAGAAGAAGGCTGCTTCTTCTGTTCCCACCCCAGGCGCTATTATATACATGCGGTTGGGGTCACATGGGGGAGCCACATCATCTCCGCACACAGCCACACCTCCCTGGGTATCTGTCAGGGCACGCCCTGACTTGCCCCGCCTGACCCCCACTCCGCTTCCCCACTCCGCACCGCTTCTCCCTCCTTTCCCTTTTCCTTTCTTCTTTCTTTCTTTCTTTCTCTCTCTTACATGGACCACCTTTCCCACTGTTCAATGTATCACCGGCATGCATGCCCATTTCCCCTCCTGTATCTTACCATCCCTATATCGCCACCACTGCTGCCACACTCGCCCCGCACCCACAGCAGACCCTCTCGGGATCTCCCACAGAGGCACCCAGAGAGCCATGGCTGTGTGCAAGGGTGATGTGGCGTGCCCCACATGATCGATCCTGCATGTATATAATAACAGCTGGAGTGGGAACTGAAGAAGTAGCCTTCTTCTCACATTCCCACTTCAGGCAAGTAGTGTAGCCTTCCCTTTTAATGATAACTCACATTCCCACTTCAGACTAAGTGGTCAGGGATGCTCACCCCACAATGGGATGGCCACTATGCATAGCCACTATTCGTCCCACCGAGTCCCGCATGCCGGGACCTTGCCGCTTTCAGAGCTGTCCCTGACAGTATCTCCATGGGAGATCCCGGAGGTGTGCCACTCTGTAGGCGGGAATGTGCATGGCAGGTAAGCAGGGTTAGGTGTGTAATGATACATAGAGAAAGGGAAGTTGACCATGGAATAGAAATAGAGAGAAAGAAGAAAAGGGGAAAGGGGGAACGGGGAGTGATAGTGTTAGACACTGGTCCGGGGTCGGCACCGAAGGTCGCCGTTGCGGGCCGCTATAGGCCACGATGGCCATGATGCCGCGAACAAGGCCCGAGGGTAGGGCATTCGGCCTCAGCAACTCTAAAGGGAGTGCTGTGCCCCCTAGCTGTCTCTTGGCCCTCATTTCAGACTCACTGGGGTTGCCTTGTTGGGGTCAGGACTTAGGGGTCGTGGTCACATTGATATTAGAGCTAAGGTACAATAAAGTAACATACAGGATATATATATGGGGAAAGAATGAATGGAGGCGGACCCGGGCCGAAGTCCAAAGGGTCCGGAAGCAAAAGAGGACAAAGAGCGGGGTTGGCCGCACAGTGGCCGGCAATGACCGAAGGTCAAAACAAACAATAACAGATAAATAAAGGAAGGAGTGTAGGGCCGCGATAGCGGCAATGGTATCATAGCAGCACTGGACTCGGAGTTGGGCCGGAGTCGGGCACGGGAATGGTAGCGGCCCTGTAGGGGCCAAGTGGGCAGGGTAGAGGAGTCACGCTGGGCACGGTGCCAGAGGCGGACTCGGGGCGGGAAGGTTGGTGTGGCTGTGGGGAAGTCGGCCAGGTGCAGGGGAGCCTAGGGGCAAGCGGGGGAGTGAGCAGGGAGTCCTCATGGAGGATAGGGCTGAGGTCGGGGCTCACGCTCACGCTCGCATAGCGGGAACGGGAACGGGCGGCATCGGGACAGGCCGGGAATGGGCCGGAATGCATGGCCGTGACAGATAGCAGGGGAAGCGGAGTAGGGTGGTGTGGCGGTGCGGCAGCGCGGGGTCAGGTGGGGTGTACCAGATGGTGGTGGTGGTGGTGGTTATATGTGGGGTGCATTAGGACCGGTATTTCATCACATGCAATGACTATAGCATGTCATCCAGTCAGCAGGGTGAGTAATCTTGCTTTCACATTAATAGTTTAATTTTCCCACAGGTAAACATAAGAAATTTATTCCCCTTTGGCGATGTATCTAGAGGTGAACCCAAAGTTCAAACATTTACTTTTGAAAGCCTGCATTAAACAAGAACATGTGTGTGTTCTGGAGCGGGAATGATGGAATTTCCCAAAAATGGAAACACCGGATGTTTAAAGAATTCAACATATGGAACGGTGCAAATGTGATGGTTGTTCTTGGTATCCAGGAGAATTGATAGCAAAAATTCCAACATCCCTTGGCATCAATCCCTTACAAATGTAAAGAAGAAGAGAAACAACCTTCATCCCACAAAGTCAAGTTTTCCGTGAACTATGATATAATTCATTCAGTTAACCCAAATTCAATTCAAAGAACTTGAGAGGTTGGTGAATCAAATTGATAAATGTAATTCAGTTTGACTCCAGAACAGCCATTTCAATTGATTTAAATAATTTAATATAGCATATTTTTATCCGTCCACTGGATGCTATCCACTTATGGCCTTCTTCGGTTTCCTCCAACCACACACCCAATACAGCCGATTCCAAAAAAATCGGCCATTTTGATGTAAACGAGTCAGACGGGCGAAAAATCTAGAAAAAGAGATGGAAATGTATCACTTTTAGTTTTACATGTGACCAAATCCAATCGAAAAATCACACAGCCACTTGGAGCCACCAAACACCGGACATTGCAACCCCAAAGCCAGCGTGACGCGTGACCGGTTGTTGGTCGTGCCAGTACAGTATCCCACTCCATCCCCAAGTCCCCAAACGCCATCATCATCCTTAACAACCCAGGGAGGATTCGATGCCCTGGGAAAATCTTCGTTTCATGGAGTCAAGGATGCATTACAAGCACTCATTATTGCTACAGGGCTTGTCGGGACCATAGCCAGCGCGTCATATTATGGGTTAAGAAGGCAACAGGCATCCAAACTGTAAGCAACAACGTATTTCGCAGATGCCCATATATTTCTCATTTTTTCCCCAGATGCCAGAATTCTCTAAATTTATGCGTCAACGTATCTCAGCATCGGTTCCGTCTTCTTATCAAGCCTGTCTTGAATCTGCCTCTCAATAGCCGTACGTTTCCAGAGATGAATACGAGGCTACCCGACCGAGCGGGAATCCAAGGGTAGACGCAGTGGAAGATCGCCTGCGCCAGGCATATCTGGATGGAGGTTTGACACGGTGGGGCGACCAGATCTGGAAGGAGCTAGAGGGGGAGTTGGAGGAGAGCAATAGGTCAAAGGGCTAATGTGGTCTGTGGTGGTGAGTTAATGCTAACTCACCCTGCCCACTCATCCTTTGTATGGCTTATTCCATAGTCCATAGAATTTTTCTTTTTTGCACGTACCAATAATCCCTAGCAATGATTGTCTAGTAGTTGCAATTTTTGACGCCAAACTTGCGCACGTCCCTCCGCATATTCTGAGATCTTTGGCCATTAGCTGCTATTCTGAATATTTCATCTAGGTCTCATCACCGACAGCTTGGCATCGTGTTCCAGTGCATGGATATGGAGGCGTGATTACTGAAAGGCTTTAGCGGCACTTGAACGCTTGCGTGATCCCCAATGGAAGGAAAGGCAATCTGCGCTGCGTTCAGTTATATCCCGGGACTTTTCAAGGCCTGAGCGTGTCGATTCGACCTCGGGAAAGTCAGGCCTACTGGACTTCAATGAAAGCGCGCCAATAACCAGTAATGAGTATTTCCGCATAGGGCAGCGTCAAGTGTCTGGACATCACCCAGAAGGGTTGTGACACATCACATACAAGGCTATGATAATGTGTGTCCTGGAGTAGGAGTGGACAGTGATGCTAGCCATCTTCTGTATCGCTTAGAACGGTTTTCGCTGCCACAGTCTCCCCACCTCTCAGATGCTGAATCATGGAATACAAATTTATCCCCTCCTGGCCTCGGCCCTTCATCCATTCGATCCTGCATAAACCACTGGCCGTCGCACTCGCTAGGAGAGGCGCAGAATGCAGTCCCCCACCAGAATGCCACGCTACACGATGGACACCGACTTCAGCAGGCCAGGCACCGGACCCGTCATAACTGCGCCCTTCCTGAGGAGCCACTGCACCGGATTCACCTTTACGCCTCTTTGCGTTCTTCGTTGTCTGTGAGCGTTCAGTCAATTCCTGTGTGCGGTGTGTCAATAGCAATGTCCACGATTCGAGTTTGCAAATCTTCACCATTGGCAAGAAATTATCAAGCATCCGGTACTGATTTGTGTGGGAGTTATAGTCCATTTGATAGGCTTTCCATTGGAGAATCGGCTGCGGTGATTGCGAATGCTATCAATACCAAACCACGTTAAAAAAATCACGTACCGCGGACGAGCCTGCTTTCCTAACGTTTTTCATCAGGCAACTTGTCATTACAGAGCCATCCGAACAGGCAACAGCAACGTATGGGTGAAAATCGGATGTCGAAATGTCCTGCGAAGATGTGATATGTGGTGATGAGTGAGCGTGAATATTAGGGAATCATACCCATATAGGGCCATTGGCAATGAGAGTTGTTGTACCATGACCGATGAGTTGCGGAAATAGCCCATAATATTTCAGGAGGTTATCATGCTCGGGTACAAGCACTCCCCCGATGTATGGGGCGTGCTCGACACAGTACGGGATATCTGAGCGTGAAAACTATCAGTATCACAACCTCAAACACCTGGAATAACTCCAGCTAGCCTCTGGCCCGGAAAGCCGGATAAGCTTGGTTCTCCCTGGTATCGGCAAAGTACATAGTTCCAGAGTAAGAGGTGGCCAATATCGTTGTGGGATCAGAAGTGATATCTCCCTTCAGTTCTCCGTCAGAGAATATGTATGGCGGCTGGCGCGCCCAGGTGACGGATCGAATTGCGATCTGGGCTGCAGGAATGACCGCATACGGGAGAGGATCGATGACTGAAAGTTTCGGTTAGTCCAACAAAATTCCGAGTGCTCTCTCACATTCGTACCTGTCTCCCCTGGTTTCCGGTGTAGCAGTGCCTCTTTGATATGATATACCAAAATGGTGCCTAGGTATTGCTTGAATAAGCCAACTGAACGAAGTGGTATGCAACATCATGCAAAGCACTTGCCATTTGAACATCCAACAGCAAGTAGTTCGCTATTTGCCCAACTCAGACACGTACAAGCCGAGTTACTGGGGAAAACCTTGAAAATTGCCTTGGTATGCACTACAAATAAGCCTGAGCGGCAGTATGGCTTCAAAACGAGGAGACCACTGACTATATATCGGATCTTCAACATCCTGACCCAAGTTACTTCTCAAATGGTGGGGATCAGGAACGGAGTGGATCGAGAGCGAGCCATCCGTGAATACTCCTGCAAGAATACCGAGTTTTGGAACTGCTGATTCAATGTTGGCCTACAAAAAATGAAGACAGCTAACTAAATTAGGGACTGGGTAACTCACTGAATCATGAGAAGGCAAAGGGCACCATTTTATTTCGAATGAGGGTCCATCATCAACACAGAGTATCATTTCACATTTAACGTTTGCATCGAGGCCGGATGCCTCCTCTACCGGTGGACCGTAACTCCATAACTGTAGGCACGCCGGCCTTGAGAATGCCGTGTCTGGTGAAGGGGACAGAGAAAATTTTATGTTGGGGAAAGTTGCAACGGCGAGATATCTACGATAGTTTCTCTCTGAAGAACGTAGGTAGTGTGTTAAAGTGTGTAGGGGTTTCTCATGTACCTTTCAACAATCCATCCGTCATTGGGCACCAATCAAGTCCCCATGCAGGCCCCCCAACATTGAAAACTTGGGCGGTCGATGTGCTGAGATACTTCGCTGCATAATGTTGTTACGTCCCAGATTCGTCGAGGCGATGGATGAGCATAATCACCTAGGGAAACAGATTCGAATGTCCCTAGAGACACGATGGTTTGATCTCCGAGCGGACCAAAGAAGCAGTCAACAGGTGGAGGTGGTGTCCAGTTCTCGCTCTCATCGTCAGCAGTCGGAGACGGCAGATATTTACGCCCATCGCTGAAAAACGATCAATTATTCACCACGCAAACCAAGATGCAGAAAAGTTTCGAGCTGTGCGGGACACTTATACACACATTGTGGTCAATATTTCAAGATCGGAGGCACTACTAGAGACGCCAACGAGTGTCAGTGGCCTAGGGTGAGTGCCATCTGGTTGATACAATCGTTCTTTGTACCATCCAATATCTTCCATCAGCTCCCAGGCAGGCCCTGGAAAGAGGCTGCGCGACCAAGCTTGGGTGAGTTTGTGTACATGTCTGTAGTCAATTGATGGCATGGTCGATAGGGTCGGTTCCCAAAATGGTCGAGGCTCGGTTGTCAAGCGGAAGGAAGTCCCAGGAGGCACAAACGCGGGATAGGGCCGGACTCTTACAGAATTGTCGCGAGACGCAGATGTAGTTTTATTGCCAGCACGAGATTTAGACGCATGGATAATGGGCACAGAGTTGAGCCATTCACTTGTCGGACGTTGAGTCTTCTCTCGCTGTTTTTTGGCCAACTCGCTGCTTGAAGCTAAAGTACGACGAGATCTCCCCAAAGGGATATTTCCAGACGTCGACTCTCCTGCAGAAGGTTCCAGAAGGTCAAGGTTTTGACCAGAATTACTACTATCATCATCAACAAGCATGTCCTCAAAACCAAGATCTCCTTCCCCCTTTTCGCCTTCTGGGTCAAATTCGCTCTCACTTGCCTGATCTTCGATCAGAGGTCGCCCTGAGCGGGTGACCGATGGCCCAGCACTTCCCTCGTGAGCCGCACCCCAATCTAGCATATAGCCGTCATCTTCCTCTAATTCAATAAACGAAGCGTAGGAGGGCTTTGTCTTCCGCTGGCGCAGCTGAACCATGGCGAGCCGACGGGATTTTTGTGATCACGAGACCTGACACCGAATTTTTTCTTTCAAGTCAAATGAAAGTTCAACTTCGGGCGTTGTTGGAGACGATTTTCATAGAGCAGTGGTCAGGAGTTCATCAATGCAATACTGCCTCTCTTAAGTATGGCGATGCGCTCCCAAAAGGATCACGAGCCTTTTCGTTGACACTGGCCTCCCTGAGTCGCGTTAATCCCCAAGCTCCATCTGTACCTACGGATTCTGCACCAGGTGAGCCACTCCGGACTATGACTTTCTGATATTTTTGACATCAATGCAGATCTGCCCAAGTCATCATGCGTTGCGGGAACAGTCATGCCCGGTCTTAATTACTTGAAGGATCAACCGCCCGTCGTGGCAGTAGGAGATAAAGAATATCCTTCATGGCTTTGGACGATCCTCCAGCCTAAATTATATCCTCCGGAAGAACAGGGGCCTGGGGGTGCGGCCCAGAAAGCGAGGCATAAGAAAGAACGAAAGGAGAAGATTCGAGCGCAAAATTTCATGAGAACCCAATAAACATAGATCCATTCTTGCATACATATAATTATGTGGTGTTTTCTGCACCTGTCTGCGCTGTGCGTGTCCAGGTAGCGTTGGGGCTTATGGCGTTTTGGGTTTATTCCCGAATTGCTCGTCCGCTGCTCGTTGGACGGGTCGTATTGAATATGTACATCTCATGCGGAGGCGCCGCACCATACGCTGTCTATATTATTGTCCCATCGGAGCAAAGTGGCTCCCTGTTGCCCGCTCTCATCAAGATGCCTACCGAATGATGATGGATGTCAGTGGCGCAAATCGTAATGTTTATTTTTCCATGGATCCTTTTAGGCCCGCAATACTTAAGCTCTCGTCTCTGTCCGTGGTCTTCCTAGTCCGTGCTATCTCAAGCGGAAAGGGCAAACATATATATAGAAAAACATTCAAGATGACTGTTGAGTCTTCAACATGGGATATACGGAAATCGCTTTACTTGATCACGGAAGATTTTTGTTTGATTGTTGCTGATGGTTTTGTGCCTCCAAATCCAAGTCTTCTTCAGTACGTAGTCGTGCTCTGGGAAGCTAACCTCTTGACACTCGCATTAATGGCTTGACAATTTGTCGACTTCTCACTCTACCCAAACATACGCAATAGCGACGACTCCACGTTATACAGACTGCCTGTGTCTAGATATCATGAAGTCATAGCATGTTACGGGCCAAGTACTCTAGGGTATATTTCCCCCGCACTCAGGCTGCATTAGTTGATCATGGACCGTACCAGGGCGATTGGAAAAAGGAGTCGGTGGAGGTCAGTGATTTGTGGTGTGCATGGAAACATGGACAGAAAGAATATTGATAGTGGAAGGCACGATATTTCAGACAAAGCGAGTATTCGCGATATTAGAACCGTAAGTTACGATCATGAGGGAACAGTTGGGCCAGGAAACCGCGCATGAACGATTGCAAACCGAAATCAGCTTGCTCCAGTGTTCTCGAACCGATGTCTCGACCTTGCACTGACCAAGAATGAGGGTTCGAGATTGGAAAGAGCGGGTACGTAAATTGTCGAGTGAGGCCCTGTAGTCCAGGGTTCAACAGCAACCAGCTCGCGATGAAAGTTTTCCTCATGAATGGGAGTGCCTAGAAGAGCGACGTGCCTTTTCTTCAATTGTTCGGAGAGTATTTCCTAAAACCCGGACATCATCAGCCTGCAAGATTCTCGGATCAGTCCCCTCTCGCTCATCCATGAGCTCAGGACAGAGCTGCGCAGATGGATAATACACCTCCCCGACTTTCCCACCCCAATCAAAATCGATCAACATCACCCGGTCTCCACTGCAAAGGATGTTTGGTTCACGGAGGTCCCCATGAACAAAGCCGGCGGAATGAAAAGATTGCATGAGTTTGCGCAATTCATTCACCCACTTCTGGCAGTGATCCGCCAGGTTGTCAGAATCACCGGGGTGTACAGTGGGGGTGATATACTCCATGGCAATGGCGAACCAACCTCCCGGTAGTGGCTCATAGCCGAGAATTTCCGGTGCATGCCCTTCTTTTGCACACAGAGCATGCAGTGCAATTGAGTACCGACGCGCAAATTTCACAATGATTTGCTCCTTGCTGAAAGTTGTGGTTTCAGCAATGTACAGATGACGAATATCATGTACATCTGGATGAAGCCCGAGAATCCGGAAACGGATTTTCCCACTCTTTTCATACCTGGGTAGCTCTGAAACATATGGGAGTTTGTAGTAACCATGTTCGAGCTTGGGCCGAGTGTGCATCAAGCGTTTCGCATCCGAGTCTATGCAACTCAATAGGTCCAATGCAGCAGAAAAGGCAGCATAGAGTGCCTTCTGGTCACGACCTTCACATGCAGACGGAATGCATGATAGCGTGGGGGTCAGACTGACAATGTGCCACTGACCGAGGAAAATTATGGCATAGAAGGTAATATATGGGCCTGGCATAATGTACATCATACTGGACCGTTCCAAAGACATTCAACTTACCAATAACAGTTAGACCAAGGCATGGGACCCTCCAACCTTTAAATAATGCTGGCCCGCTGGGACGGTTCATTGCATCCTTATGCGAATGTGCGATACGAGAGGCAAGCGTAACTGTAGGCATCAAAGCAATGTCACAGAGCTCATTTCTGAACTCAACAATGCAAGATGCTGCTCCATGCGGTCCATCATAGTGACCGCTTGTGCAGGAATCACCAAAGTCAAGCCCAGGGTGATCGCGAAGAGAGAGAATTTCGTTCAAAGCAAACAGGCCCTTCCCCATCCTCTTCGTCTCATGATGATAGAATTGGGTCATATTCTGCGCGAAAGAATCAACAGCCAGTTCGAGGTTCTGTCGCTCCATATCCAGGCGATCTGGATAATGATTGAAGATGTCCTGGAAGCGACCAAAGCCGTGGTACAAGAGGGAAATTGGGGGAACTGAATCTGGCATAGGACGGTCATCCAAGATCCTTTGATTCGACTCTCTTTGCAATGACATGTACTCGACCTGCTTGCCTATTAACGAAGGGGCAGTTTTGGCGAGTTTGGATTCCAGCGCAAGGTCGACATCATCAGAAAGACAAGGTCGCTTGCCAGGGGCTAGGGCTATCGCTAAAGAGATGAACGGCGTTCAAGCAGGTAAGGGGTGAACACGAAATTTAGTCGATCAATTGCACTCACTAGTAAGTGGAGGTTGAGCAATAATGTGTAGATGTTTCCTCAGAGGTGGAGGCGAGAAAATGTCCGACAATCTTTGCAGAGGGAATAGCTTTTTCTCATCTTCAAGTTCCGCGTTCTTCACATTCTCCTTGACATTGCCGTCGTATGGGATGGAAACCATCCAGAGTGCGAGCTGGTCTGCGTCAATGTGATCGAGTGCGGGCTTTTTCTCCTCCTTGATAGCATCCTTGAGGTTGGCAACAGACTTGTCACTCGCAATTTCGACCGGAAACATGCGGTTAACGTCATCGCCACGCATGATACACCACAGTTCGAAGATAGGAGGATCTAATTGTGGGACTGAAAATGAGAAAATGAGTCACAGACAGAGGAAGCTCCGTGGCTATTACCATCATGCGGAAGCTGAACGACAATGTGTAGGTTTTGATCATCCGGTTCATCCGAGAAAACAGTGGACAATTTCTTCACAGGCCATAGTGCCTGCTTGTCTTCAAGTTCAACCTTCCCCTCGAAACTGTGGTCGACTGGGATGGAAACCTTCCAGAGTCTGAGGGAGGGTGCGCCAATGTGATCGAGTGCGGGCTTCTTCTTCTCCATGATGGCTTTCTTTAGTTTATAAACATTGTCCGCATTCGAAATTTCCACTCGGAACACTCGGCCAACATCATCGCCAAGTACCCAGCAGTTGAGATTGAGCATGATAGACATGAGTTATTGGCGAGTTCGCGGTGAAAGATAGCCGCACTGCCACGTGACAACGGAGGGCAATAACACCACCGCCGCTGGACCCTGCATCACGCAGACTTGTGCCAAGCGCAAAAGTTAAATCGGTTGAAGCTTCATGATTGAACGACCATTGGCGCGCGCGGCCATGCTGAAGGATTGACATGACCCGGCCGCCGACGCAATTATATAACGGGTGTAGCGTAATACCCATTTGGCTCCTCTCAACGGGGAGCCAAGACTCTTGCGGAAGAGGTACTTAGAACCTCCGGATCATTCCACGAAAAGGCGTATAAACCCTGACGAGAAGAAGCGCCGAGAGAAAGTCGGAGGGTTGGGTTGTGGGATGAGGCGATTGGGGAGATATATAAAGGGTCAGGAAGAAGGCGGGCGGCGAGTCCCCGCTTGTATGTGACTGGATGAGTGAGGCAATCTGGGGTTAGCACCGAAGAGTTGACCGCGCCAAGGTTGTAACCTGTTGAATTGGTGTAGGGCTACGTGTCCTATGAATTTATGCATACGCAAGCGGCCAAAAGCATTAGGAGCGGTATTTCGTCACATGCAATGACTACAGCGTGTCTAGTCAGCAGGGTGAGTAATCTTGCTTTCACATTAATAGTTTAATTTTCCCACAGGTAAACGTAAGAAATTTATTCCCCTTTGGCGACGTATCTAGAGGCGAACCTAAAGTTCAAACATCTATGAAGCAGCATTAACGAGAACACGTGTGTTCCGGAGCGGGAATGATGGAATTTCCCAAAAATGGAAACACCGGATGTTTAAGAACTCTGGCAATTCAACATATGGAAGGTTGCAAATGTGATGGTTGTTCTTGGTATCCAGGAGAATTGATAGCAAAAATTCCAACATCCCTTGGCATCAATCCCCTTACAAATGTAAAGAAGAAGAGAAACAACCTTCATCCCGTAAAGTCAAGTTTTCCGTATAATTCATTCAGTTGATCCGAATTCAATTCAAAGAACTTGAGAGGTTGGTGAATCAAATCGATAAATGTAATTCAGTTTGACTCCGGAACAGCCCCCACTCTACATTTCAATTAATTTAAATAATTCAATATAGCCCTAACATTTTTATCCGTCCGCTGGATGCTATCCACTTATGGCCTTCTTCGGTTTCCTCCAACCACACATCCAATAAATACCTTCCTTGACTCTCACTTCTCCCCTTCACATCGTTCTCTTCTCTCATACCTTGCTTTGGCTACAAGTGACATCAGCGCTCACGAGGACTACCATAGTCACTACCACGATTACGACGTCGGCCAACAACCGTTGGCCACGTCCACAGTGTTGCTGCTCTCATCTCTCTCATTACCGTGAATATTGACCCTTTACCAATGCCTCATCCAAAATATCAAGGCTACCTCGGGATCTCAGAGCTGATGCCAGCGGTGATGAGCATAACGGCAAGTTCGACTTCGATGACAACCCCCACCTCCACTCTTCACGTCCCCCTGCATTCAGCCTCTTCCTCCAGACCTTTTACACCCGTTAGTCCCTCCAATCTCGAACAGCTCACACTACGCTCTCAACAAGTCCGGGTTGAAGACACCGATTATTTCCAAGAGACCCTCCATCATCATCATCACCACCACCATCTCCACAGTGGTTCCTCTGCTCACATCGGATCTGATCCTCTTGATACTCCTGCTCTTGGATTTGCATCTGTGCCTGAAGGTGAATCTCGTACGACGGCCACATGCGCAGGGATATCCTCGCCTGGCCTATCCTACTTTCCCCGATCACCCTCACCTGACGCTCATGCGCACCCACACGCGGCGAAAGAGCAGTCACAATTGGGTGACCAAAGCACTAAACTTGAACGCCCCCCATCCTCACCCCCATTCTATTCGGCCTCCGTGCCGGCTCCGGAATCATCTCCTGTAGCAACCGTTGATGTTGGAGATCACAATGACGCTAATATTAGTGCTTCTCTCTTATTCGCTTTTGACGAAGAAGAGGATCGAAGAGCTGAAATTCGGGCCGATGCTGAAAGACCTTTCCCTGTTGACCGCGTCGTGTTGAAGGATGTCGTACAGAGTGTCTTGGGCGTCCAAGTGGCATATATCCAGTTCTTGAGTTCAGGCGAGTTGTTTTTCTTCGTATTTCCGTGTTTGGGCATTGCTCTATTTCTGGCCCCGGCATCATCGGGCAGCCGTTTGGCGCTCGGTCAACACTCTCAGCGTCGGACTTGGACCACGTTGTTTGAATAGATGCGAGCCGTCATTCATTTCACTCCTTCCATTGAACAACTCTAAATCTGGCTAATCGTTGCGAAGCTTGCTATCCGTTCTTCTTCCTTTCCTATCCTTCGTTCCTTATCTGCCCACAACCTACGTTCGCTTATCTTGCCCATACTTCCCATTTTAACTCTAATCTTCAATAGGAACTTTCCACAAAGCGTTCCTCGTTCACCTGACGGACCGTCGGGAACTAGTGGCCCGTCTAGCCCGCCGCTTCATGCCAAAACTCAAGGTCGAATCAGAAGTGGCAACCATCAACTATATTCACACCCATGCGCCTCTCGTACCGGTTCCAACGATTTTTCATTACGATTCGAATCCGTATAATAAACTAGGGTACGAATTCATCCTAATGTCTAAAGCTCCCGGTGTCCCTCTTTCGTATGTTTATCATCATTTGGGGGAAGGGGAGTTGAAGGAGTTCATGGAGGGATTGGCGAGGATCGTTCTTGAGATCTGGGGCCACCGGTTTCCTATGATCGGATCGTTATATCAGAAAGAGGAGGCTTGGGTGGCAGGTATGGGAATAGGGATCGAGGAAAAAGGAAGCGATAGGAATATGGATAGGGTGCCGGGTTCGCCAGAATCTATATCCATCCCTTCCCTTTCGTCCTCGAAAGATACTGCGCCTGAATTCGGACATTCGTTCACCCCGCAAACCCCTCTTCTTCCACTTCCTCTTCAGCGGATCGCTCCGCCACCACCGGTTCTCGTAATGTCGCCTCCACCCTTGCCACAACAAATATCGGCTATTGATGAGTCCAGTGCTATGGTTGATAAACTCCCACCTACACCCCCAGCTTCAGACTCGAGTCTTTCATCGAATGATTCATCACCCGTCGCCCCATTCCTTTCTCTCCCCACTTCTCTACCTCCACCTCTTCCACTCCCGACCGTTAAGCACACCTTTACGCCCGCATCCCCCTTCTACATAGGCCCCATCATCTCCTGGCCCTTCTTCGGTGAAGGTCGTGGAGAATTGGACTCCCCGCTTGAAATCGACAGAGGGCCCTGGAAGTCCGAGGACGAATATCTAGATGCATGTGCAAGGAGGGAAGTTGAAAGTGTGAGGAGAGAAGGTGAAGGGATGGAGAGGGGACATAAACCTCGGTTGATTCCGGGGAGTAGAAGACGGGCCTGGAGTTCGGCGGTCGTCGAAGCGGAGAGGAGGGGGGTAGGGAGGAGGGAAAGGGAGGGGAGGAGTAAGAGGGGTAAGATGAAGGGAGGGAGTGAGGAAGGTGTGGTTCATGGGCCTGTTTCCCCCGTTTCACCTTCACCTAAAAAGAGAAAAGAGGATGATGGGTATACTAGTTCGGATACGAACATCTCGTCCGTGATTTCGTCGGAGAGTGGTGGGTCTTCCGCCTCGAATGGCGGTTCGGGCTCCGAGAATGAAGACGACGACGACGACGATGACGATGACGATGACGATGACGACACGTTCTACTGGGATTACCGAGCGAGTATCCGATCGAGTTTGTTGGTGGCTCAGCATTCCGCTCGCGTTCAGAGTGTGATGAAGGATATGGAACGGTTTAGGAGGCATATGGAGGATGAGCTGGGGATGGATTTGCGTGAGGGGGAAGACGAATTCGGAGAGTTTGGGTTGGACGTTCATGACCTTAGTTTGCATAATATTTTTGTGGATCCGGAGGTTCCGTCGAAGATTGTGAGTCGTTTTGTTTGCATTGTCATCTCTTGTCACTGGATGCTGATTGTTTCTTCTATTGCTTTGATTTCGCTACGGACTTTCTTGATGCTCGTAAACTAGACCTGTATCATCGATTGGGAATCAACGACGATTAGGCCTCTTTGGCATTGTGCTCATTTACCAGCATACCTTACACCTTCCACCACGCACCATTCTTCACATCATTCTTCCTCCCAAAATCTTCATTCCTCCCATACCCACTCATCGTCTCACCATAGTCACTCCCGCCACCACCACCACCACCACCATCATCATCATCATCATCACTACCCATCCCCATCATACGCCGCCACGCTCTTCCGAGATGCTATCCGTTCGCAAGGAGGGCCGCTTGGTGAGTTGTGGCTTCGCGCTGAATCGGAAAGGGAGAAGTGGAGAGAAGCGCATAAATTTTTGGAATGGGATGGGTGGGAAGAAGGTTTGTTGGATAGTGTTATTGGCCTACCGAGCGTAGATGAGGGGGAGAGAGATGGAGAGGAGGAGGAAGGGGACGGAAACGAAAATGGAGGTCTGAGTGAGAGTCGAAGGGTGACGTTTGGAAACCCGGATGTAGGACTTACGTTGGTGGGAGTTGGAGCGGGAACTCGTCATGTAGGAAAGGTTTCGGGTGCTGGACTTGCGAAGCAAAGAGAAGGGGCGAACTCGACGGTGAGGTTCAAAAGTGGGTTTATTGGCTTGCGGCTTGCGTGAGCGAAGGGCGAAGGGGCGAAAGGCGAAAGGCGAAGGGTGGTCCAAGTTCTAGCTTGTCTGCTTGCTTTGTAGGTGTTCAAATTCGTCCTCTGCGGGGTATTTTAATTTTTTTTCGGGTGCATGAACGTCCGTCCAACTGGTTTGGTCGTACGCGGTTTCCACTTGTTCAATTTTGGGTTTGGGCATCCTTGATCCTCTTGGGCTCAGTATCAAAACATTTTTTTTCTTGTGGTTCATTCTTCGATATTATATCGAAACAATCGGCTTTTACTCTCTTTCAAGCAACTCTTTTTTCGTCCTTTCATGTTCGCACGTTTATTTGTTCTAGAAATAACTTAATTCACGTCAATATTCTCGGGCTTTGAGCTGAACACGCTATACTTGTTTATGCATCCTGAGCCTCCAAAGTGGAGGAGAAATAATACGACCACTGCCGGACGCGAAGCACACTTGGCCGCCATGATGAGCTATCTCAGGTACATGTGCGTTGAGGGTTACGTATAGAAAATCCGATAGGTGCCTGGTGCATGACCATGCAATGGTCCTCTGGCATTATATAATAAGTTTCACACCCAAATCGTTCCCCTCGAGTAAGTTCCTTTCACGCTATGCATGTATGTACGTTGCATCAGGAAGGGAAGGCCAATTGATCTCAAACCCCCCCTCCATGCAACGTTTACCCCCCATGCAATGAGTGCCCCATCTCATTGTGCTTGTACGGCTGAATCTTCTTCCTGTCTCAATTTGATCGTTTTCGACTTCACGAGAACATTTGATCCAAGTTCCATCCCACAAAACAAGATGTACTAGATCCAATGAAAAATTTATCCATTTGAATATCCGATACAAAACAAAAAAAGTACACGGGTCAGTCAGGCTGAGGAAAAATGAAGCTGTAATCTCAGTCAATGCCGAGGGGCGATTGACGTATAGTTTCTTAGTGTGTTGGGGGGTCAGTATCGCAATAAGAGAGTAACTCACCGGCCCTGGCCGCCCCCCAATGATAGTCTGCCACTCAGACTGGAGACTGCTGAACGCCCAGCCTTCCCCTCCCTGAGCAGGTGACTGGCAAGGGTTCCAGTCCCAACCGACGTTGGTGATGGATCTTGATGCCCCCAACCAACTGCTGCCATCTCCACCACGCCGGTCCGACCAAAGATGAATAGATGTAAGCAGGCACGGCAGACATTGGGTGTCGTTGATGGCATGATTCCTTGCTGTGATGGTCGAAAGATGTGGAGGATTCGCCCAGAACTGATATCGAACAACCGGAACAAGAGAAGCCCACCCAAGCAGTACCCAGCCAAAGAAAGGGTCGCAGCACGGCCCCAGGGCACCTGTTGCCCCAACCTCATGCATGAAAACTGAGAACAGCCAAGACAACAGTCACGAATTCGATACGCATAGTTCGACTCTCCTCTTCGTTGCTTCTAGCCAGGATATGAATGTAGAGAAGCTTTCCATAAAAAGAACAATGGGAAAGTGGTTCGCCAACGGCGACATAGAACCAAAGAGAAATACAGGTGACTATATAGAAAATCAGAGTCAAGCAGTGTGGCGCTGGGGAGGAGTAACACGCACCAAGGTAACAAAATGTCACAAACACCCTTGGGGCGAGCCGTGAGATACCGCAAACGCGCGTTCGTCAACAACCATTATTAACCTAGGAAACGCCAAGCAAGACAATGAACCAGTGAGGCTGGGTGAAATAAGCGTGACGAACCTCCCCCCTGACCTAAAGGCGACGCAACGCGGACTCATCAGATAGTGATGATCATCCACAATTAAAAGTTAACGGCTATCCGCAGCGAGTGGCGCTGTTGGCAACGGCATCCCACTGAGCGGACGAGGAAGAGGGGATTGCACCGCCAACAACCTTTAGCCTAGAAAGGACAAAGAACATGTGAACGAATTGGTCAAAGCTGAATGAAAGTGCGAACGAACCGCTCTAGCCTTCAGGCGATGCATGCTGCGTGAACTCGGCCGGCGACGATCGTCCGCGGAATTTGTCTCATCTCGCAGCGAGTAGCGCCACTGACCACGGAGAGGGGACTTGCTGGGGACCTGTCCTCTGTTTCCTATCCACGCCGATAATCGGGCGGATGACTGATCCTACTGGATGACGTTTTGGAAATATGGATGAAAGTCGCTCACATACATTTTCTACGATATCTCGACTGTCCGTTCACCGGTTTGGACTGTTCAATCGCGCAAGTGTTGTCTCTGAGCATGCCTCGGTTATTCGCTGTCTGGAACCGGCGAGAAAGGCAAAATCGCTCAGGAATGATAATCCCTTCACGCATCAAATTGCGAAGGCTATGCTCCGCTCAAACGGCTGAAATGAGGGATTTTATTCAAGTCCTCGCAGGAGCAAGTACATAAACCCGATAATCAGCGAACAGCAAGCTTCACGCAACGCTGTATACTTTTCTGGAGAAGGTGGGCTCGATCCTCCGTGCATCGGCCTGCACCCATTATAACGAGAGAAGGAATTGGCTGAGGGCTAGTTAACCGTCCTTGACAAGTGATATCCTCACATAAATAACTAGTACTCGTGAATACCGATGCTTCCATGAAAACATCAAGTTATTTGGACGGGCACCCAGTGCACGGATAAGTTAATTTTGGAAGCAAGGCAATTTGCATCGTCCCCGCTTGCGGCTAGGTTCCCCCACAGGCTGATGCCAGTGTTAACGCTCTCAACTGTGGAAGGGTGCCATGCATCGTGATAACCCATTCCTGACAGTGACAAAGGAAGGGGATAGAGTTCGCTACCAGCCCCCTGCATGCATGGCCAGCTAGCCAACAGGGCACTTCTTGAAGATCCTGCGAGAACCACCATAAGCCGCGCATTGCCGGATGTTTCTCGAGACTTGTTTCCGTGATGTGAAATCCAGGTGGAGCCCTTTAAAAGGGACTTTCCGATGTTAGTCATTCTTGATCATAATATGGAGGTGCATCCTGAGCCCCGAGCGATAGGCATAACAGGGACAAGAATTTGCCTGACGTGCTGGACAAATGCGGTCCGCTCGATCCACTACATCGAGCAATCTCGCCTGGAGCCCAATGGGCCCCCAGCTCCAGTCCTAGCCTTTCCCGCTCCGTCCGTCGTACACTGAGCTCTTTGACCACCTAACTATTGACATCGAAATTCACCTCGGTAGTTGCTTGCTGCCAATGCGGATTCACAAGACACCCTATTCCTTGCTTTAACACCTTTTTTAACGGGTGGGGGCGCAGGATAGACGGTCTGGCAGGCAGTTTCCAGCGACTAACAATGATCGCATCCATCTGTCTCAACCCCAAGCTCTTTCAGCACCGCACAATGGCTCGCCTTCATCATGACACAAGGCCCATGCCCGATAACTGTCCATATAGTTTACTGGCTTGTTTTTTTTTTCCGAGTCCATACCCATATGGGTGGGGTCCGTCGGGCGTCTGGGCGCTCTTGCGTCCGCTCAAATGCAGAAGGGTTGAAAACGATAGCTAAAATTGATTTGTGAGCCGCTGGTGTCAGCGTTCGTGCAAATAGTTCCACGATATGAGACAAGATGTTCAATCGCAGAGACAGGTGGGCACTCTCTTGTTCGTGAAAATTCCAATGGGAACGGGGAGTGCAAGTAGAACAGTTGAATCGTGGGCTGTGTGTAACCCACACGCGAGCGGTTCATGATGCGGAACATTGGGATCTTTGGGTACAAAAATGGTGAGACTTTAGCGCTTGAATTGCTGGCGCAAGGAACACTGGAGGACAACAAACACGCTCCAAGGAGCCCCTTGAGAGGGGAGCCAAATAGAGCATTAGACTGGCTCATGCCGCCGATGCCATATTATGGTAAGCAGGATCATGCCCTTCCTCCTGCCAAGCAGAGATCAATGTTTAATTGGTAACACGCAAACATCACAGCGTAGCTCATACGATCAATGCATTCTGAGCACTCGATTCGTTCGAGATCTACTGTTCCTGAGCCGATCTGCTGGAGTGAGCGATGCCTCCCTTGGTAGCTTCTGTGTTGACTACGTTGCGCAGCGTGCAGAGAGGACCTCGAAGTCAACCCCACATCAGCAAACGTGAGGGCAAGCTACCAAATTGACAACAAACATATTACTCTAGCCAGGGAGTCATTAAACAGGCCATTCCAGTTGCTCGATGCCACCAGTGTAGCAAGTGAGGAGAGAAGTGGAACTTGCATAGCCACATGGGCTGACACAACACACACGACATGCCTCAGTCTGACATGGGCGCTTCAAACTCTATTCTCATCTCATTCGATGCCCTTCCCCTCCAATTAGAACATGAACAGGTCCTCATACAGCCTTTTCTAAAATTTTTGTCCGATCAAAAGTGAATGGGTATTGACCCCGTTCGTAAAAAAATCACCTGAAAATGGTCAAATTTCTCATATTTTTATGTTTCAATACAATAGAATTATATTTCCATCTAGTAGAATTAGCGCCCACAGCTATTCCCCATTCCTCGTTGAATAATGACCATAGCACTGACGGTCACAGCGATCTAGGCAGGTCGCCAGCCTCTATTGGAAACAGTGATCCTGCTCTCGATCCTGCTCACATCAGCCCAGCCGAGCTTCCATACACCATGACCATCTCATGGGTACCAAACACGCGTCTCCAGACATGAAGTGACACATCGTCCTCATGTCCTCAACCCTCACTACCAAGGAGGCGGCACAAATTGCCCATCTCGGTGACTGCAGAGTTGCCGCATTCTCTCAGCTCACCAGCAAGGGACCTCTTTGATAAAGTTGGCAACCGTAGGTGTAGTCGCGAACTTGACAACTAGGGAGTATGGTGTTTCTGTCTCCCACCGGCTCAGCCTGAAGCAACGAGGCTTCACATACATCAGCAAGCACTGTTGGAATGCTTGCTGGGGTGTTTTCAGGAGCGGGTGCGGGGCTAATGGTCATCATTCCAGTGGGCGCGCTTGTCTTTGTTGAGAACATGATAGTTGACGCACAGTCGCTGTTTCGGAGAGAATCAAAGCAGGTGAGGAAAACTTGATGATTTCCAGAACTTTTCGTGCACGGTAGCTTAGGACACGGTCTGATCATGGCCAGTGTGAAGGGTAGGATCAATCGTTGTGGTCGGGAATGGGTATGGCCGTGCGGCGCTAACTCTACTGTATTGAAAAAATAAAAATTCGAGAAATTTGATCATTTTTGGGTGATTTTTTTTACGAACGGGGTCAATACCCATTCACTTTGATCGGACAGAAATTTTAGAAAAGGCTGTAACGCAGTGCTTAAACAGATATATGTCAACCCCAACACCAAGCAGCGCTGCGCCGCTGAAAGTCAAGTGTTGGGATCATTTACACAGCAATATACAAGATGCGAGTTATTCGTGTGTCATAGGCGTCCGTCAGGCTGGTTAATTGAAGCCTGGACAATCTGGTGAAACGAGAGTTGGTGAGAGAATCCGTACAAATGATATCTTGTGATTGGCAAGCAAAACTGGGCTGTTATCGGGATTAAAACTCGAATGAGTCAGGGCCTATCGCAAAAATGCACCGTATTATTCTATCAAGAAAATATGTGCAACCTAAAGTGGACTCACGCATGTGGAGCTTGGGGATTACTTCGATAACTAAATTGGAAGGGTAGGTGGCAGCCAGCTTGATCAGTTCATGGCACACGCCTGTTGAATCCCACGTGCGAATTTTTATTGTTATCTTGAAAGGCACTGTGTTTATGCTCCTTCTGCTGTCACTGAGGCACGGGACATCCACAGAGCTAGCCGATGGGCTACGACCTCTCTCCTGCACCCTCTCCATCATTTCCTGGAGGAGTTCAAGAAAGTCGGTTGCGAAGGTGTTAAAGGGTGGGCGCAAGCCAATAAACGTGATTAGCTGAAGCTTCCCGAACATTGAGGTCGATCGGGCAAGGGCACCCGTTATTGAGCGAATGGTAAAACGGTGGGCAAGATATTCCTGAATGTACATGCCGAAGTGCAAAAGATCCATGTGTCTTTCCAAGAAAGAAACTAAGCTGGAGTCTCGATAGCCCCTGGTGGCAGGGATGAAGAATTTCCTTAGAGAAGGGAAACAGGCGTGATCCAGGAAGTTGTTCAGCACTGTGACATAATCGCGATGCATCCCAATATTGGTCAAGCCGTTGTCCACGAATTCAATAGATAATACGTGTTCAAGGACCTGGGTGGACCAGTCGACGGAATGAAAGTTCATCAAACTGAGATAACCAATCTGGATTTCTCGCAATCTGGGGGCTGGGAGAGGGGAGTTGATGATGGTGCTAATTCCTGTTCCCCAGGGCGCACGTAAGACCAACGCTTCGAGTTTGTCTTTGGATTCATCAACGAGGAACGAGATAGCTTCTGCAGGAACTGCACCAACAACACTCAAATTACGGAGGGACGGAAGCTTGACAGGTGTTAATAGGAATGGTGGTACCATTCGGAAGGAGTAGACATCAAGATTGAATGTGCGAAGTGAGGGAAGAACGTCTTCGGCTTGATTCCAGATTCCTGTGATATCGCATGGGGCAATGTGATCGTATATAATGAGCTCAACACTGAGGTACTCTAAGTGGTCCATTCCTTTTGGCAATGGAAAACAAGAAAGGAAAAGTTTGTTTCCCCAAAACTTCCCCGAGATCCTGAGACGCTTGATTCTAGTGAGGTGTGGTCTTAACATGGAGATAACTGCGTCTATGGAAGCTTGATCAATATACTCGGAATCGAAGCCAAGTTCCGCGTCCAAGAGTGATCCTGTCGACCTCTCAAGTCTTGCCCTAATTTCGGTCAATCGTCCTTCACGTTGAAACGGAAACGCAACCTGGATGTGTGACCATAGAGAAGGTGTGGATATGCAGGCCGATCGCCATCGTGAACACACATGGGAAAATGTAACAATCTGGCTGAATGCAGGATAGGGGTTGGCATGGATCTTGAATATTTTATTGTAGAGCTCGTCTGGAAGGCTACAAGCCGGGGCTCCTCTGTTGAGGTGCGGTGCTGTAGCTTCCGAGATCCCGGTGATACCAGGATCCTGCTGCACACACGTGGTGGTGCCTCGTTGTCGCATGTCGTGGCAGCGGCTCGATAACATCACATGGCTTTGTCACACAACTTGTGCTGTCAGTGGGAAATTCAATCTTATTATGTAGTATACGAGGCCGCGCGTGCAAAACCTGTGCGAAATAGAAGTACAGATAGGAGACGAACGGATGACCTGTGCATTTTCTTTCCAATGTCTCAGCGCGTCGCAGGGAATGGTCGTGAAGTCGCAGGAAAGTTATTTGGATTCGCCAGTCGGTTTTCCAGTCAGAGATGCCTTTCAGCACTGTTCTACACACAATGAGCAGGCCCACTTCACATAGCCGGCTTACGGCCGGAGGCTCATTCACCTGGGTGTGATTGGTATCAAAACATGAAACACTCAGAAACGGTGGAAGACATTCACGGTGCTGTCAGATTGACGTACAGTGTAGGCACACCTCCTAGAGCAGAAAGTAGACTCACGAATGCGAGATTCAGGAACTTCCACCTTGACAATTAAATTGGAAGGGTATTTGATGGCCAGACCAGTCAAACGAAGGGGCACAGAATTCGTGGAGTTGGGGTCTATCGGAGGGGCCGTTACTATAGTCATCTTGAGCGGTGCTTCGCCTCCTGTATCGGCATTAACATGTAGGGCATTCAGAGAGGCATCCGATGCGTTATGCGCACCTTCCTGCATCCTTTCCATCAATGCCTCGAAAACCCCCAAAAGGATAGCCGTCGTGCGGGTAGTGAAGGGAAAACACATGTCCTCAAAGGTGACGAGTTGGACATTAAGGGCGACTGAATGAGGGAGTCCGTTCTCAAACGAGCGACAGAATGGTCAGGTTCCTCGTAGCCGCCCATGCTGAACCGCGAAAGATCCACGTGCCTCTCCAAGAATGAAACTAAGCTGGAGGGATGATAACAAAATGTCGCATTGGGGACGAGGAGGTTCTTGAGTGACGGGAAATATGCGTAAATCAAGAAGTTATCCAGCAACCTCGCGTCCTCCAGGCCCCAACACCAGGGGCTGGTGCCCACAATCTCAAAAGACGAGAGGTGCTCAAGGGGCAGAATAGTCCAGTCTACCGATCGAAGGAGTTTGAAAGTGCGATAATCAATCTTGATTCTCCGTAATTTTGGAGCTCGGAGGGGAGAATTGATTGGCGATAACTTAGGTGCACATAAAACCAGTGTCTCGAGTTCCCACATGCCATCGGTAACAAATGAGGGGATTTCCGCGAGGGCAGCACCGAAAATTAGGAAGAGACGGGAGTTGGATTGGGGTCAACCGGTACGGTATTTTAGGTCCCCGGCGGAGGCGGAGTATTAATGTGCGAAGCGATGGAAGGACTCCATCGGCGTCTCCCCATAATGGAAACAGAGGAAGAACTTCAAGGTCATTGTTTTTGTGTAGAATACCGGATACTTGATTCTGGTAAAATGTGGTCTCAGCATGGAGCACACATCACGTACAGAAACTCCTTCGATGGAACCGGGCGCGATCGTGAGTGCTACACTGAGCGATGCTCCCGTCGACCTTTCAAGTGCAGCTTTGAACTCCACTAATTCCCCTTCGCGCCAAAACGGTAGTGTAATTTTGATGTATGACCACAGGCCGCCGCCAGCTTGAACATACATGGGAGAAAGTGACAACCTGGCGCAACCTAGGCAGGATACCAGCCTCTATAGATAGAGGGCGCAACCCAAGATGGATCTTGAAGATTTCTTCGTAGAGCTCAGAGGTTTAGCCGCAGAGGTAGATTGAACCTCATTCTCACAATGCCTTTCCCACGCTCCCAATGTGGCAGTCGCGGAATCAATGATGAAACCACCATACTGGTTGCTGGGGACACTATCCATAGCTCTCTACCTGAGGGAAACTTAGGCAGGACTCCAGCCTCTATGACTTCGTAATAATATATAGAAGGGAAAGTCGTAGGCAGGATCCCAGAGAGGCTGGGTTCCGATTGACCCTACTGAATAGAGGTCAGAAATAGAAACACCGCTTAAGGGAATGGGCATTACATAACCAATAGAGTAAATCATCACATTCATTTGTTTTGTATTGTACATGTACTTACGATGACTAACCAACCCAACCCCTTCCATTTTGGTGTCATTGATGTAATCATCTTGACTAATTAACTCGGCTCTTTTGTCTTTATGTAACTATGATGACTAATACAACGTAGCGAAAAGTCGTCCTGCAGCTTTGGGAGGCGCTCGTTAGTAGGGCCGTTAAAAGAAGCTAGCCAATAATTCTTTTACTATCAATTAATATATAGCAGCTCATATCCGGGAATGACAGCTGACTGGAGGGGATGAAGTTTCCCAATGGTTCATGGCCCATCGCTGGCGTAAGTTGTAACCACTTGGAGGTAGACGTCAATTGTTTCCTTATCTGCTCACTGCTTGACTAACTGTGTGAGATCAGGGCCGTCGTCATTAAGACGATTGTGATAGTGTCCTCATTATAAGTTCAGCTGCCCTTGCTTTTGCAGCGCAGTACATGATTGATGTTCGTGTTCACCATAGATTACTTTTTTCTTTGCAGATATGTCTTGCACTTGGTGCAAATGTCTATGTGAAGGGCTTGAGCCCACAAGAAACTACTCGTGCAAAGGAACTTGGCGCTATAGGACATTGGAAAGGTCCTGTCGTGAATGGGAACTCTCCATTGCTAGATTCTATCATCGATTCGGCGGGTGGAGATATCTGCGCGAGATCATTCAAGATACTGAAACACGGTGGGCCGTGCGATTGTTGTATGTTATGGGATGTAGGTTCACTCTTGGTCGCCGGGTAGCATATTGCTGGTACAGGGCTTCAGTGCCTAAAATCGAATCCACAATGGAAGAGGTCCTCAAGAATGTCGAGCTCAAAGGTGCGCTATTTGCTTATTAGGTGTCGATTAACCGATGCTCATCCCTCCTAGGCTCAACCACGGGCTCTCGTAAGGATCTGCTGGATGCCACCGCGTTCATAAAGAAGCACCGCATCATTCCTGAAGTCTTTCATGGACTACACAAGATCCACGAAGGGCTCAAGTTATTGAGAGAGGGTCAAATTGGCGAGATCGTCGCGCGCAAAATCCCCTGGAAGAGAATCCGTGGCTCTGATGAATAGGGGGTCATTGTTTAATCATTACCAATCGATAATCAAAGTCCTTCGTGTGTGCGCTGGGATTACTAATTGGGTATCGCTAGTGACTTGAAGCTATGGTGGATGAAACGGTACTGATGAAGGATGTGGAGGGTATCGTCATGGGATGGTAGACGATGAAGACAAAGCAGCACGACACAGGAAATAAGCAACCATCCAGAGAGCAAAGAATCAAGTTATAAATAGGCAACTGGGGAGAAAGCAAAATACTGCGTGTTCAGCAAAATGATCAAACAAACAACATCATCTCCGCACACGTAAGGCATACGTTTGAGTCACACAATTCAACAAATAATGCATCCACAGCATCCACCTCCATGGTTTGAGTCATTCGGGCCACTCTCGCCCCCACCAGCGACCGCCGCGGCATCGGCAGCTCGCCGGGTTCGCCTGCGGCTAGATTTAGACTTGCTCCGTGATACGTCATCATCTGGAGCGGGGGCGAATGGGCGGACAGAGATATGAACTACCGTAGGCGTAGAGGATGTCTCAGGTATGTTCATATCTAGTAAATCCCACATGATTTAAAAAAATGCATCATTAGAGGGAGAACTGTTAGATTCCATACCAACTTACCGCTGAGCCTGAGGTTATCGGCCCATATCCTCCCTAAATACAGAAGTCTTAGGAAACCCGGTGAAGGAGGTTGTTCATTCTGCCATTCCTGTGGCCAAGTATTCCATATGAGTTCCTTGACTCGTAAAATTGTTATATCCTTTGGGAATGTTAGGGTACGCCTGCGGCCCGAGACAAGGAGAAGGGAAAGAGTGATTTGGGGTTGAATGGTTTCGGTAGGTTCGGGTGTACCAGGGGTGATAGTGTTGACAGCAGTAATGGGGGCAGTTTCGACTTCGGGGTAGGAGCCATTGGAGGAACGGAACTGGTCCGCCGCCAGAAGCGACGAAGTTGTTGCAGAAGGATCCGAGTTACTTGACGGTGCCGCCGGATCAGACAGAGGTGGGATAACGATAGGGTTAGCCGATACCTGGGAGACTTCAGGTAGTGATTGGTTCGAGGTAGGAGCGGTCATAGGCGAAATCGTATATTGTCCAATATCCGTTGCGGGGATGACCTCGAGATATTGATCCGTCGGTGGAGGGGTAGGAGTCAGGTATGAATTATCCATTTGAGAGAGTGCCATGCGTGGGAGAGTAGTAGGGATTGCTTGGCTGGATCTGTGCGCTGTACGTGATGGAGTCACCAAACCACCTAAGGTGCTGAATACGGGGGAAGCCAAGCCATAAGAATCAGCAACACAACTCTATCGGATCCAGGACTTACTTGACAGAGTACGTTCAAAGAAACCTATCGCTGTACGGCTTCAAATATGGGGCGGGGGTCTGAAACGGAACTGAACTGTCTGGGAATTGGGTTAAGAGGTGTGAGACACCGAAGATAACTTCAGAACAGGGAGAACGGCAAGCCTAACAGCAACAACAGACCATTCACATACTCACTGGGTTGAGTCTCGAAGCCCTTAGTGGGGATATGTGATGTCAAAGTTTAACCATGAGCGGGGTGGTCACGAGGAACAAATTTCAAATTTTCAATACCCCTTTTCACACAAGGCAAGGAGACAGAAATAGCACACGAGCATGGCCGGGCGGCTAATACTTAAGATTGTTCGACACATAAGATTCTCGCGCGAGTCAGCATAATTCCTTCAGCAAAATTCAAGGGTCCAAGTCTCTCCTAGGCTAGGTAAGAATCGGGATAAGGCTTTCAAAAGCCGAGGAGGCATGGGCTATGTTGTTGCATATGTACTGAGAAGATACATAGTAACATGCTGATAATGATCATGTCATAAAGGCGGTGGTCGACCCGACACTACTGGACAGATGATGATCATAGCAATGTCGTTCAATGCGTAGATGGGCGATAAGCGATAAACTTCGAGCGGTGCTTGGCGACGCGGTGGGGCAGGGGGAAACGAAGCTTGGGGTCAAGAAGTTGTTGGATGTAAGGACGCCTTATATCTTCGTCATTCTCGATCTCTTGAACACGAATGATCTGAACGTTCGAACCGGGTTAAATAACAATCAGATCACAAAGGGAGCACGCATTATGAGTTACGTACGTGGATAGACGAAAAGCGAGCGCGATGTTTAGAAGCCATATCCTGGTACAAGGTGTGGACAGCAGCTGCCCTCGTAAGATCCCGGAATTCCCTGTACATGTTGTGCGTCCCCGAACGCGAATCGTATCGAATCCAAATACCGAAGTTCTTCACCCGACCGGGTTCCTTCTCCGGAATCTAAAGGTAGGTTAATCAAGCGAGTACAATTGTCATCAAAAATATCATTAGAGAATGGTTTGCCAGGACACATGGAAAGTCACATACAACATCAATGCTGACGATTTCGCCGTTGGCCTTCTTAATCTTCTTCAGTTTTGAAAGAAAGAACCAGAAACGTGACTTGGCAACGACCGGGTTGGGCGCAAAGATACGCATACGGTACAATTTTGGTGTGGGATTAGCCTCCGTTGGGAGGTGGCGACCGATGATTTGGAACTCGATGAATCTGGTCATAATTGAGTGACTATAACGCGGAAATGTTCGGTGCAAAAGAAAGGGTGGAAGTTGTCAGTTCAGAGGTTCAATATCAAAAGCCAAAGTGCATCCAAAGTTGGAACCACGCATCCAGAGTCAAAACCCGTGATAACGGATATTTCAAGCGCAAATTGGGTGCCAAGGGAGCGTAGGATGCTGAGAGAGACCGTTAGAGCACATCTCATACTCACATTAGGTCCGTCGGCGGTGTCTAAGGGAGCACCAGAAACGATTCAATTTAGTCGGGTGTCACCATTCCACCGATCACGAGACCCGGGCGCTTAGAGACGTTGCAGGCTTTTTCAGTAATTCTCAGCTTGTACACGTCCATGCAAAGATCCAAATAAATGGTGTACGGTAGTACATGTCATGATTAGGCAGCAGCAGGCCGTAAAGGCTGTTTTTAACTCATCCTACTTGAGAACTTGCCCCGTGGCGACATCGGTGCCTCCGAGATGTCGGGACGTAATGGCGCGTTCCTTCCCCCCAACTGGTAGCAAACGTCTTCTACGCGCTCGTGTAGCGATGCGGGTAACACTGGGACCAAATTTGGAAGAACGCGTGTGTGGAACGCCACATAAGCTGCGACCCCACCCTGTTGAAACATGGAGAATCAATCAAAGGCACAACATGCATGAGACGGGGGGACAATGTGCTTACAAATTGGTGGAAAATACCTCCTACCGTCGCCTCCACTGCCGTCCCCTGCACTTTTATGCGGCCTGCGTGGACAGCACCTGGGTTCGAAGCCAGATGGTTTTTCTAGCACACAAACTTTAGAAACACACATGTAACCCAGAAATAATTAAGGGGGGGACACACCGCAGATGTCCACCGCATGACCTTTCCTATCCCCCACTCGTTCCCCACATGCCTCCCTAATGTATGGGTGTCCAGAACATTCTCCGTCAACTCCTGAAAATTAGTGTATGGAACCTCCTCTGTGGCTGCATTACCACCGTCAAAGCTTGGACCAGCAACAGATTCAGGCAATGACGCCTGGAGGGACATCAAAAAATACGCATCCATCACACGCCGGCCCATAAACGCTAACCTCGTGTTATGTCCATACGTCTGTGCGCCTTTGCGATAGCTCGAGTGTGTGAGGACGCGTTTCGCTAGATCGGGAGGGAATTGTAGTGGGGGAAATTGTGATTCTAGATAGGAGACAGCCCATTCACCGTTCGAACGGGCCGCCTCGAGGGATGATGGTGTCACTGGATCAAGTTCTACGTCGTCATCCAGCTCGGAAGACTTGTATTGCTGCTGAAGGGGTGATAGGGTTGAAAACGATGAAGAAGGTAGTGGTGGATTTGAGGCGAGGAGGCATGATTGCAGGAATGGAGGCACAACTCTTAGGGAGGGCCGAGCAACTAATGTCTGGCACGACACTGACCCTAAAGGATTCCCTTAAGCCTTCCGAATAGGACAAGAATCGGACAAGGACATACAAGGTGCGTGACCCAGTGCCGAATGGACATAACGAGAACGGCTAGTCTTCGTCACGTTCCGTGTGCCGTGGAGTGTCCTAGCTATTCCTGACGTGCTCGTCATGCCCAGGAATTAGAGCACTTAAATATCCCCCTTGCCCGGTTTGAACTTTTTGGGCTTTGAAAACGGCTCGTGCCAATGAAATTCCCACGACGGCCAGTTGAATTGACGCTCGCGTTTGTTCCGACAGCCAGATTGCTCTGCAGCCCTCCGCAAAGACTTCGACCATCACCATCCACAGTTTCCCGTCCTGTCGAGAATCGGGGGGTGGCGGAACATGATTACCAAACCACTTACCCATGATTGGAAGATTGCTTAATTCTGCTTCGCCAATTACTTGGGAATGCTATACACTGGCGATTGCACTTCCTCCGATAATGATGTGGTATCAACAGCTTCTGATCCAGATTCCAGAGATGGCCTAACATAGGGAAGCAGGAGCCGTGTCGTGCCTTATGGATCTCTAGTGCATTTCCCTGCCAAAGCGCCGCGTCATACCGACCATGTCCCGTTGTAGGGGGAAGACATGGCTGCTGTTCTTCTGAGTCTGCTTCGCTGAGAGGTGCTGGAATATGGTGCAAATGACATTTCCCAAAACCCGAATGAACGTCTGATTACCCAAATCTGAGCTGGATTGGGCAAGCGTTCGAGTGGGCGAAGAGGACTGCTGGACTTCGCTCAATACCGTGCTCGGCCGTTGGCGGCTCGATGGGAGGCGATCGCTATAAAAAGAATCTCACGGAGTCGATTCATGGCGAAGATACTTAATTCGACCTCATGGATGGGTTTACTCTTAACACCTTAATCAATCATCAAATAGCCCATCAACCCGAGCAGCCCTGGGAGACGAAAACAGGTCGCCCTCTTCATCATAAGTACCCACTCCGTACGAGGCACTAGTCCCCGACTCCCTTTCTTTCAAAGCCTAGGCAGGTGGAAATATGTACCGTAGATTTGGTAGTGGTGAATGACAAGGCCCACCTTGGTAAGAAGCTCCCTGCTCTTCAGAATGTTGTGATTAAGTTCCTCTAAATAGGTGCCCGAAACCTGAGCTTTACGCAGGACAGTTTCAATTGCCTTTGGATGGAATACATCGGGATTGGAGTCTTCTGTAAAGGTAAGGATTCCATTTGGTGATAATGTCGCAGAGAGTTCTCCATCTTCTATCTAGAATCGAGAATGCAGATGGGCGAGGAACCCCAGGGTCCCACTTACTTACCATGCTCAGAACCATTTCTTTGGCTTCGGTTTCGCTCGAGAGCCCAGCAGACGATACAACCTGCTTCAGCGGAAGGCTTAGATAAGTATTCATCAGGTTCTTCAATGTCCATCTGGGTGCGCGAGCAAGAGCAATCTGCAACAACCCTGCGTTCCCTTCCTGTGGACAAGTCAGAAACAGCAAGTGTATCGCGAAAACCGGAAGGAGCGAACCTCCCTAAAGCTATCCATTTCTTTCGTGAGTGTTTCTTGTAGCTGGCCTTTGACCACTGGGTACAGCTTGATGAGCAACTGGTACGTGGAGTTGCTCTTTATATGCCTTATCAGGTGATTGTACGTGTACTTGGGTAAAGGTGACACCTGAGAGAAAAGTCTATGCGCCTGAGCAAGTACGCTTATATCTAAGGGAACGAACCTTTCCGTGTCGGATGAGTTGTATCAATATGTGCTTCTTACATGCTTCCAGCTGCAAGGCTGAGAGCGCGCTCGCTGGGGATGTGGCAGCCTGAATCACCAACACGTCATAACAAATACGGCCAATTGGGAAGCTACTAATACCAGCTCAAATGCACTTTCTGCATCGCCATAATTTTTAAGAACTCCAAAGATGATCCCTGACAAATAATGGTATTGCAGCACATCAGTATACTCCAAATCTGTAATCTGAATGGCTGATTAGGGTCCCATTTCTTTGCAGACGCACTCACGCCTACCGTTCGGTCGATTTCGGAAACAGGTGGAGATATCAGCGGCAAAGCAGAGGTGAAGTGTCGGGTTTGAATGCATATCTGGTATCACACTCTTAGCACAATTCAATATCCGAAAATTGGAAACCTCACCAAGAGATACAAAGGATGAATGGCGGTAAGATAATGTGTTGACGGCGGATATCGAGTCGCTAGGTTGTATAACGGTTCAAGCGCAAAGGACAGCTGGAGAATTTGGTTGGGTCTCAAGTCACCGAAACTTAAGGCACAGGCGAACATTACGTATTGATTCTGCGAATGCTATAATCCCCTTTGCCAGCTTTACGACTATATAAGTCAAGAGGTTAGAAAGAGAATAAGGGGTTATGATGACCACCATACTCCGTTCAGGTACACAGCGTATGGCAATTGGGTCAAGACTTTCACAGAAAGTAGTGATGAAATCAGCATGGACGGGAGGGGCACCAACAGTGCTCAACCGAGAAGATCTGTTGATGATCCTTGAGAATCACAACGGTAGCACCGGAGTCGATGGCCTTACAGGATAAACAGGTAGGGGATTGTAGAAGTTGCTGCAGACAGGGCCTGAAGGGGATCTTGACCATTATCTAAGAAGGCGTTAAGAAGTGCCTCCGATTCGTCGCGTTTGATAATGGATGAGAACAAGTTCGCTATCCCTTTGGGCTGAAATTCTTCGCCATTTTGGGGTGCCACCATCGCCAGCACGGAGTCCAACGTTTGGGCCATGACACGACAACAAGATCAGATGCGAGAATACCAGAAAAACACTGCGATCTCTACTGGGCGGGACCGAGACCTTAAGGGAGAGACGAGCGCAAAGACGATCGCACACGACAAACGCGTCTACCTCGGAAGCAAACCTCGATGCACATTTTATTTGCCCCACAGACTTCTTTGCACTGAGAATGGCTGGCTCAAGCAGCCATACTAATGTCCCCCTCCAAACATTCCAATTAGCAAATCAGATCAAAGAAATCGATCCTCAAGACGCGATCTTCAAACACGATTCAGAGGAGGACAGACGAATCAATCGCGAGGCGCCTTGGAAGAGGGAGTGAGACAAGGATCCAGCTGCTAGCCGACTTCGTACTAACATATCGCATACCAGCCCGCATTACTTTAGAAAATGCAGAATATCGGCTGTTGCCCTCATTAAAATGGTGAGTCCACAGTTTGTAGCTCAAGGCACCACCTGAGGAGTTGAAAAGGTCATTCACGCACGCTCCGGTGGGATATACGAGATCATGGGCCTCATGCAGGGACGAGTCCAAGGGGATGCAATAACCATTATGGACTCGTTTGCGCTGCCAGTCCAGGGCACCGAGACGCGCGTCAATGCTGGCAACGAAGCCATTGAGTATATGAGCCAGTACAAGACCGGATCAGAGCAGGTGAGACTATCGCAATCCTCCCTTTTCTATTTCTGATGCTACCATGGAATCCCATGAAAGGCCGGAAGAAAGGAGAACGTAATCGGATGGTATCATTCGCACCCGGGGTATGGATGCTGGCTGTCTGGAATTGATGTTTCGACACAATCAGATAATCAAAAGTTCCAGGACCCATTTATTGCCGTCGTCGTGCGTCTTCCCATCGTATCCCTGAAGCTGGACCCACACCGGTTTTCCAGATTGACCCTAACCGGACGATATCAGCAGGCAAAGTTGAAATTGGGGCCTTCAGAACGTATCCTGAGGTTCGCCAATGTAGTTGTCATCCAGAGTCTTGGAGCAACTCTCATCGTCCAACTTAGGGATATAGACCTACAAATTCCTCATCTGATTATCAATCAATACCACTCGAAAAGATCGAAGATTTTGGTGTTCACGCCGACTCATATTACCCGATCGAAATCTCGGTCTTCAAATCCAAGCTGGACGACGAGCTTCTCAACCGATTATTCAACAAATACTGGGTGAATACGCTGAGCCAAACACCCTTGATTTCTGTATGTGCTTTTCTCGACCGTTAATTCAAGTATTTGACCCATAAAGAATCGAGCATACGCAGCATCACAACTCTCTGATCTCGCTGCAAAACTAACTAAGGCCCAATCATCTGGGGGTCGCAATCTCCTTCAGACAACCATAAACTCGGTCCTGGCAGGGATCAGCCTACACCCTCCGGCTGCCCCTGAATCAATCATAAGAAGCAGATCGGGGGCGGTACTTGTGCCGAATCAGAAACCGGTGAAAAAAGAAGACAATCCGTTGGAGCAAGTCGTCAAAGACAGGTTGGTTTGATATATTCAATGATTTAAGGTCCCAGCTAAAAAAAATTGCCAGTGCAAGAATCGTGTCGGACGCTCAACATGGTCTCATAGCCCAAATCCTGAAGGACATCATCTTTTCAAATCGACCTTCTGAGAGTAAACATCCTTCTTCGCGTGTCAGCCCCGTCGTGGACACGGTTATGGAGTGACATGCACTAAATCGTGCCTTTCCACGGAACGTTTTGACATTACTTCCATCGGCACTTTTTGACGCGCTCCCAGCTTGCCACCAGAAGTAAAATTGGTGTCATATCAATCCGATACTTATAACCATGTTACCATTCATGGCAGGAGTTCATATCGGAGCAAATACAGCGAGTAAAGATATATGGCTATTTTTTGAGTTTCATGCTACCAAGTAGATCCTCACTCGTGACTAAGAATTGGTCAGAAAGATGTCAGGAACCGTAAATGGGGAGAGTTCGAACCGTTTAACAGCAAGGTGCCTGAGTCAAGCATGACCTTGTTTCCACTTGTCGACAACATTTGGGCTATGTCACGGGCAGCTTCAAGGCGCCTCAGTTGCAAAAAGCCCTTGGTCGAGCGGATGGCCTCGCCGATGAGTTCTGCTGATTTAGCTTCACCCTCTGCGCGAATAATGATGGACTACAAGATCTAGTTCAATGACTAAGATTGCCGTAGTGCATGGTTGTACGCACTTGTTTCTCTTGGATCGCTTGGTCAACCAAGAATGCAGCCCTCAGGGCTGTTTGTTGCGCAATCTAGTGTATTATCAGATCTAGCATTGGTCGTCATGTCTCATCATAGAGGACTCACTTGCTTGGCTTCAACTGCGTGAGTAAACTCAGGAGAAAAGGCGACATGAGTAATCGACACATCGTCTAGAACTATGTTAAATCTTAAAGCTCGCTCTGTGAGTCGTTCGCGGACAAGCCGTGAAACCTATTTCAAGGGAATGCATAAACAGGAGGTCACGGTTCGGGAAGGGAGTGTTCGCGTACGTTTTCACGTTGTGTTATTAGTTGGCTGGCATTGAACTGCGCCACGACACTCTTTAGGACTTCGTTGACGATGGAGGGGAGCACACGCTCGTCATAATCCATGCCGAGCTCGCGAAAGATGACGGGGAGACGTTTGATCTCGGGACGGGAAAGCACACGACATGTGATGTTGACCATTTGAAGATCTAGAGTGTTGATGGCAGAAGTGAGCAAGAGTGGACGAATTAGTCGCAAAGATCAACTATGCCTTTGGTGCCGGTCAAACTGGCTATGTTTCTTGGTTTTGCACGCACATCGAAGTCTACAGCTTTCTCAAACCATGGAACCTTCCACAGGTCTTAGTAAGTGAGATGTCGGGAACCACGAACGGACTCACCAAAAGATGCGTGCCCTCGTTATAAATTTCGTCCCTTATGCCATGAAGCCTGGAGAAAAAAACTATTCGTGTTCGTCGAGAGCTTGAGCGGAGATAAATGCTCACCTCGAGTACTTTATAACTCGATGGCCACCATCAACTGCAACGGATCAGGTCAGAATTCTGACACGCTGCTGAAAATCTATCTTACCGTTAAACAGGGAATTGTTCAAAAGATATGCTCCTCCGATAAGGGCTACAGTTACACCAACTCCACCAATAGCACCTTGAGACCCTCCTGGGAAGCCACCTCCCCCAGCTGCAGCATATCGGCTTCGTTGGAGTTGCTGGGCAAACCGTTGAAAAGCCTCTCTCCCTCCCCCCTGCATACTTTCTAAAACATCTCTGGATAGTCAGAAGCGTTGAATGCACTCATTGTACGTTAGCCACATACGGACCAGGACGAATAATGCTTCAGCAACGACCTGCCAGAATGGCACGTGACTGGATCTCGAAGCCCATCCAACGAAATAGAGGCTGGTAACCTGCCTGTAACGAAAGGTGCACCTCTGCTGGTTTAATCTTGTCTATAGAAGAAGATTTCCAACTGGATTTTGCTTTGCTCCGAGAAGCGCCACAGTATTGAGCACGGGTACCTCTAGCCCCATCATGGCAGACACTGGTATGGAAGCCAAAATGGCGTACGATAGCGTCCGGAAGGAGCTTATTCAGGCGCTGACTAAAAAGCGTGGAATTGACAAGTCCCTAGTCAGCCCTATGTTGGAATCTGGGAATCGTCTTTGCGCTGATTTTTGTGTCGCTCCTTTAGGCAACTCTCGAGCTTCAGCTCTACAATTTCGAAGGCACATACCTAGCAGACACTACATCATCTGGTGGGAACATCATTACTGGCTTTGACTCGTATCTCAAGACCACTGGTTCCGGGAAAAAGCGCCATGACGTCGTTGAGGCAGATCGTATTTTCTCAAACTCAAGTGCAACACTGCCAAGGGTTCGTACTGCACTTCGCATACCGCAGCAGATATTCTCATGCGTCCCTCAATTTTCATTGCCGCCTTCTTCCTCGTAGTCAATGGAATTATCCCAGCAAGGCCCCCCTACCCCAACGCAGCTGGATTTCCCAGCCACTCCCGTGGCCGCAGTCTCTACGTCTAACATTGGACCCGTCACCGTTTCGCTGACTGCAGCCTCCTCTCAATCCGATCCTGTTTCTTTGCGGAAAGATACGACTAGGAAGAGGTCAAGGCGTGGTGCTAGCAATATGAGTGATGATGACGACGCTGATAGTAGCGCTGGCGTCAGCACCAGAACAAGGCCTGGGAAACGTGGCAGAATAGACTGACTCTCCGAACATACCATGATGTTAACTAATACTTCTGCGCCAGACATCTTGCACCGATGTACATGTATTAGCGTTCGTCATTAGCACTGTTACATGCCTACAGCCTGTATACATCTAGTTCACTCACGCTCAGCGTTGCCTTCATCATGATACGTCGCGTCCTCCGCTCTAGCTTAGTAGCTACTGACACGGAGCACAGTGCGGCAGTCAGCAGCTTACGTCAGAACAATGGATGCACCAGAGTTTCTTATGTTTTCCGGGACACTTAGGACATATATATATATTCTACTCAATATTGCTATGTTACAAACGAACATCGAAACAACACATTGAGGATGACTGGAAGTGGATAGATAATCATGTTTTTTGGGCCACGGTACCCTGACACACTGAGTAAAAAAAAGCGTTGATCAGGATAAAGTGCGTAAGACTCATCCGAAACTCACCAAGACAGATATGCAAGCATCCCACCGTAGTGCCGAGGGAACATGAACTTCCTAAATATGTAAGGATGTCAGCATGGTCGAGACAGGGAGGCAAGGGGAAAATGGTACTCACAGCCTTAACTGCTGGGTGGGCACCATCACCGAAACGGACGCCCACCCAATACACAGAAGGGGTACGATCAACGAGTATGCACACTCGCAGGAACATGATCGTACCGACGCTGATCAAATGATCAGCGCCCTGATAGGGTGTCCCACCCCCCATGCACGACGCATCTAGATTCACAAATGGGGCAAGTCAGCAACGGTTCCACTGATGAAGGATCGGGGTGGACGTACGACTTTGGCGTGTGCGGACCGGACTGAAGGGGTTAAAAGGCGGATTGGGAAGATGGGGTGGCGCGATGGCCACCCCGTAATGGAGGGGGATATTAGAGCACACCTGATCTTGTGGTGTGCTCACTGCGAATGAGTGGCGGAGAGTCCCCACGCCGCGACGTGGGGAGTGTTGATGGGGATAGGGGGGTGCCAGCACACCTGTACTGGGGCGACGGGTATAGTAATGAGGGGGTAGTACCAGCACACTCCCTTGTGCTGGCATTGGTGGTGAATGGGTATAATGGTGAAGAGGATGGTGATAGAAACGAATCGGTTGGTTGCATGAGTAAGGGACTTCGTGAGCACAGCAGGATTAGAGGTGATGGAAGGTGTGCGGTGGAGGGGGCTCCAAGTGAAGGGAGGGGGGAGTGAGGCTGATGGGAAGACAACGTCCTTAAGCCATTCTTTTATACCTTTCTGGCCAATTCAGACCCTTCTTCACGGCAGGTGCCAGGTGCCAATAAAGGGGTTTCCCAGCACCTTGCCGAATTGTGAAACAAAAGATGAACTTCATGTCAGAGTCCCTGGCTGAATTATTGAGTCGCCCATGCATGGTATGGCCTCGTTCGACCAGGAAAATGCTCGCAAGATACGCCGCTACAAATGCCGTGGGTGTGATACGGAGAGATCACAGGAGGCGAAGAGAAACTGAGTCCAAATGACAAGCTCACTGGGTCAGGAAACAGCCGCTCATAAAGGTGATACGCCAGCACACCTGAATGGCGGTCCGACTAACTCCGCCCGGGAAGCACAGATCCGTGACAATAAGTCAACCCACGGACGAGCAGCGGGGTGTGCAGACCCCATCCGAAGTGCCTTGAGCCTCCACCGAAGGACCCGTAGGTGAGCTTAGTATGGCTGCCCGGCTAGGCTCTCGTCAGACAGCGCCGTAAGTTGGGGAGATGTTGTGATCATCGCCATCAATGATTCCGTAAGATGCAGCAGCGTGAGCGCTTGAATTGATCAGGAGAACCCCAAAAATGAGTATTCTTTAGATCCAGCATCAAATATTCGCAGCCTATTCAGTCACGTCACAATTGATTGTTTTTGCTGGTTTGACCGGAGGGTATCCGTCAATTTGGTGCTGAGGTAGGATGCGTTTAAGGTTTTGGGAGGGGAAGCAGTGAATCGTGATGATGAGACGAGGAGGGGATACGCAGTTCGGTGCGAATTCCGAGCGCTTCCGTTTCGAGGGAGGAAAAAAAAAAACTAAGCAAGGTTGTTTGACAATGCGAGTAAATGCATTTGACAAATAAGGAATGTTCGTTCCCGTCCCCAAGAATTGCGTGTAGGTCCACCGCTGTTTCGACAACAACAGAGACGTCTGGTTTGAGGAGTCATTCGCCCCCAAATCACCAAGAACGCGAGTTGAGGAGGCGTCAGAGCCAATAGCAGAATGAGTAGCAAGAAGATTTTTGACTTGGTGAAAATTTTAGTGTGGGGCGCCAATGGCAATCCATGATGTGGCGAGTTGACCTTTGTACATCCACACTCAACAAGACGCGTACACACCTCGCATGGACCCAGCTCGTGTCTCCTACCATCATCTATCATCGGTATTTACGGTGGATGACACTATACCCGGACCTGATTCTGGCCATCAGCCTCCACCGCATTCACCCCATACAGTTTTCACAGCGGAGCCACCTGAATTCTCAATGTTCACTATGAGCGTTCTGGCGCTCTTGACATCGCATACTTCAAACTCGTGACTTGCATTTGGGCGCGCTGTCGACTGGTCCCACATCGACACCTGATACGCACTCTGCTGAGGACTAGAATAACCCAACAGCTTTGGCCAGCCAGCTATATCGGGGCCCGTCAGATTGGGGGTGGTGCCTTTATTCAAAGTGCGCGCATGACGCCCCAGGACACTCTTGGGGCGTTCACATTATCCAGTTGATAAGTATTGTCCCTTTAGACAAACGAGTCGCTGATGTAGAATGACCCAAGTCCTCCATATGCGCAACGTTTCATCGTTTCATTCTCGCGAACGACAAACGCCGGGGTGAGTCTATCTTACTGGCCCACGTTCTCTTGTTACATCAGTCTTCAGTGGCTGCAGAAAAGCGTATTGATATAAGTCCATGAAGGTGCCCCCTCACGAGCAATTGTAGGCCGATGTCCAGTCGTTGACTTCGGCTATCCCAGTAACTTCAAACCGTCACTGCAGAAAGAAACACCGGTCGCAGCGCGGGTGGCTTTCTGGCGCGCGCGATGTGTTCGACGGGTTAGCTTATTGACCCAAGATTAGGAGGGGATCATCAAGAACCGAAGGTCAGCCTGCAGATCGCGCGGAGTTTGTGATATCGCCAAAGACACTGGGACTTGGCTATACGAGCGCACCAGGTCAAAAGCAAGCCTAACGAGCCTTTCCTGCGCGGTTATTCTGATTCATAGGCTCCTGGAGGTACACGTCATAGCATCGAGAGAGTATCGCTGTGGGGCGAAGGGTCAGTTTCTTCGCCGTAGTGCAGTTTGCTTCCATTGACAGCCCCCTTTTCCCTGTGAAGGCTACTTGTACTGGACTGGGGCGGGCGTGCTTGGTTGTGTTCCCAAGCAGAGATAACCCTACGAGACAGCAGTCGCCTTCTCTCATCATGCGGTGAGTTCAATCCGGCTCATCAGGAGCCAGAATGATACGAAAAAACGGTAGCCTCTAGCGTGATGAAAGATCAAGAGGGACGTTCTTGGTTTGTCGTCATGCACGACCTTTGCCCTATCTGTGCAAGAGTTGCCAAACTGAATTGCGAACTGGCCGATCATTCCGCGGTTCCCCCGGTCGTCCAGGTTGTGTTTGGTTCGGTTGCTGGACCAATAGCTGCCCGGGTGGTCGAGAACAGCGTGAAACGAGTCGTCTTACCCATGACAGCAGTATTATACATCTACCTCCCCGTCCCTTTCGGGGCTGTTTTTTTTTTTTGGAGTTTGCGTTCCACCGGAGCTAACCCTCAATAATCTTTAATCCGACAATCTGCCGAGCCTGCAACACGAAAAGTTGACTTCCATTATCGGGGATGTCGACTCGCAAGTTGTCAACATCAGCACCCCGCCTGCTTCAGCTAGATTTCCTTCCTCTGGGCCCCCCAAGTTCTTTTTGATCCTTTGACAACAAAAACTTAGGTTCTCCTTGTCGAATCGATTCGTCTATTTCCTTTGCAATCAAGGGGAAGAGGAATTAAGCACATCTTCGCTCGAAGGAAGGCTATAATTCCCAAGAAAATGGTATATTTTCCGACCTGACACCACCCAATAAATATCTAGACTGCAACCCCTGAACCCCGCCAGCTCATCTCTGTCCAAACGCGCAATCCTGCCTTGATTTCAAGGTCTAAGCACCCGCGGTCTTGTCCTCAAGCAAGTGACGCAATGGGGCTCGCTCTCGAGATCCAATGCGCTTCTACGTGCAACTCCTAGTTTTGCTCCCTCCATTGGCTCCTCTGCTGGGTGACATGATCTGACCATCTGCGTTGGAAATCCCACCACCTTGACCTCACAGAGGCTGACTCTCTGTACGAACCTAGGGCTTAAAATTACAAACAGGAATTTTTCATGTTTTATTATAACGTAGCACAAGCAATTTGTAACAACAAAAAAAAAAACCAGCGAATCATCGGCTACCATACAACATACGAAAGAGGGGATATGGCCTTGTGGTATCTTTTTGCGAGGCGTGTTTATCGGTGCTCGGATGAAAGAGGGGGGTTTACAGCATGCGAATGGAAGAAACGAGAACGTCAACAGGTAGGCAATAAATGGAAAACAGAGAGATGCTTGTGGAGAGGGTACAGAGAAGTGCATGGGATCAGCTTGAGAGTCTGGACATGGGTGCTGGTGATAGATACAGATATGTAACAAGTGTGTGTGGGGGGGGGGGGATCAAGGAAATGAGGTCAAGACCACGGTTGGCAGCCCATGCCCTCGGAAGGCCTGACGTCCAAGGGATCGAAGTTCACCCTCTTCCACCATCGCTACTCGCGCTAGCAGTAGTGACAGCGTATTCATACCTATCCTTAATGTCCCCCCAACCACTTCTCACACGGTGCCTTCCGCCACCGACAGACACGATCCGACGTAGGGGGAAACCGTTAAGGTTCAAACCTAATGGAGAGTCACGTCCGGAGTCCTCATGTGTGGAACGTAGCGAGTGAGAGAGGGAAGCAGGATACTCTGTTCCGTGAGACATGGATACGGAACGCACGCTATGATCAGGACGTACAAATACAAATTCAATCAGCTCCTCCATTCGAGAAGTTTGGAGACTGGAACTTACTTGGCGGACAAAGTCGGTGCAACGCTCAGACCGGCGAAGCTACTGGGAAACAGTGGATTGCCGGGTCCCCGCTCACTTAAAGCAGGATGATACGGCTTGTTTGGATTCGTGAGTCCAAACCCTCCAAAACCTTGATATCCCTTCGGATCTCTCAAAAACCTAGATGCGCCACCATTGATCGCCTCACTGATTGCCTCAGAGGGTCGACGCCTTCCACCTGTGCCCGCGGGAAGGGGTAATACAGTAGCGGCACTTGAATGAGACGCAGGATCCGTGGACGCAGGAGAATCTAAAGTGTCCACAGGCTCGTGTTCGAGAGGTTTGATGGATGTGGCAGGAGAGCCTGTGTCGGCATCTCCAGCCCCAGTACGGATGGAAAGATTCGAAACGGGGCGAAAAAGGGGTGAGGTAGAATGCTGAAGAGATGAGCCTACTGGAAGAGTAGGACGACCGAGGCTGCTTGGTGCAGGGGAGGTAGTAATCTGCAGTGCTCGAATCTCACGATCCCGGTCTTTGTCACTGAGATTTGTAGATGTAGGACTATCCTCGGGGGAGTCAGGGATACCAAAGTGCGCCCTGCGTGATCCAAGCGGCAGGAGCTCATGCTCTAATCCTTGCGTTTCATGTGTTGCGTAATCCTTGATATGGACATCTGGATCACGAGATGCGGGGGCCACAGCAGCAGCAGCACTCCTCGACCTCTCGTCTTCCTCTTCCTCTTCGCCTTCCCCGATATTTTCCATATACCGGTTACTAAAGCCGCTCTCGCTAGCACCGCTGGGGAAGTATCCGCTCGCTGACGGCCCAAGGGGTTGTTCCAGGGTATGCCCTAGCTCAAGCTCCTCATCGGCAAATACGGGTTCCAGAACAGCCTTGGGCTCATCAAGGTCCTCATCGAACACCGAACGAGAGTCATAAGCAATATCGGGAACAGACTCGTCAGTCCTCGGAGGCACAGCAAGGCCCCCATTGATACTTTCTGAAGGAACCAAATCTTCGGGGGTATGCGTAATGAGATCGGCACCTTCAAGGACGATGCCAACATCCTCGTCATCTTCGTCATCTTCATCATCGACCTCAAGCTCCACAGGGACACCCAATGCCCCTTGAATCGCTCCCAAAGAGCTTCGCTCCTGGCGCGAATACATGTCCTCGCAAGCTCGACCCATAACTTATCATCACATTGCGTTCTGGTAGTCTCCATCAAAAGTTGCGATAACCTCGTGAATGACCATTTTGTAGGGTCTTCTTCGTCTTCCTCGCCTTCCTTCATGTGGTGCATATTCTCTGGAAAAAGTGCCCTGAGAAGATTAAAGAGTCGGGAGGTAGGCAGTTCGTTGAGAAGCTGGGTAACCTCGGCGGGACGATTGACAAATGGAAGCAAAACTTCATCTGGCATCGGAGTAAACACTGCAGGGGAGGGTCGCTCGGAGGCGCCGGGCGTCGTAGGACGTGAGCGAACGGGACGTCCAGCACCATAAATGGAAGTAGCCGGCGAGCTGGGAGTGCTTGGCTGAGTGTTCCCAGTGGATTCCATGGCTAGCTCGTAGATTTGTTGTGCCGTAAGATGAGGTTGTTTCATCATGGGAGCCAGATTCGGGTTTGAGAACGAGCACCGATGGGAAATCGGTGAGTTTGGCGCAGTGTGAGCAGTCGATCCTGGGCGAGAGGAACCACCGTTATCTCCCACGTTGTTACCATAATGGGCAGGGGAAGGCTTTTCTCCCTCGGGAGGATGAATGGGTGTGAACGATGTAAGGGCAAAGCTCATTCGGTTAGCTAGTACAAGATGAATTGTCAGTAGGCTCAGAATTACTAATGTCATTAATTGGAGGTGCGACTCACGTCCGGCTCGTCTCGGTGGGCCAGGACTGTTGTTTCGGACCGGGGCTGAAGATGTGTTTGACGATGCAGAATAATTGCTTCCCCAAGAGTCTCTACGAATGTGCTGCCGCCCTGAGGTTCCAACATTAGACCTACCATCTTCATGAAACGATTGAGTTCCAGAGGCAGCGTTGTTGTCTTGCAGACGGAGGATCGTGATTCGACTCGCACTGCTGGAGCGCGACAATCCTCCCCCTTCCGTCGTGCCTCCAGATTCAGCCGCGTGTTGACCCCATGGATCCGGGGCGGATCTGGATCCACGTCGAGTTGAGAGCCTCCTCTGAGGCAGATCACCGGGCTGAGTGCTGCAGGGAGTAGGAACCGTGATGGATGGCGCTGGAGCGGTTGCCATGTTGTCCACTTGGTCTGTCAGGTTGGTTCGAGAGAGAGGGAGGAAAAGATAAGAAGAAGTGAAGCGGGAAGATGCGGGATTGGTTCTCAGTTTGACCACGCAGAGAACCAGCAGCGAAAGAAGCTGGAGGGGGCTTTATAGGTCAAGCTGATTTGAGTTAATCTCTTATAAAGCGGTGGGTTGAGGGTATTTTCAAATGGATCGGAGCAGCAGATTGTTGAGTTTTCCACAGCGCGGTTGAAGGACGAAATATTTGCTGATATTTGTTGGCAGAAGAACCAGTTTCGGGAGAATATAGAATTTGATTCCGACGATCTGGGCCTTCAAATGAATTGTACATGTATATATAGACTATTTCGTATTCGAAGGTACAACTGCAGAAAGATGACAACGAAATAAAGTTTGGGTATCACGGTTTGGATCAAGACGAGTTTGATGGAAAATAACAAGAAATCAGAAGAAATCGTCATCTGCGGATGACGGAAGAATGACGGGTTGTTGTGGGGTAACTCCACGGTTTTCTCCTTTCCCACACCGCTCACACGTGATGCAGCATAAGACTTCCTTCTTTAGCCTCCTCCGCCGTGAATTTAATCAAACACCCCAATCTGAAACCCCCTCGAGATCGATGAGCACAGTCTATCCAGTAAAGCAAAGATCCTATCTTGGTGACACCCGCAGAGCACTTACCATGCCTATTGCCAACAAGTCGGTTGCGCTCCAAATTCACGCGCCTTTCTCACCCAATACGCTTCAATGCCCGAATAGTCTATCCAATATTACCAGGTCATAATGGTTGGAGACCTGCCTACCCGAATAGTAAAGGCGTTGAGTTTCTCGGGTGTGGCTGTTGGGCGATAAGTTACTGGCTAAGCTATCGCAGTCGCTGTGTTATTTACTTCTTGTGGGCGCTGAGGAACCTCGCTGCAGACCACGCCATGCGGTATCGCGGATTTGTCCAACGAAACCTACTCATCGTCAGTCATCCGGAGGGACTGTACATAGGCAACAAAGGCATCTTTGCTGGAGGTCCCAGTGGCGATACCCGAGTTATTTGTAGGCTTGCAGTCTTGTGTGTGCCGAGGATGTCGTGGAAACAAATAACTTTGGACTGAAATTGACCCACACTCTGGACCTAGGGATGATCGCAAGAGGGTTCGATCGACTTATCGGAAGCTTTGTGTGCGCTCGAGTCAGCTGAGTAAGGCAAGGCAACAACCAACGTGTGCACCCGGTTGACTCCTATCACAGTTGGGTAAATGTCCTCAGCTTTCTCCCCCCCGAATTTTACAATAGCATACATCTTGCAACAGCATTTCCCTGAAGTTCCTGATGGAGTGATCGTGCACATTTTGTGACGGCCCCGCAAGGCCGTACAGCAAACTAACATTCGGGCATGAGGATCGGATCCGTATCTTGGGTCACGGTTGGAGGTGGATCGCGGTAAAAAAAACACACACACATCGGGTATTTTGCAAAGATGCAATATTGGGGTTTTAGTGGTTCAACAACTCGAGGTAGGCGTTTCCGGTCACACTTCCTTACGTCCACAAACCGCAGTGCATACCTATTTGATGAAACTAACACTGCTTAGCCTACTATGGGCTTGAATATGACTGATTTGGTTCCTAACCGCCAATGCTACGGCCTGGCAGGACAGCAGCGATTCCTAATGAATCAATGGTTTGAAATATCTCTCATAGTCTTCACGGATCTGGCGAGTCAAATGGAAATGAGGATCCACTGTTTCAGGAATCCATGTCCACAAGTAGGGTGACGCGCTCTATTTTAATAGAGGCTGGTGACCTGCCCAGTGACGCGCATATAATATAGAGGCTGGAGTCCTGGTTATGCGTGTGGCTATACATTCATGGAACTATTGAGTTGGCGCCAGCCGAGCGTTTGTCCCCTGAAGAGAGGCTGGTCACCTGCCTAGCGTTTGTCTTGTCTGATTCCCGGTCTATTCTGGTGCTGACTCTCGCAGGAGGCTCCCAAGGTGACGTAAAGCCAGTGCTGAGCTGGCGTCAAAAACTCTCGGGCGCCCCGATCCTCGATTAAGTAGATTTCCTTGCTGGACTTTGTTCGAGTCGGCTCAGTGGTTTTGCTCGTGGCCTTGTTGTTGCCGCGAGAGAGAGCCTGAGATAATGGATGAGCCTTTCTCACCACCGTCATAAATGATGTCAAGCGTCTGTCTCACAGGGATATAGATATATTCTGCAGCTACTCGAACTCAGTTATGTTATGATCCATCTCCTTCAGGGTGGGGTCTCCACCTCCGATTCTTTAGAGATGCACTTGCGTCGATGCCTCCCAACGACATAGTCTGTAATCGTCTCTAACACCCTAGTTGTTCGTTGCAGAGATATGAGATGTGCGCATTATTAACGGTCGAGTTCACAGAGCCGGACCCGGACGCCCCCTAATTCTCATGGACCAACTGGCTGCTGCGCCGGATGCGATGGGGGGCATTGGAATAATACATTGCCTAGGCCAGAGGAAGATTTCCCTTACCAATTTGGTGGCGCCATGTTGCTTCTCCAACGTGGGATATGCAAATCTTGACTTCAAGGTCTCTATGACATGCTTTTCACAACGCCATCAACTCAGAAGATTCCAAAGGAGGTATCGCTAGTTCCACTCAATCCGTTCAGGGGCCATTGACCCAATCTGGATTCCATTTGGAATTCGCTAACGCCCAGAGCCCAATATTAAATCCTTCTCCCTCTCAAGGTGCTCCTTAGAGGGCGTTCACTGTTCTTGTGCGCTGGCGATCTGAGGGCCGCCAAATATGTCCAACTCCCCCGTAACCTCACGTTATACCACGTTCGAGACCCCAATGCACCAGATGATGGACTGATCGCTGGTGGGTTACCTTACAATCCATGACTCGACTGCACAGTCTTCCCAATGGCATTCTCAGGAACAGGAGAGTGCCTAACAATGCCGGCGACTCGATGTCTCATGATTTTGGTCTCGTACGCGTTGTTGATGGGAATCGTTCGCACGAGCACCGATAGCAGTGACACCACTTCTGATATTTTCAAGAAAACTAACGCAATTGTTTCTCGATCCTTCTGGATTCGAGCGTATGCAAAAAGGTTCAGATGCTCGGTCCCACTCGTACTAGCACTGACTCAGAAGTCAAAGAAAATCGTGTAAACAGTTTATCAAGCATCAGCTCTGTGTCTTGGCGAAGGCGAGCGATTGTGCAATGCTGGAGTATATGAGACTGAAGGGACCTCAGGCTGTGGTGGATTGGCGGATGGATGATAGTACTAGAAAACTGTTTTTCAGGCTGCCTGTCCTATGCATGTAATTATGGCAGGCGTCTTGCGGATTAGCAGCAAGCAGGTATCGAGGACTTGGGGACTTGCAGTGAAGGCGGCGAGGAATGCCGTATGCCACAGTGGATGATGGAGGGGTTGTGGCGAGGAGAGGCTGGGACTGGAATTAGAGAATCATCACGCCCCAGCTGAGTATTGCAATTATTAATTGCTCGATCTAGTGAGTTGAGCGGCCGGTATCCCGTCCCCTATCCAGCACATCACACTAGTACTCCTTGGATCGTTATACCCATCATTCGAGGCTTAGGATGCAGCTGGCGGAAAATATTTTCAGCCTAGTGATGATCGACATTGGCAAGTGCACTTTATGTAGCGCTGCATTCCAAGAAAGGGTTACTGGGGCTCGATCTAGATTCAACCCACAGAAACAAGAGTCTCAAGACACTAAAGCATCGGGAAATGCACGTCCTCTGGCAGCTCTTCCAGCGTCCACTTGTATATACCCAAGAATAGCGCTCGAAAAATTGCCGGATGGCTGACCAGGGCCGGCAATCATATCTGGACAGAATATTCCGGCTCGCTAGTATGATGGCGGAAATCTGATGTGATCAATAAACGCTTCCCTGCATGAATGTCATGGGGGTTGAGCCCCGCTGGGGCTGCACTGTTTCCACTTCCTTCGCCAATGCCAGGAGTTAACATAACGCATGGCATCCTTCCGCGAGCAGCTGAGAGGTTTGGCATGGACGTCAACCTCTTGCCATTTAGTTGCAAGCATGCATCCAAACTTATCCCAACACTAGACACCCCGTCGAAATGAATTGAATGGCATCGATGCTTCTGTGGAATATTGATATTTCACAAATGAATATCAACTGTCAATGACGGGCAACTGCTTGACCCAACCCTTAGCCAACTCCTTTTACCAGATCCTCTTGTTACATATATCTGCGCAGGCTGATGCGTGGAGTCGCCTGCGTTCTCTAAAAAAACCTACCGGAGTTACACGAAGCTTGCTGTTTGCTTGTTTTCCTCTGTGATTGGCAACAGGTTTTCGACTTGAATAAGATCCCTGTTTTAGTGGGGGCATAGCCTTGGTAATTTTGATGCCTGAAGGGTCCATCAACCCTGAACGACTTCACTGATTTTTGCTTTGAGCACCCCATCCGCAGTCGTCCCGCCCTTTCTGGACGGTGGAAAACCAAGGCATGCTCAGACACAATACTTGTGCGGTTTATCGGTGCAAATCGGTGAACGGACAGTCGAGATATCGTAGAAAATGCGTGTTTTCGGCTGTGAGCGACTTTCATCCACCAATAATCCATATTTCAAAAAATGTCATCCAATTGGAACAGTCGTTCCGCCCGATTATCGGCGCACGTAGGGAGTAGAGGGTGCAGGAATAGCATAAAAGGGGGTTGTATGGAAGTAGGTATCCCTCCCCAGCAACCCTCCTCTCTGTGCTCAGTGGCGCCACTCGCTGCGGGATGGCCGTTTGGGAACAAATTTTGTGGATGATCGTCATTGTGTGATGAGCCCACGCAGCGTCGCCTGTAGGCTAGGGCGGTTCGTTCATCTTTCTTTCCTGCTTTTATCCTCGATGAGTTGATTCGTACTTTGTCGATCTTTGCTTGGCGGTTGCTAGGTCAAAGGTTGTTGGCAAGCGTGCGTTTTCGGTTCGCCACAACTCGCCCTGAGGTGTTTGTGACATCGCGTCAATTAGTAAGTGTTTCTCGTCTCCAGCGCTGGCACATTGTTTGACTTTCAGGGTTTTCGTAGAATTTGTTTTTTCTCTCCGTTTTGTGTCACCATCAATGGGCCACCCTCGGATCCGAATCCTTCCCTCACCACGCAACGATGGCAAGCCCCTCCATACTCATACTCTGTCCAAAAGCAACCACGAAGAATTGATCAAATTTGTGACTCGACCGCCTGTCTTTGTCTGTCTGTCTGTCTGGGCTCAGCTTCCTCGCACGAGATTGGGACAACACGAGTCTTGGGGCCGTGCTATGGAATTTTCTTACAGATGCTTGAATGATACTCGTGTTCTGGTCTACTTTATCGGTTCCCGACAAATCCACTTCATCTTTCGACAACCGACAATTCGGTATGCCAGCAAGGATATAGGGACATTCTGTCTGTGCTTAGTGCGTTTCATTTGTCCATTGTGTTTCAATCAGTCCGCTAACGATGTCCTAACGTCTTAGAGCTCTGGCAACAATATTTTCTTTCTCTTCGCCTGTCATGTGTCATACTTGGTCGGACCGGCGTGATGGTGATGGCAGCAGTGGCCAGTCCTCTGAGCTGGTTGGGGGCAACAAGATCCATCACCAACGTCGGTTGACTGGCGGGTGTTCTTAGCGCTGGGGCACTTGCTAGTCACCTGCTCGGGGAGGGAAGGGCTGGGCGTTTAGTGGTCTGATCTCCCGTCTGAGTGGCAGACCGTCCAGTTTCGCCCTCCCTGCACGGGGGCGCCTAGATAGGGCGCCCCCCCTAGTGGGCCGGTGAGTTTTATGTTGTTTTTTTTTTCTCATCACGACTCTGACCCCCCAACATTTTAGGAAACCATACAATAATTTCCCTGGTGTTGGGCACCTCGGACCTCGGATGGGTCACCCTTCACTGTTGGGACATGATAGTTTTCTTTAGGCCTTCCTTTTCGTCTTGCAACCTGTACTTTCTGTATCGTATACATATATCCCAATCATATAATTCATTTCTATGGGATCAGGTATTATGCGTGGGATGCGACATGATGGGTGTTCTCGCGGAGTCAACAATTGACAAGTGAATCAGTAAAATCGAGACATAACCTTGGAAGCATCCTCAGGCAATTGAGATAGACACCAGAGCCCAAACCGCTTTGTCTTCCGGTTGCGATGACGATGGCGAGATAGTAGACATGAGATCTGAAGGAGTTATCTTGAACGAAGGGATGTTGTTACGCGAGCAGTTGTGTATGACGGAAAGCACTGGGAGGCTTACATAGTGCCCCGCTTCATCCTGTATTAGGAAATTTGCAAGCAATTCCCTCGGGCCATGATTCTGCCGGACAATTCTTTCGGCCAACTCTGCTACAATATAGAAAAGCCACCAACGTGCATTATGTAATATGAAAGCCTTCGTTGGATGGGCGCTACAGAATAACGGGAATCACGCGGTGCCATTTCTTAATGCCGCAGCTTCGATGACGGACACGAGGGGGTTGTTTCTTCCACGTCCTTGACGTCTAGCATACCGATGGCATTCGGTTTCATCGACCACCCCCGCGTTAATGAAATCCGGTCCCAGGCCCTCAGCCATCTCGTACCTTCCCCAGAAGCTCGGAAGCCCATAAGTCTACAAAGCATACTCCCTTCACTTGCCCTACTCTGGATCCTCGCGTACCTCGTACGGAAGCCAAACACTTATTTGTTGAGGCTGGCTATCTTCCCACTTGCGTTTGCTTCGTGTCTGCGATTAGCCTTTGGGTGCAAATTACCTGGTCCAGACCAGAACGGAAAGAATCTCGGTTGGAGTAAGATTGCAACTTTCATCTTCGGGGCACCTAAACTGATTTATCGGATCCTCCTTGAAACTTTGTGTTGGTCCAGCCCTTGTTTGGCTTCCCGCTGCCGTAAGAACCATCGACTTAGGTTTGTACAATCGCAAGGGTCAACTCAGAGTGGGCGAATTAGAGCCTGGAAAGCTCAAGGTGCCTGCCAGTGGCCGTAAATCTGGCGGTTTTGACTCTTCCGTTAGTGGAAACAGTCATACCAACGTTCAAGCTGAACAAAACTATTCAAACTCGCTTTGGGGTATCCTGATAGAAGGACTGGATACACTTGTCGCTATGCGTGGTATTGGGTGGGAATTCGGAACTGGAGAAGGCATTTATTTGAAGCCAGATGATCGAGACACTGGGCATAAGACAACATGGTGGCTGCAAACGGTCTGGAAATTACTCAAGTGCTTCATCGTCATGGATTTTGTGGTGTCTTGCTTCAAACTTCTTCCCGGCTTCGAAAAACCAGTTGGGGCAACCATCTTTGCCTACGGAAGAAATGTGGTTGAGAAGTATATCATCTCTTCCCTCCTCTCCTTCATGACGGGGCTCATCATCATTACGAGTATTTGCCAGCACTCCTCCTATTTGTTTCATAGCGTTAATATACATTCTAGGCATCTCCATAGTGTATCACCTGAGTTCATTGGTGTTCGTTGGACTCCTCAACCAGAGCCCTGCCTCCTGGCCCCCCCTCTTTGATCGCCCTTTGTCGAGGACTTCCCTGCACGATTTCTGGTCCAAGGGATGGCATCAACTCCTTCGCAGAACCTTCATTGTCATGTTGGGCCGTCCCCTTCAGTCTCTCTTCGGCTTTGGCGGTTTAGTCGTTGGTTCATTCACCGCTTCAGGGCTATATCATTCCTGGGCGCTGTACGCCCTCGGAGGGGGACCGGATTACCAAGCCTTGATTTTTTTTTCATCGCAGCCTGTAGGATTCTTGCTCGAGCGATTGTTTAGGCGTATCGTTGGGAAAAGAATAGGTGGGTGGTTTGGAATGATTTGGGTGTATCTTTGGATAGTAGTTGGAGGGCAATGGTGCAGTGAGTAATCCATCATTCATCCCTCGCTCAGGCGTACAAAAAAGCCCTAAAATTCGTTCTTCAGTGAATACTTGGCACTCCCGCGGGTTAATGTCGGGCGTGATAATACCACTTAGCATCAGCCCTGCACGGCAAATCTTATTGCCCAACTTAGCGCCACTGACACCCTATATTCGGCCATTTTTCTACGCCAATTCAGCCCAAGGTAAGGGATATTTGGCATATATCTCCATCAACTTTCAGCATCACTATCGCAGGTACCGGGCCACTGCCACTTTGAGTGGGGCTACGCTCTCAAGCTTAATCAAGACGGACACTTGTGTTCCGAGCTGGATTTTATTTCCCGTCCTTTCCACAAACCACACCCCAGCTCGGCAGTGACTACCCAAGATACAATTAGCATCATATCGTTGGTCTACCATAATCCCAAGGGGCTGTTTGTCGTGCGTTTGAGCAACGCTCACTGCATACTAGAATGGAATGTACAAGCTCCTGCCGTCCAAATGATTGAATATACAAATTGATCTCTACCTATTGCATCACAGAAGAGGCTACAGATCTATTCTAACTCTGCTAACGCTCACTGGAAGAACTATCGGAGTAAGCTGAGGAAGTGCACATGAGATCGAAGGGGTTTAGTTTGTGAGTCAAATAGGTAATGCTCTTCAAAGGTCCTGCGGTGCTGACAAGGACGGGGGCCTAGCCCTAAACCGTGGCAACCATTGATTTGCATCTTCGATGATACACTCCCTTCTCATTAACAGACACATATCTTTCTGCGTGATATTCCTCATCTATTCCCGTCTAGTAACCACCGACATCAATCATAAAATGCCAGCAGAACTTACGATGAGGACATTATCACCTTGCTTTACATTCGCCTTGATGGCATTTAGTCAAGCAGTAAACAGATAAAGGAAGTTAGCAATTGACGTCTACCTCCAACCAGTTACGCCAGCAATGGGCCATCCAGCTGCATGGTGGCATGATGAACGACAACAAAGTCGGAAAATGCTCCGCCCAGCGAATTGTCGCCGAGCCTTACGAATGCGAGATTAAAGGGCAAGATGCGTTATGCTTGAGCCAAATGCGTGTGTCAAGGTTTGAATAAGATATTAGTACCTATCTTCTGGTCCATCCGGATCTGAATCTCATCCACGGAGAAGGACACAACGCCGAATGAGGGGATCCTCGATGAAGGGGGCTATAAGAGATTGAAGTGTATATTATTGGCAAAAGGGTGCCAAAAAATTGCGAAGAGTAGCGGGCACTTCCCACGACAGGCGGCGTCCGCCGTGTGTCTCCCATCGGGTGGTCATACATCCACCACGCAGGATAACAAAGGGGGAATGGCAATGTCTGCAACCAACCTAATGAGTGATAACTTGTGTGCCCTGATCGTGCAATGCCAGGGCTTGCTGACCATTCGCACCGGGACCTGGCTGCCACTCAATACTTCAACAATATTCTCCCTTGTCTGTTCACAATGGTGCTCCGCGGCCTGCATTTCTATCCCTTCACCCTGACCATGCATACTGCCGCTTCAACGCGAGAGGAAATCAGCTGTGTTCGAAACTGCACTTGAGAGGTCGACAGGAGCATTGCTCGGCTCGAATGCAGCACCCACAATCACACCTGGGCGCGACCCCACGAGGCCACGTAGAGATGCTGCTGGTCCCCAAACTAATACTCAGCCTCGACCTCTATTAAACTTCCGTCTCGTCGTAATTTAGGTATTCTCGGTGCGGTCCCCATGGGAACCAGAATTCGGGACATTAGGTTTATGTGCACCTCAACTACCCCGAAGCACTAGCATCATTGATTCCTCCCTCTCCCCTCCCAGATTGCGGAGAATCAGGATTGGTTATGTGATCTATCTCCTTCGGGTTTGCGCCGCGGCGCCGTCTTCCCCCCCACTTTAGGGATGCTTTGCGTCGTCCCTTTATGACATCCTGGCACATTTGCAGAAATACAGGGTGTGCGGGCCCTCAGTTGAGTCCACAGGCCTCAACTCAGGTACCACCTAATATCCTTTCTCTCATATTAATCAGTTATTGGCTGAACGCCGAAACTGGGATAATACCTATTGTGATGCTCAGGTGACGTAAATCTTGACTTCAAGGCCCCCAGGCATGGCCCTTAATGCGATTAATGTGGAAGGGGGTATCACTTGCACCACCAGATTGGTCCGGGGACAATGAGTCAATCCAATGTTTTATTCAGGATTCGCTGATACCGAAAGTGCAATACAGAGCCCTCCCTTTTAAAGTGCTCCTTGGAGGGTGTTTGTCATTCTAGTGTGCTCCTTGCGCTGGTGATTGGAGGCCGGCAATGTGACTGCTTTCTCGCCTTTTCGCGTTCAAGATCCCGGAAGACGGACAACTCGCAATCCATAGCCTATGAGTCTTCGCTTCCCGGTTCCATCGGCACCTTCAAGAATAAGAGAATTCCTAACAATACTCGCGATTCATGCAATATTTTTGGTCGTTGGCGACGATTTGTGCGAACACTAGCACCAGCATCTCCAATCCGTCAATTTCCAAGACGACGAATGCAGTTGCTTCTCAATCATTCTGGATTTGAGTGTGCGAGAAATGTTCACATGCTCGGTTGGTTCCACTTATGCCAGTACTGACTCTGAGAAATACCTACCTGCGCAGGTATCTTGCGAGTCCACACTCATGATCGGCAAGAGGCTACCGAACAGGATTTCCATGTCAGCAGTTAGGTTGGCGAGAGCCGTTAGGACTATGTAAAGACAGAGAAGCTCCGAGTGAGAGTGATTGGCTCATAATGGCTTAATCCAGTAGGTTGACCGGGCCGGCATCATGCCCGCGTCGCAGTCATGCTGGTCAGCACATCGTGCTATTCCTTGCCTCTGCTACGATTGTTTGGGACTCAGGATGTATCCCTATCATTACTTGCGCAAAATATGTCCAACTTGGTTTTTATCTGGTTACGTATGGCTGACATCGGCCTCTAGGGCTCCATTTGAGTAACAACAAGTCTCGGGGCCGCCGATTGTTTGGGGGTTGCGGGTCTTTTGATGGGTCTTCTGGCGTCCGCCGCGTTTTCGCGGGGAAAAGTACACGGATGGTCACAAAGGCTGGCAATATCTGGACATAATATTCCGGATCATTTGGTCCGGCTATTACGTATGACGACGGCTGAAACCTGATATGATCAATAAAGGTTCCTGGATCCATTCTAGAGGTCGAGTTTGGCTGGGGTGGCGAAGCCTGTTCCCCCTTCTGCTGCTGGTGTCAGAAGTGGGTTGTGGCGTCCTTCGACCAGCTGAACAGCGTTGGCATGCATATCAACTCATGGGGATGAGGGGAAATTTAATCGCAAACAAGAACGACACAAATTGCCTTGCTTCTAAAATTAACGTAGCCGTTGCGCTGGGTCCGTCCAAATATGTAAATTAAATCGCATCGATGCTTCCATGGAAGCATCCAAATATGTAAGTAACAGCTACGACGGTCAACCAGCCCTCAGCCAACTCCTTTCACCAGCTCCTAATCTTGGTGCACAGCGATGCATGGAGGAACACGCCTTCTGTAGAAAAGCCTCCGGAGTTGAGTGGCGCTTGCTGTTTGCTAATTATCAGGCTTGTCTGTGTGACAGGTTTTCGACCCGAATACGGTCCCTGTTTGAGTGGAGCATAGCCTTGACAATTTGATGCGTGAAGGGTCCATCATTCCTGAAGGACTACACTGATTCTTGCTTTGAGCACCATCCGCAGCTGTCCCGCCCTTTCCAGACGGCGGACAACCAAGGAATGCTCAGAGACCACACTTGCGCGGTTGAACGGTGCAAATCGGTGAACGGGCAGTCGAGATATCGCAGGAGACGTGTTTTCGGCGGTGTGTGACTTTCATCCACCAATAATCCGTATTTCAAAAACGTCATCCAGTCAGTAACATTGGTTCCGCCCGATTATCGGCGTGTGCAGGAAGTAGAGGGCGCAGGAAAAGCATAAAAGGGGGCCAGTAGAAGCAGGTCTCCCTCCCCAGCAATCCCCTCTCTGTGCTCAGTGGCGCCACTCGCTGCGGGATGGCCGTTTGGGGACAAATTTTGTGGATGATCGTCATTATGTGATGAGTCCACGCAGCGTCGCCTGTGGGCTAGGGCGGTTCGTTCACCTTTATTTCCTGCTTTTATCGTTTGATGAATTGATTCGTACTTTGTGGATCTTTGTTTGGCGGTTGCTAGGTCAAAGGTTGTTGGCAAGCGCGCGTTTTCGGTTCGCCATAACTCGCCCTGAGGTGTTTGTGACATCGTGTCAATGAGTAAGTGTTACTCGTCTCCAGCGCTGGCACATTGTTTGACTTTCAGGGTTTATGTAGAATGTTTCTTTTTCTTTTCTTTTTCCGTTTTATGTCACCATGAATGGGCCACCTTCGGATCCGAGTCCTTCCCTCACCACGCAACGATGGCAAGCTCCTCCATACCCACACTTTGTCCAAAAGCAACCACGAAGAAATTGATCAAGTTTGCGACTCGACCGCCTGTCTTTGTTTGTCTGTCTGGGCTCAGCTTCCTCGCACGAGATTGGGACAACACGAGTCTTGGGGCCGTGCTATGGAACTTTCTTTGGCTTTGTCACTGATGCTTGAATGATACTGGTATTCTGGTCTACTTTATCGGTTCCCGACAAATCCACTTCATCTTTCTATAACCAACAACCGACAATTCGCTATGCCAGCAAGGATATAGGGACATTCTGTCTGTGCTTCGTGCGTTTCATTTATTCACTGTGTTGCAATCAGTCCGCTAACGATGTCCTAACGTCTTAGAGCTCTGGCAACAATATTTTCTTTCCGTTCGCCTGTCATGTGTTTTACTTGGTCGGACCGGCGTGATGGTGATGGCAGCAGTGGCCAGCCCTCTGAGCTGGTTGGGGGCAACAAGATCCATCGCCAACGTTGGTTGCCTGGCGGGTGTTCCCTGCGCTGGAGCACTTGTCAGTCACCTACTCAGGGAGGGGAGGGCTGGACATCAAGCGGTCTGATCTCCAGTCTGAGTGGCAGATCGTCCAGTTAGACCCTCCCTGTATGGGGTGGGGCGCCCTATTAGGGCGCCCCCCCCCTAGTGGGCCGGTGAGTTTTCATTCTATCCCGCCCCTTATCGTGATACTGAACCCCTAACACGTTAGGAAATTGTACATTATTCGCTCTGGTGCTGGGCACCTCGTTTAGGTTCCGGATATTCTCGTCTCATGGTGTACTTTCGGCATCGTATATATCTCATTAATTTCCAATGGGATCTGGTATTATTTGTGGGATGACGTGCTCGACGTCGAAAATTGACAGATGAAACAGGTTCAGCCCTGGCCCGGGAAGCGTCCGTTGGCACAAAACAAAAAACACTTTGGCCACGTTAAAGGTCAAAGTCAGAGTGTAGTAAGCATTTCGCGTTCTGCCTTAGTCCCCCTCGCAGTGTCCATGAATCCCTGCCCTACCGTTGGGCGCGATAATGACGAGTTCGCGAGTGGCAATTTGTGTTGTCATGTGGGACGTCGGCTCGTTTATTGGGCGTGTCAATCGGCGGGTCAGGTCAGTGCCTAGAGGCTAGAGGGTGGCTATCTTCCGCAAGTTGTGCATACTAAGTCAGCATTACAAGTTTTGTTGTACTGTTCGCGATCGATGCTTCACTGGAAAGTCCTGGACGCAGACGCAAACAAAGCACGCGGGGTACTCCATATGCAAACCCGTTAAGCCAGCCACTGAGATTCCCCCGAACTTCCACGAAAAAAGCAGCATACCCTGCCTGAATGTGCGCATGACGTTGGAGAGTGAGTGAGAATGGTTTCCGCCATTATGCACGACCCGTAGACAAGCGACATAGTTTGAGTCGGATGTGGGGCAGGCCACATCGGGCCATGGCACATCGCTAGTGACCTAAGCTAGTACCCAGCGACTCAACAACGAGACCTTGGGGAATATGTTGAGCATTTAATCCTCGGGAATCCGAACGGTTCGAAGCGTTGATCCAGTGGGTTCACTGTCATCAGACACTGAACACTAAATAACTGGTTAGGTGCCCTGTTTTGAGGAAATTCTTGCGAAGAAAGCCTGTTCGCGAGAGGTCCCATACAGTAGAATTATTGTATCCGTGGGCTTGCGGCACACGCGCGCACGAAAAACGGTTGTTTTGGAATCGACACAAGACCTGCATGGATTGCTGCAGGAACCAAACTCACGGTTCACATGTGCGATTGTGTGAACGAGATCAGTGAGAATGACCGCCAGTTACCAACACACCAGTTGGGCGATCGGGAACGAACATTTGTTGTCTGAAAAATGAATCGGCGGGGCAGATCAACTTGGCAGTGGCCGCGAACACTCAACTTGCAGACCCCGGGATAGGAATCGAACTTGGAGCAGGTCAACTGTCAAGACGTATTCCCAATTCCATCACTGCCGTACAAATATTCACTGTTGAATTCCTTCGGCGACCTTCATTCTCAATGCATGGGACCATCTGGAGTGCTATCCATGTGTCTTCAAGTTTGCCTCCCATTCACAAACCCGATGGGAATTCCGAGAGCGCGAACCGCATAAAGTGGATTAATATTTTTCTGACTACATATCACATGACTCATCACAGGGTCTAAGAATCTAGACATCCTGTCAAGTTACGGGAAAATAGTCCGCCAGGAGTCTTCCATTATATGAGGAACCATTACGTAATATGTTCTTCTTTACATTTTTGCATTGAAATCAATATATTACAACGTGTGAACTTGCAGGTACATGTTGCGCGCGCGCTAACGCCCTCCCATGGATATTGTCAATATAGTACACATCTTTCTGGGACGGGAACGCGACAAGGCATCCCCCTCCCCCCTTTCAGGTGTTGTTGTTGTGCAAGTGAAGCTTCCTCGACGAACCTCGTGCTTTTGGAAATTCGCAACGGTTTTCCGGCGTCAGAGTGCTTGCAGGGTCCGGACATGGTCCTCCAGCCCGTGACCGTTATGTTCACGTCACGTCACACTCACATCATAAGTTATATCTTCAGGGATTGAAAATGGGGAAGGTTTGCCCCAGCTTCTTCGCCTCCTCCCCCCCAACTTCACGATGGCATCTGGTTTCATCGATCACCCTCTAGCGCGACGCGCCGATGAGGTTGTGGTCCAGACATTTCGACATTTCGTACCCCACCCAGAAGATCGAATGCCTATCACTCGCAAGAGCTGGGTCAGTTCGGTCATCCTACTCTGGATCCTCGGGTGCCTCGCACGAAGGCCAAACACTTATTGGATAAGATTGGCTTTCTTTCCGGTTGTTTTCCTTTCATGCGTGCATGTTGGCTTTGCGCATAGAAAACGACTTCCAGGAACGGACGAGAGCGATTACGCTTGGGGTAAGATTTCAAATTCGTTAGTTCTTCGTCTTGAGGAGGTCACCTAAGCTTATTCGTCCTATCCTCCTTTACACTTTGTATTAACCAAGGTCACATTTGGCTTACCTGTGCCTTCCGAGCCATTGACTTGGGTTTATACAAGCGCAAGGGTGAACTCAGAATAGGCGAAGTTGAGCCTGGAAAGCTCAAGACGTCCGCCAATGGCCATAAATCTAACGGTATCCACCCTTCTGCGAATGGAAACGGTCACAGCAAGGTTCATGCTGAACAAACCAATTCAAATCCGTCGCTTTGGAGAACACTGTTGGAAGGATTAGCGGTAATTCTCAACCAGCGTGGTATTGGATGGGAAGATGGAAAGGACATTTATTTGAAGCCAGAGTCCCGAGACACCGGGCGCAGGTGGAAATGGTTGCTCCAAACGTCATGGAAATCCGTCCAGTGTTTCCTCTTTCTCGATTTTTTGGACTCTACCTTCAAACTTCTCCCTGGCTTCGACAAGCCACGGGGTGCTACCATCTTCGCTTTCGGAAGAAATCCAATTGAGAAGTATTTCATCTCTTGTGTCCTTTCCTTCATGACAGGGCTCAGTATCATTAGGCGTACGTCGCAATGTCTTCCCTATTTGTTTCCTTGTACTAATGGTTATTTTTTTTAAATAGTGTTCGGCCTCTTGTATCACATTTGTTCATTGGTGGGCGTTGGACTCTTATTCCACCCCCCAGCCTCCTGGCCACCTCTTTTTGATAACCCTTGTTCAAGGACATCCATGCACGATTTCTGGTCCAGGGGATGGCATCAATTCCTTCGTAGAGCCGTCCTTGTCTTGGGTCGCCCTCTCGAGTCTCTCTTCGGTTTCCCTGGTTTAGTGATCGGTTCGTTTATTACTTCAGGATTCTACCATTCCTGGGGGTTGTACACGGCTGCAGGGGGGCCAGATTATCAAAACTTGATATACTTTACAGTGCAGCCTTTGGCATTTTTGTTCGAGCGATTGTACAGGCGCATCACCGGCCGAAGGTTAGGCGGGTTTCTTGGAGGGGTTTGGGTGTATCTCTGGATTGTGGTCGGAGCACAATGGTGCAGTGAGTAGCTCGTGCTCGGGTGCAGAGCAAAGCGCTGAGTCTCACTATTTTCCCTAGTTAATGCTTGGCACGCTCGTGGGTACCTGAAGGGGATATTGATACCGCCGCGCCTCAGTCCTACCCAACGAATCCTGTTCCCCGCTTTGACACCACTAGCGCCGTATCTTCGGCCATTTTTCTACGTCGATTCAGCCTGAGTTGTTGTGAAGTAAATCTCCGTCTGACTTTTTCGTCCACCACGTTCGGTTGTTCCACTTCAGATCCTAGATAGCATTGTATTGCCCGTATTTATCAGAGCACAAAGAATGGTATCAGAAAGGTTGAATCTCTATGTACATATAGTACGTCACCTTTGACAGAGTGTGGAAACAGGTGCGGCTGTGGAGGTCATCGAAGACTTCGGAGACGTCTTCCCGCATCCACTATCACATTTTGTTTACCTGCACGGCGGGTTACTGTGTAGCCTCTATGACTTCGTAACTTGGCTGCTTCCATCATGATTACGCAATGTTACGAAGTCATAGAGGCTAGAGTCCTGCCTCACCACGCTACGAGCGAGTTCACTTTTATCGTGTCATCCTTTGGAAAATCCCTTACATATGGCACTAACACTCTGAGTGTGAGGGAATATTGTTCATTAATGTCGTTGGGATAGTACATTTTGGACAGGAGGCACGAGAACACAGAGAACATTTACGCAGAAAGAAATCAACTTATTATAACTCCAGTCGGCCAACCACAGGGAGAGTTCAAAACAACGTAAATCTGGTACGATAAGATTACTGCTAATCAGATCTCAACTTATATGGACCAAACGGCTAGTATTAAGGCGGCGGGGTAGCAGAAACGAGGTGAGGCGGGGGCGAGGAGAAACCGGGGGGGGGAGTGAAACAACTTGATGGGTGGAGAGTCCAACCTGGCTTCGCTTCGATTTTAATTTCCAGCGTTCTCGCTCACCAATCCAAGAGACCGGATCTCCTGGGGACGACCTCTGACTTGATCGGTTAAAGACGCTTCGTCTGACGGTCGAGCGGGGGAAACCATGTTTCCATAGCCACCTCTGCCCGTAGACTATTTCAGAAGTGAAAATTAATGTTGTCAATACATGCAAACAAATGCCGGAAATAAAAGGGGGCGGGGAGGGTGGAGTAGTGGTTGGTGGGGGAACGGAATGAGACAAAGGGGAAGAATGGGGGGACCCGGAGCAAGCTTACCTGAACACCTTCTCGAGCCGCGTCATAGTCGTGAGCAAGCGCTGCATCCTTCACTATTTGACGATTGACCGTATCGTTATCACGAGAAGGCGAACGAATGTTCCCACGTCCGCCTCTTCCGATGTGGGTTATCTAAAAAAAAAAAACAACGACCTGTTAGCCTTCTCCCACCCAGTGTCCAACTTATCCAAGTGCACTTACATCACCGGGGCGAGAAACTGGAGATAACTCTCTTCCAGATGGTTCGCTTCGCAGTTCGCGAGGAAGTGAGGACTCGGGGGTCATGTTACCAGCTCCACCTCGTCCCGTTGAAACCTACCCAACGAAGAATGAGGAATGGAGAAAGGTGATGTCAGCATGAGCCTGAGTTGGAAGCAGACAGTGGATGGGGCCGGGCATGGAGGGCGAACAGAAGACTCACGTAGGAGGGGCGACCTCTGGACTGGGATCGTTCTGTAGACATGATCGAGACGAGTTGTAGTACAGGGGAGTGCAAGTTTTTAAAGTTGAATGGAAGTGGGACTGTCAATCAGCTCAAGTCGAGAGGGATGAAGATGAGGAGCAAGGTAAGAGTGGGGAGGGATTTATACGTGGAGGATGGAGCACGGGTCATGGGTTCAAGTTGAGGGTTGTTCAACGCGTCATGAGTTCAGACCTGTGCTCTCCTCACCGAAAGCGCGAGAAACAAACGGGAGGATCGGGAAATAAATGCCGGAGAGAACGGGGTTACGAGAAGAAGGATCGGGTGACCGCCTCTGTAAGCGAGGGAGCACCGGAGAGGAATTTAAGAGTCAGCTGACGTACAAGGAGTTGTTTTCGCTCTCGGCTCCGCCACGGCAAATTACATACACAACCAAACTTGTTGACCCTATGACGAAGTCGAACGTGACCGGAAATTGGTAAACTCAACCTGCTGACCCCCGAACATACACAGCCAGCACCGGTCCCGCTTCCATCACCGGTATACCTGAAGGGCCGTATCCAACTGAGGTGGCGAACATTGTTTTACTCGTTTTGTCGTTCTTTGCACACGTTGCTAGAACAAAGTCCAAGTTGACGTTCGTCGTCGATACGTAAAGTGCCCCATATGCTGCAGTGGTGAAAGGACAGCTTAAGCGATAAGTAGACGCCGGCGCTAATTTCCTGGTGGCGGGATCTTAGTTTTTGACGCCAAGCATTTAGCGGTGCCGAGACAATGAATAAATTCGGCTCCCTCCTAGCGCTAGATTCCAAAGCAGGTTTATCTCTCAGCGGCGGAACAGCTGGGGAATCGTCAAGTAATGAAGGAATGACTCAAGCCAGGCGTCTCAATTGCAGCCGAGAAGGCGACGGAGCGACAGATGCGTTCCCCTCAAAATCGACCTCATGGTTCTCAGGGGTAAGCTAGCGCCACATGGACATATGACAGCTTTCTTACATAATAAATGATGGACCGGTATGTGACATTCTATTATTTCGCCGCGGCGGTGTGGCTTTTATTCGATCAAGATTAGCAGTTATAACTATTGCTTGCTTGTTTGTTTTCATGGCAGCCATGGTCTAGGGGCTACATCTCTCAGGATGTCATTACATGAACTTTGAAGAGTCATGCAACATTGAAAAAGTTTACATGTAATCTTGTCGGTTACTTAAACAACACTGCGCCGCTGTGTTTCTGATCTACATATTGTATGTATGAACTCTCCGGTAAAAAAAAAGTGAAGACATGAGTCATGATGACCGATACAGGGAGACATCTGGGGTTGCTAGCTGGTGCTTGCTAGGCAGGAGGATGGATGGATGTCATCATTTTTTAACTCCCCATGCACGCCAAACGTGACATACGAAGGAGCATACAGCGTACCAATCAACGCATGCTCAGTCGGTTGTGCATAATCTCCCACTTTGCCAGCTCTCTGACCGTTCAACCGCCGGTGTCCCATCCGTCTACCTCTTCCTACGGTCGCCGCTCCATCCCCGAAAACCGCAAACGCCTCCCATTTCAGATCCTCCGACCCGGATGATGGGGGCAAGTAGGGCAGCTCTGCAGTACTCCAGCAGCCTCTATGACTTCGTGACATAGCAAAATCTGCTGCCTTGTTCACTTTCTACCCCATCATCTTTCGTAAAATCCCTTACGTGTACATATGTGCCATTAGAACTGACTATAGTACATACATTTTAGAACTAGCCTAATTTCAGTCGGTCAACCACGAGCAGTATCAGAGACAGAGTCCAAAGCAACGTAATCCGATAAGATGAGATAAATGGTGATAATATCCAAGGAAAGGCCAAGTCAAATAAAGCGAGATGGGGAATATTAGAGCGGTGGGTAGCAAAAAAATACGACGCGAAGAAAACCGGGGTCGGTGAAATAACTTGAGGGTGATGGTTTCGCTTCGATCTTAATGTGCGACGTTCTCGCTCACCGATCCAAGAAAACGGATCACTTGGGGACGACCCCTAACTTTGTCGGTCAAAGGTAATTCGGGAGCAGGGGAAATGGTACGCCTGTTTCCATAGCCACCTCTGCCTGTGAACTATTTCAAAAGGCGTGGTCAGTACATGCGGATGCCGGAAAGAAAGGTGAGTGGTGGGGGTCCAGGTCTCGGAGCAAGCTTACCTGAACACCTTCTCGAGCCACGTCGTGTTCGTGAGCAAGCGCTGCATCCTCCACAATCTGACGATTGATCGCCTCATCAGCAGGAGAAGGCGAATGAACGTTCCCACGTCCACCTCTTCCAATGTGGGTTACCTATAACAATCACCTGTTAGCCATTCTCACCCGGTATCCAACATATCCAGTGCACTCACACTGCCGGAGTGAGAAACTGGTGATAACTCTCTTCCAGATGGTGAGCTTTGCCGTTCGCGAGAAACTGAAAGGTCAAGTATCATGTTACCAGATCCACCTCGTCCCGTTGAAACCTATCCAGCGGGTGATGTCAGCATGAGCCTGAGTTGGAAGCAGACAGGGATGGGGCCAGCAAGCATGCTGTGCAAGTGAGCGAGGGGGCGAAGAGAAAACTCACATAGGAGGGGGGACGACCACTGGACTGGGATCTTTCTGAAGACATGATCGACCGTACGAGTTGTAGTACAGGTGAGCAGAAGTTTTGTGAAGTTGAATGGTGAAGTGGGACTGTTAATCAGCTCACGTCGAGAGGGTGAAGATGAGGAGCAAGGCAAGAGCGGTGAGGGATTTATACGTGGAGGACAGAGCACGAGTCATGGGTTTGAAGAAATAAAAACAAAACTGAGGGTTGTTCAACGCGTCATGAGATCGCAACGAAACAGCAACCCAAACTCCGGGATGATCAATTGAATTGAATTGAATTCTTCGCTTGCAAAATAAATTGAACAATTCAATTATCCGAAACGCCAAAGTGCACAGCCCGAGCTTGGTCTCCGCTCGGTCTCCGCCTTAGCAAGGAAAATGTGGAGGTGCCTACCGCGCGGTCGGGCCTCCGAATCCATGACAGGATAGATGATGTAAGAAAAAACAAGGAACAACGATAATAAGACAAATAAGACAAACAAGATCGGCCAACTCCGCCTGAATTATTCGACAGGAGGAATGGTCGGATGACTCATTGATCAATTCAGTTTCCTCCATGTAATATCACCGAAAGCGCGAGAAAAAACAGGAGGGATCGGTAACATGCCACAGAAGAACAGGGGGGGATTGGAGGGACGAGAGAAGATCGCCGTCTTTGTAAGCGAGGACAGATACATGGAGCAACCGCGTTGTTTACGCCGCTAGCAACGCCGGAGAGGGGTTTGAGCGTCAGCTGATTAAGCTAGTTCCTGTGGGTGCACAGCAGGACAAAGAATTGTTTGTCCCTCGGGCGCAGGTGCATGTCACATTGCCAACCCCCGCCACGGCAAATTTGAGCAATTCGGGTAATCCCCCTCACTTTTGACCCTATGGTGAGTCGAACGTGCGCCGATGAAACAACCACAAAACCAGAGCAACAATTTGAATGGATCGGAAATTGGTCAAACTCACTCGCAGTGGCACCTGCTGCCCCCGGACATGCACAACCCGCACCGGGCCCGTTTCCATCACCGGTATACCAACCAGGGTCAAAGGGCGAAAGGATCCACTCTGATATCCAACTGGGGTGGCGATCATTGTTGGCATTGTTTGTCGTTTTTTTGCACACGTTACTGGAAAAAAGTTCAGGTTGACGCTCGTCATCGATACGTGTAGTGCACATGTGCTACAGTAATGAAAGGACAGCTTAAGCGATAGACGCCGGCGCCGACAGGACCAAAAAAGTCGATTTTTTTCGCTTTCCACTTGGTTGCGGGCTTCAGGGGGGTCTTAGTCCTTTGACGTCGAGCGTTTAGCGGTGCTGGGAAAATGAAAAATCTCAGCTCCCTCCTAGCGCTAATAATCCAAAGCAGGTTTACCTCTCAGCGGCGGGCACAAGTGGCGTTACCAAGAGATGACCCCTATACGTCAAGTAATGAAGAAATGACTCAAGCTAGGGGCCTGCTAGTATGATAATGCAGAACCAGGAGGACGCCAGAGCCGTTCGATACTGATTTGGTAGGTATCTCGCCGGCTAGTGCACGTATGGACGAGATGGACGCAGGGGTTCGTCAAAATCCTAGCCAGTACCGGATCCGAAAACCAAGAACGAAGGGACGTGGGGCACCACGAATTCTTGATCGTACAAACCATCATCCAGGGCACGTATATACGCCACAAGAAACGATTTTTAGGAGTGAAGTACTATCCCCGCATAGCGCTACATGCACTGATATGATAACCAATGTTGGGCCCCTCCAAGTTCAAGGTCATGAGTTTTGGTGTGTGACATCCTAAAATGATTATTTCACTCGTACTGAAACCTCAGGGGTGTTTTCTGATCTGTAGGAACCACCGTGTGGAACGCCACCAGATTCCCCAAATGTACATATGCATCGGTTGGGAAATCGTAAGTGCCTAACGTACCCTCCTGCCGCCCGCGTCATCCCATGAACAAGAAATAATAGCGCATATCGCACGTTCCCTCTGATGCGGGCACCAATGTTAATGCCGCTAAAGAGAGGGCCTAGCACCATTGCATCGAGCATGAATATTTGTCATTCTCGCGATGAGATCACGCCAATATTCCCATATGATGAAGACTTGTGCTACCAGTCATACAGTTCAAATTACGACCTCGAGCACGTACACACGGAGCTGCGAAAATGCCTCGCTCCATGCGCAAATAACGTGCGAATCCTTTTGCGCGCGCCACAGCCAGCTAGGCAGCCGTTTACCCCAGAACTAATTGAAGCGTTGCAATATCGATCAACCAATTGCCAGCCTGTGGGGAAGGGATGTGGTTACATAGCGGACCCTGGGGACGATGGCCCAAAAGCTTCCTGATCTTCCTGATCTTCTACTGGGTTGCAACCTGTTGCACCGCAAGCGGAAGATTATCCTTTTCACACCTGACTCCGTGTTTCTCCATTCACCCAACATAGAGCTCACACGCTCGAGCAAGGAACCCATCAATTGAGTGATCTTGCAACTATGTAAGTGACAGGTGACAACTCCCTAATCAGCCAACCTGGCTCCCCAAGACGATCAGCAGACCAAGTCATCAAGTTTTGTTGATGCCGTGAATCAATACCCAATCGCTTGTTTTTATATTGTGCCCTCGTGCCTATGCCATGCCGACATATTTCCAAGGGGCACGTAGCTCCGCACAAGGATCCGAGCTCGGATCCTTGTGCGGAGCTACGTAAGTGTCCTTGAACGTTCATCCAATGTTGGATCTAGATGAGTTACATAGCCCTAGATGTTACGACACCAGGCATCTGATCTGTCTCAGCTTTTCATCGCACCATACCAACTACATTACGTAGCCGCTTCACACCCCGTCCCTTTCCTTTAGGTTAGGGCTTCGCACGTTTGCACGGGTCAAGTTGACCGTACTCTGTGGGCGCCAGGTGCGGTACACCCGGGCCGGCTGTATCTTTGTAATTTCAGTCACCAGCTTTCGCGCGTGCCACTTGACTGACATACAAGTAGGCGGGCCAGAACATCAGATCTGAAGGGCCTGATGATGTGGCACCTGATAAAAATGATTCTCAGCCCAATCTCTTGCAACCAACCCAATATGGCATTGTCTTGGATCAATAGTGGCAGTTAGGCTCTGAAGCGGCCGAACAAGCCACATGATGTCCGATTCTGCACGATTCAGGGAATCCAGCCATGCTAGTCCCTCCGCTCTGCATAGAATGGGGTAATCCCCTTTATCACACGCGCATGACCATACACCTGGGTGACAACGCATCATCGAACGTGCTTGGAGTTGAGGGAAATGATGCGAAATTACCCATTTCGGCCTAAGGTATCATCACCTGAGAATATTTCCAGGGCATGGATGTTGCATGCTATTAGCCAGCAATTTATTCGTCCGAAATCCCAGACCTCGTGAGCATCAGATGTACACCGAGCCCCTGGAGTGAGACATAGTCTTAGCAGTGGTCTTAGACAGACTTTCAAGTGAGCAAGCCCCGCCACCGGCGTGCTTCCCCCCGAGCTGTTCATACACCAAGACAACAGCGTCGTAGTCACTATCCCATCCCTAGCCTGTTCACACAGTGATTTGGTTCATCAAGAGACTGGCAACTATTTTGCTTGTGTTGCAGTTGTGTTGCAGATGATAATGATGATGATAAATATCCCGCGGCCTCGTGATGACGTGGCAGATCATCTCTACATGAAGGGGGTTCTGGTTGGTACCGTCGGGTGTAAGTGGTCCTCGGGGTTTGTGACGTCTGCGGGTATTGTCGTGGTGGAGACCAACTTCGAAACATGTGTTTACATGTGTTTGTGCCGACAATTTTATCTTGGCCAGACTCGGACCCAGTCGTTCCAGGGGAACGACTGGTGGAAAACATTGCATCCGGGATGATGTAAGCGCTACATGTGACTATACCGACGTCGGTACAATGTATATCACTATTTACACCTACTTCGATGTAAACTCGCGAACGGCATGCCACCGACTCCATCCCTATCCTATCCGCACCCATATGCTGAGCCAACAGAAGATACAATAAGGAGAAATGTCGCTGACGTCTTTGGGAAGACTCTTTGCGGTTTCCAATTGAGAGCAGTCGTTGCCCAAATCCATCGGAGGGATTTGCTCTTGACATCCGGGACTGGCTCTGGCAAAACTTTGATATACTGGGTGCCATTGCTGTATAATGGCGGAAGGATTCTAGTAGTCATAACACCACTTACTGTCCTTGGCTCTCAGCAAGCAACTGGACTGAGCGCACTTGGTGTAAGATCTGTCTGTATCTCAAAGGACAATCTATCGCCAGATCTTCTTGAGGTTTGTCTTGTTTTTCACCGATATTCGGAATCCAAATGCTATATTATATGCCTATAGGACATCTGCCATCGAAAATACCGTGTCATTATTCTCTCTCCTGAGCTGGCTATGGACCATCGCTTTCTGGAGATATGGACGCTGGACTCCTTCTCGACTTGGGTAGACCGAGTCATTGTGGACGAATGCCATGTGGTTTCTGAATGGGGGTCGACCTTTCGTGAATCATATAAACATCTCCACACCCTTCGCTACATTTTCCCACCGTCTGTGACCATTACTGCTGCAACTGCTACGCTACCTCGCTGCATCAAACTCGAAGTTATCCAAAACCTCGGGCTTTCAAAAAACTATGTGGAAGTCAAGAGGACAAATGACCGCTTTAACATTAGCCTTTCAGTGTGGAAAATGCGGGGTGCTTTCCGAAAATATCACGATTTAAACTTCTTGGTCACTGTCGGTGGCCCTTGGATGGCTTTCTTTGATGATCGAAACCACACGTTGGGTGCCGCAAAATATATCCGGAGCCTCCTAGGCCAAGAGTCCAAGGAGAAAGTCGTTTGGTTCCACTCTACCATGTCTGCCGACTTTCGTGCATCTGCAATCCAGAAGCTTAAATCAGGTACTTTGATTGGGATTTGCTGCACAGACGCAGCAGGAATGGTATGTGCTCCTAATATATGTGCACTGACATCAGTGCGCATGCACGAGCAAAATATTTTAGGGACTTGATCTTCCCAACATCAGGCTTATTGTGCAGTACGGTGTTCCGGATACACTCTCAACTTGGGCTCAACGGCTCAGAAGGGGTGCCCGAGATTTTTCCTTATTTTGTTCTGCAATCCTCATTGCTGAGCCAAAATGGTTTGGTCCTGAAACTCCAGTATCGACATCGTCGAAGACGACCCAGCGGGTTTCCGAGATTAAACTTAGGGAAGCTATGGCTATGAAGGAGTTTATTACAACCAGCCGCTGCCGTCGAATCATTCTGAATAGATATTTCAGTAATGATGACTGTGGTAAGTTCGTTTATTGTGCGAAGATCAGGTGCATTTCTTATCTGGTATCAGACATAGAAGAGTTTTGCTGTAGCCGATGTGCCCCTCACACCCCACTATCATGCTGCGATAACTGCAGTCCCGGTTCCAGTATTCTTCAACCCCCAGATGAACCTACTGTTTTGATCCGCCGTGCCCCATTAAGGGCTTATGAGAGGTCCGAGGCTGAAGAGCAACTGGAACAGCAGCTGCTAAAATGGAGGGAGGAAAAACTGCGGGGCCTTTTTCCTGATGAGGCTGACATCTTGCCGGGTTCTGACATTCTTGCGGATGAAATTCTTACACAAATCGTAGATTTAGCACATTTTGGGCGTCTTCCGAGCATTGAAGCCCTACAGTTTGAAACACGATGGACACTTAGTTCGAGATTTGGGCAAGAAATATTGGCGCTTGTGACTGCAACTCATCCACAAACTGTTCCGAGCATGAAGAAGGAAGCTGATCTAGAAGAGCTCAAGGCACGAAGACCTCCCACCTGCAGTGCATGCAACAATCCTGGCCACACTAGTGAGTTAGACGCTTCTCAAGTGACTAGATACTATAGAATTAACAGTTCTTGTTTCAAGAAATGCAAAAAATCTGTCCACAACACCCGAGCCATATCCAGGCCTCAGTCCAAAGTTCTCTAGCCCAACCTCCCTTTCCCCTTGCTGCTACATCCCTATCAAACTCAGCTCAGTCGTTGTTTCGAAGACCTAGCTCCCTGTTTGAGCATCACCTTTCATTTCCGACACATTCAGTTCCAGCTAAACGTGCACCGGAACCTGTAGACAGTACTGACTCCCACCATGCTAAGCGATGTGGGTTTATCCATGCTACGGATGCGGCACTTTCTGATTCCGGCCTTCAGTTTACGTGGGCACAAACTTTCCTCCACCTGTTGACTATGGGAAACTGCCAATTGGGAAATTCAAAGGCAAGTTAAGCACAGATGGTAAGGAACTGCTTAATTTGTCGCTACTACTGCGGCTGCTCATCAACTAGTGCATCGTCGATTTCCATCCATTCTTCTTGTGCTTCCCTTCCAGTGCCTACATCATCTAAATTTTCCACGACAGGCTGATTTCCATCCATATCCACCACTTCTCTGCTTGCCACATTGATCTCATCCTGCATCATTCGACGGCCGCGTGTAATGTGGTTTGGAATCCATGCATCGGCTCTCCGACCTTCAATGTATTTGTTAGGATTAACTACCTTAATTCCGTCCACCAGGCGCTTCAGTGTCTTCTCTATTTTGGGTGGTGGGTGAAGAACAGCTGTGCTTTTTATATAGAAGTTTCTCTCCAAACTTTTCATCGCTTTTCGGAATGTTCCCACCAGAATAGAGTGTTTATAGATTAGATTCCACGTTCTCGATGGACCACCTGCACCACCCCAGAGCACCTGGAGCTAAGGATAAGAACGTCAAAAAGTGATGATAGAAATAATTAAAATACTTTTGTGTGAAGATTTAGCTCTTCAACGCCCCAATCAACGGCCCGATACTGGCCATTTTTCCCCGTAGGACAAAACACCCAATTCATACGTATTGCGTGACTATGGGATGTTCATGAAGCTAGAAATTATAGCCAGAAATGCACAACAATACATACCTCAGTGGTTCGGGGTACTCAAAACGAAGGCGATATAGGAAATTGGATATCATCCTTGCATATTTATGCTTCCCAGTCGATTTCCACATTGGCACCCAAGAATATAGCACCTGCTCCACTCGCCCGATATCCCCAGATGAGACTGCTGCCTTGAAGATCGTACAATCCATGAGGTCACGAAGATACAATTTCGAGTTTGCGTTGACCTGATCAGCATTCGCAGTTAACCTTTCCCGGTCAAATGCAGGCCCAGGCAAGAACTGTTCCACCATTTCATGGGAAATCGCGACAATATCTTCCCATTTTGGTTTAGACTTCACCCAGTCAGCAAGGGTTTCCCATCTTGGGTCTTTAGCCTTAACAGCAAGACGCCAGCAGTCCAGTACAAGCCCCCAGCTAGTATGAGTCAGTGAAGACTCGAGGCGGTGAAGGTCTGGCATAGAACTCGAGGAGAATTTTCCCTTTTCTTTTGGGCGTAGTAGTGTGAGCCAGCGGAGAGCATCTGTATGTTTGACACCAGTATGATTGGTCTTCTTTCGATTTTCCTTCTCTTTCTCAGGATGTAGACGGGCCAAAGGGGAAAACCATGCTCTATATAGCCCTTCGAGCCCTGCCATCCAAACATGGAAGAGACCTGGAATGTGAATAAGATACTGCATTCGGAGTCCAGGTGTCTCTTCGGCAGCACGATGCTCACGAGCCGACTCGAGTTTTTCGAAGGCTCCAAGGTCTCCATGCACTAGCTGGACGTAATTGTACAGGTCTGCCGCTTGATAGCCAGCCTGACGGTGTAAGTCTTCTATAGCCCTAATATTGTCATCTATTGTCGATTGCTGTAGATGCATTGCCCGGGCAGGGAGAATTTCACTCTTGATCACTGGGACTTGCATGACAGGGGCTAAGTGGCCAAGATTCCTTTTGAATTTGGCAAAATCAGGAGCAAGTTCAACAAGGATTCGACGAAAGTAGTATGCATATGCTTCCCACATATGCTTTGCAGTTCCTGGAGGTGGAAGGTAGTCCAAATAGGTCCTCTCTCGAACAGGAACTGATCGGTCTCGATGTGGATTACGAAGATCACAGTGCCAAAGGTGGTCCGATACACGAAGAGATTCAGGGTCAACATGAGCAAGAGGGATGAAGATACCAGAGGTGGCATTGAGCATGTAGCCTTGTCGTTGTATAGTTGGCTGAGAAGTAGAGATGTTGACATCGAAATTATCATATGCAAGCATGACACGGGAAAGTTTTCCATCGCCCTTGAGCCTCTTTAGTTGGCGTGTATGATCTTGAGATAGCGAGCCAATCATATTCAGTATGCTTGAATAAGAGAAACAGATACCGGCATGTGCAAGAGCATCGATGACTTTTGACGGTGTCCTTTTTGCATAAAGACAAATACTGAGAAGTGCTTGCGTTCCAGAGCATTTCTGGTTTCGATTCTGAATAAGGATTGAAATTATGGTGACACGTTTCTTATATATATATATATAAATTTAGGTGAATATGATAAGACTGTAATTCTTACAATGAGTAGGAGTGCAACCTGCCGCTTCTCACTGCGGGATCGGCTCCTTTGAGATGAAGGTGGGAAGCCACTAGAATCTAACCAGCAATCATCGTCGTCATTATTTTCGTTTTCCAAATCGTCAATGTCCTCCCATTCATCCAGTTCAACAATTTCCTCGGGGGTAAATGTTGCCGAAAGGAGACAGCCAATAAAATGCCACAAAGTAGGAGCTTTATGGGAGAATTTCTTTGCTGTCTGCTGAACAGACAAAAATTTAACTTCCTTGTGTGTCATAGATGAAGCTGAGAAATGGAAGCCAGAGGCTATGTCTGTTAGGCAATCGAGCTCATTCGTGAGTTGTTGGCGAGTGTAAAGGAGCACTGAAGTGAGAAACAGGGTAGGATCCCACGAGTAGAGCATTGAGAGACACTTTTGGAGGCTTTCCCTTTGAATAATGAGACCAACAAGCATAGGGAGAGATCCCTTGATTTTATGGAGATTTGTGGGGTTGTGACGCAGATCATCGCTAAGGCAAGCATCGAGAAATTCATACAATGTCAGACCATTTGCTTCGAAGGAGTTAAGCACAGCCTCTATACGCGCTCTCTTCGGCACTTGAAAGGGTGAAGGAAGTGGGGACTGGTGGACGTTCATTGTATCGGACAGTGAGATCAGTTGCACAATAATATTCTTGTTGAGTATTGTTTGTTCAATTCAATATGCACAAATAACAGTATACAGCTGTCGTGGGAAAATGTTTTCCACCAGCCGTTCTGACAAGATAAACAAGCATAAACAGAACGGCTGGGTACGAGCCTGTATCTTGGCGGTTTGATCCGACAGCAGCTCGGTGCCATTTCTATCGTACTTCCGTGTTATAGTCAATACATCTAGTTTTACCAGATGGATCTTCATTCCCTCAATATATGTCAGACGCTCGGTGATGCGTGCCAGGCACTTACGTACTAATAGAATCTGGTCCATCTCGCTTCGTGCGACCTTCCTCATGGGCTCTAGCTCGCCTGAGAATCGCCCCTTATTCCAGAGGGAACACCAGCGTGCCTCCGGCGCCGTTATTCCCGGCGTACATTTGTTTTTACAGAACATCCCCTTACCATGCAGGTTACACAAGGGTCAAACCTTCATTGACTGAGATCAAGGCCATTATTAGAAGGGCCCGTGGAGTGCAGCTTGTTTGCTTGAATGGGGGCATTGGCTTCCTCATGAGACTGGAAGGGATCTGATTATGTCTTTGAGCTCTCGACTCGGAATGTCGACGCCTCGAGGGGGACTTTGTTTGTCGTTACACCGGGAACAGTTGCGTCAAGTCGTTCTGAGTTCCCTATTACCTGATGGTTAGAGGTTGGTGGCGCGCTCTGCAAACGGGGTGCCACACACTTGCCGGGAAAGACCAAAAACCATATTGCACAGGTCGCGTTCTGGCAAAGATCATTCGTGGAATCGACCATCGATCGCGACACCGTTCCCATGTCTTTGGGGTTCCCTTGACTTACCGGGAATTTGGAGCGCCTTGGGTCCAACTTGAAACTCGGATCGTCCTCATCCTCAAACACGGTCCTGAAGCAAAACTCTCCCTCCCTGGAGACAATTCAGTTAACCCTCAAGTACTCTTCAAGACGCATGATCATCTTATTATACACGGTCTTCCACAGTGTGGGTTATTATCAACTCTATTTACATCGGTAAATGAGTGGCTGCTGTGTTGGGCGAACTTTGGGGCTTGGAATGTGAGGTTAGAATGATATTTTCTGATCTATAACTGGAGTCTAAGCTAATGCGACATAGAGTCCTTGTTTCTAAAACGAGGCTATATATCGGACTGTTCTGCTCTATGGTGCCGAACTAGTAGAGCCCGGGATCCTGCCTAGTGTCGAACGGCCTTTGACATTCGATGGCTTGCACTTTATAGACTTGCCCATAGTCACGATGAAGTCGCAAATTGGAATCGGAGCCTTGTGTATGGATTGACGGTGATCCTACCGAAAAAGTGCCCCTTGAGATGACGCTCCGCTTCATTCACATCTTAAGAAGCCGGAGGGCGGATCGCTGCCGTCCAAATTCATTGGTTGAGAAGAGCCACCGCTAAGATGAAAGAATTCGCTGTTCCATTGAAGTCAGCACGATAACACCGTCATTCCTTGGCATATCATCAATTGAAAATTACCAGCCTGTTTGAAACAACGCGCCGTGAGCCCACCTGGTACTCATATATGTACATGTATCATGGCGATGTTACAATGGGTGTGCAACTCTTTAGTGACTAATGCAAGATAATGCTAGTAACCCCAATATGAGGAGCAGAACGCAGACCCAAAGAATCTACAAATTATCCTCAAGTTACATCGCCGGCTGGAGGTTGAGAAGGAAGTAGCTCAAAAGGAATCGAAAAGCTGAATCTAACGTTCGATCCTTCTTCTGGAGCCTTCATCGTTGTGTCTTCGTCACTTCGTTCCATCGAAGCCGCGCAACCAACGCTCTCTTCCATTTTCTTTGTTGTCGGACTGGATGCCAAAGCAGGTGGTCGTGATGTCGATATCCACCTGAAACAAGGCACACTTCGTGTAATTCGGAGATCCTCTGATCCCAACCTAGGAGTAGGGATAGGCGCGATGGTGGATTCTGGTTGAAGTGAGCCTCTATTACCCGTATTTGATTGCAACTCCTCAATAGCTTTTTTGCGTCGCGTGCCTGCTGATTGGCGTTTGAGTAGACGGTTTATTGTCTCGGTCTGAATTAGATAGTCAGAGGGTCAGAGACAATACGAAAAGTGGATAAGTGAATACAGACCTTGTCATCTTCTAACTTTTGAGTAGTGAGTTCTTTCCTTTTTTTTGCGGTTTCAGCTCTGCGCGCTGCGAGTTCTTCAGCATTCAAGTTTTTCTTCTTCGACGATTGCTTCGTCGCTGCAGTAACACAGTCCAAGCAATTGTATGAGGACCGAAATGGGACAGGTTCCACATGGGCTTACGCAATTCTAAAAGGCTCGCAGCTGCAGCTGTACCAGAAGCCAAGGCGGCCTGTCTTACTGTTAGCCGCGAGGTGGAATTGAGAGACTGTTCATCCATATCCAATTCGTCAAAGTCGTCATCTTCAGACTCTCCAACAAGACGCGCTGCCCAATGTATCGAACGGTTACAAGATACAAGGGCATTGAAATGAGTGACTTACTTCGTTTTTTCTTTGGGACTGGATCTCTGTCGGGCGTGGCTCCTTCCTGTAGGCTGTCACTCGTTGTACTAGGAGCCACCTTTGACGAAGACGTAGCACCTCCAGCACCACCGAGTCGAGATTTGCCCCACTTGAGCGTAACTTTAAGCACCGGAGGTTTTTCAACAGGCTTGCTGGTCGTTGAGGGGGGTTTCTGTTTTGGTGGTGCAGCTACTTTTGGTTTGGGTGTGAATTTTGACTTGGTCGATTTTGCAGGAGTCGAGATGGGCGGAGGCGATATCGAGTCTTCGGATTCTAACTCTGAGGGTGGATCTGAGATTGGGGATTCGTCTTCTTCAATGTCGACATCGGCCTCTTCATCATCCCGTTCTGCTTGGTCCTCGGATTCGAGATGACCATCTTCATTGCCGTCACGATCCTTCTCTTGGCCTTTCCTTTCCTGCCATTGTTGCTCATTTCCCTTATTGGGCTCGTTGTCGGATCCATGAGACTCTAAGAGAAGTATTAATCAATAAGTCGTGAGCACAATATTGAAAAGTCTCCCACTGGTAGCATTTTTCCAACGATGCGCCGAAGTAAGGTTGCGGGAAGCAGTCAACCCAGAATCAGCTGTCCTCTTTACATCTGTGCCGTGTGCATAAGAACCGGGGACATGGGAGGAGAGCGTTGGTCCGCCAGAGCGTTGTTGCTCAATATTAGTGTGCCGCATTGAGTGGAGGCAGGGTACATAGCTTGAACTCGCCTTCATCGGAATCATCCTCGACAATTCGAGATTTACGCGCGCGAGACGGGGATTTCGGGGCAGCACTTGAGCTTGAGGCTGCAGGAAATTTCCCTAGGGGCATCTTGTGCCAACGCAATGAGCTTTGCAATATGAGATTAAACCAAACCTGTCAGCAATCCATCGGTGTGATTTCAAATAATATCAATTGAATTAACACGTGATTCAGTTTCGTAGTGCTGCGCCCGATTCTCTTTCACCATCTCAGCCAGCCAGCTCCTTGATTCTCTTACGCCACACTGCCAGCATGTCTACCGCCGAGTACAGCCGCCTCCCGACGTACGACCCAGACCGTGTCAATGTAGAGGAGGATGAGGAAAACCGACCACGCTCCTACCGAGACGACCCTCGTTTTGTTGAACCAACACCCGCACATTGGAAGCGTGCAGCATTGATTTTGTTCATATTGTTCCTCGCTTGGGCGGGATATAAGCTCCGTTCCATGCGAAGCGACCCAGTTTATGTATATGCTGATAGGTGAGGAATTAAGTGGCTATGCTGTCGTAAGTCGCGCGGTCCTCTCTTTTCGGACTGCACGCCGTATTATGAAGTCATTGAGGTGTTATTGTTTCCCTTTTTTTGATTATTTGGAAGGAAGGACTTTCCATCCTAACTTTCTCGACCTTTCCTAGGTACTCCCAACAGTTCAAGTATCGTCCCGCCGCCTCTCCCATCATTCGGAGAAGACTTCCTGACGGTCGAATCGAGATTCGAGGCGACTATCCGCGGCGCCATCCCCCTCGAGAGGAATTATAACTTTCATTCGGCCCTTTCATATCCTGGGCTGAACTTGTCTATTCATCTTCCTGCCGACCTGTATTATTTATGCTGAAAATATGCTGTTTATTTTCCCGTGCGTCACCATGATCCGTCCATGCCTAATGGATTGATATTGGAGTCAACTCCATCAGCGCAACTACCGTTTGCCTCAAGCCGCATGCTTGCGATTGTATGTCCCAATTGAACTATGTCCATTTTACTTCCTCGCCACCACCTTAAATCCCAGGTGCACACACTTGACACCGTTACAAATTCTGCAGGGATAGAAGTGACTCCCTTCTGCGCAACGCTGCATCATTTCAGGCTCGGCAGCCGGTGTTTTAATGAACGTGAGCACTCCGAAATTCTGGCTAAGTGCGGAGAAGCTGCGATATAGATCGTTGAGCCACAGGGCGTTCATATGGTTCTCGTTGAACGATAGTCAGCTGTTCGGCACTTTCGCCAATGAACTGAAGCGCCTAGGAGGGGGCCGTCCAGATGCACAGAGAGTGCGGTATAGATCCACGAGTGATAGATACCCTGTTGAACGCCAACTGGCTGCCACAGGTGTTAAGCTTTCTGGAGCGCCTCCGAGTGCCCTCCAAGCACAGAGCGTGCGATATAGATACATGAACAGTACCGTCAAATCGAGTGCCGCGCAAGAGTTTGACAGTTTTTTCATGAACCGGGGCGCCTCGGAGTGCCGTCTAAGTGGGGAACGATGCAGCCAAGCCTGGTGCGTAGGATCCCGCGAGTCTATTAGAAAAAGGCCATGGTTGAATGCAACGGAATCATTTGCTGCCCCGAAAAATGCCAGATTCAGGAGAGATGGAATTCGTGGTGAGTGTCTAGAGATCTAACCAAGATCGCTCGCCTACCTTAAGCCGTAATGGTCAGAAGCACTACTCGCTATCCTCCATGCTGCACCTGATGATATCTATTCCAGTGCCTTCCAGGCATGCCTTGGTGAAATCGCACTCGGCGGCATCTGCACATCGGCGTTCGCTGAGAATTGATGTTCGTGCAGACGATCTTGACCATCCGCTATGGCCGACGACTTGACACTAATCGTTAGATTCGGCTTATTGAATTGCAGAACGATTGGGGAAAAAGTTATCTGAAAATGACGCGTCTATGCTCCCTGGGATCACTAGGACAAATGTGTTGATAAAAGTCGGCCATATCTCCACCTTCGATCACTACTGATCTTCCTCTTTGCCCCAGAATCCCTGGAATTTTGATTCTGCCACCCAGGTTTCCAGAATGCTTTGTAGGGTTCCTCTCCACCTTAGCCCAATGATCATTATCAAGAGCCCAGATGCGCAGCACCAGCTCAGTCTTAATTCAGGAGCGCTCATAACCCTGAAGAATACGAGACGGCCGGGCTCAAAATCCAACAAGCCGTGGAACAAGCCATTCAGGAATCAGAGGAAAACGGTGTCAGTAAGACAGGCAAGGATGCCACTCCGTGGTTGCTTCGCCGGGTAGCTGAGCTCACTGGTGGATCTTCCATCCCGAACAGTGAGTCACCTCATGAAATTTCTTGCTCAGCAAATATCGCTTTGATCGAGAATACATCCGAATAGGTGAGCTACTTTCAAAGTCCCACAATATGCCTGTGTAACATCGAGCGGCTCTTCCTTCAACGCGGCGAGATTGCCGTGGAATACGCAAGACTTGTTGCTGAACGGGAAGAACATGCATCAGCAAGAGTAAGTCTTGATCTGTATGCCATTTTTGCGCTATGTATTGGTTGAATATGGAATGAATCCTTAATTTGTAAGACTCCATCTGACGGCTACACTATCGGCGTCGGTTCTCCAAATGTAGCGCCAAGTCATCTCAAGCACCAAAGGCACGACTTGTGGTATTGGGTGCTGCAGCCGTCGATGTTGTTGCTCGAGCGGACACAGACCCCACTCTCATTGCCCAGTCAACCGTCCCAGGACAAGTGTCAATTACCTTTGGTGGTGTAGCGCGAAACATGGCCGAGGCAGCCCACCGAAGTCTCTCATCGCTAGACCCTCGAGGGTCTTCTGCATCCTCTTCCTCGTATGTACAGCTGGTTTCCCCAATTGGAACGGATAAACTCGGCGCTGTCGTGTCCACCGAGATCACTCAAATCGGAATGCGAAGCGACGGTCTTCTTTCTGGGTTGTCTGGCGGCAATCGACGTACACCGGTGTGCAATATGGTCTGACGCCAGCCGGGGCGCTTCTCGGTGGTGTGTCAGACTTCTCAGCTCTGGATACGTTCGGATTCAGTGAGGCACATTCTCCGTTCATCCATTTCTATAAGGAGGGTCTTCCTACGAGTTCAGCTTTCCAAGGTGCTTCAAGCCTCCGATCCAAACATTATTGCTTGGACGGTAATTTAAGTTCGGATACCATATCTGACCTGGTGCAATTCGCTTCGAAACGTAATATCCCAAGTAAGAGAACGCCGGCTGCGTCCATCCAAATTGCGACTTACGCCTTCTCGCAATAGTTTGGTTTGAATTCACTTCGATCGTCAAGTCAACTCGAATCCTTCCAACACTTTGTACGCAATACTTAGCAAGTGCTGCCGTATCATCCCTCCAACCAGTCACATTGATCATTTCCAACTGGAGCGAAGAGATCGTACGATTGGCTAGAAGTGGGCCTAGTTAGAGTTCTTGGCCCAGAGAGGAGTGGTACAAATGATGATCCAGTTGCTGCCTTTCTTCCAACATGTTATCGTCAAATGCGGAAGTGTTGGTGCCCTCAACACAAGAAAGGATGTCTGATTATACAAATCTGGCCATCAGGCGTCTTTGTTGCTATGCATTTACACCCACAAGAAGCAATTCGAAGGGCCTGACTCTCCACCAGCACTGATCTGAACAAACATCTAGTCGTAAATAGAACGAGCAAGGGGGATGTTGTAGTTTTTCAACATTTCCCTGCTCATAGCTTGCCGAATACGTCGGCGATAAACGTCACTGAGGCTGGTGATTCTCTCGTTGGATCCCTTCTCGCGTCCTTGATCGAGTGGGAAGATAAGAATGTGCGGAAGCCATGGGTGAGGCTATGCAGCGGGCTCAAAGTGCTTCTGTGTTGACTCTTTGTTCCCTGTTTGCCGTCTCGCCCGAACTGTCGACACCCACTTACACTAGTATTAATAGGAAGAATGACCGATCTTCATTCTAGTTTTCTATCTTGGGCGTTCCATGGTTTGATGTGCGTTGCCCAGCTTACCTCAGTCTTAAAAATGTCAATACAATACAGCGTCCACCTTTAAGCGAGAGTATAAGATACACTGAGGGTTATGCAACCTTAACCTCTAACAAATATTCAGTACAAAGTGGGAAAGCACAGAAGGAATTAAAAGTATCTCGGTGCTTTGGTCCGTATGTAAATTTGAAAATGCCTGAAGAAAAGCTTGCATTAGCAACGCCAACACAACAAGACGTCACGCAAGAATTAAAAAGCCACCACCACACGCGGCATGAACGAAGCTCAGATAGAGCTAATATTAATGCCTATGGTATACCTCGGTGGGTGAGGAGTTCGTAGAAGTGCAAATATGAATAAAACTTCATCATTGTTCATTCACAGGGAACGCTGCGGTGGAGAAAGGGTCCAAAGGAAGGAAGCGTACCCATAGGCAAGAAAATGAATTTGAGGTGAGCGCAGAGAAATCAACAACAAAAAAAGGCGTCCGACACAAATAAGCGGGCACAAACCACGGAACTTTCCGGCGATTTTGCAAATTTGGACGGGACCTCCACTCGTACGAACTGATCGTTAACGATCGCGAGATTAGTAGGGTAGGGAAAAGTGAGTTGCTGAAGTTAGCCAGAGTAAGCTACCGATCAAGAAAACCAAGCCCGTCAAAGCCCCCCCTGGGGATCTACGTCAAAATATGTAGAGAAATGATCGTCGGCAGGCAACGGTGCGGGGGCGTGTCCACTGCTGCCAGGGGCTGACGGGAAGGATCTCAAGATATTTTGTAGCGTATCCCCTCCAGGGATGGAGCTCGGGGCCCATAACTGCGACTCTTGGTGCGCCTCGACTCTAAGTGGCAACCCCAGAGGGGATGGGTTCTGCCACATCGATGAAGATGCAGCATCATAACCCCGCTGAGGGGAAGAGTCTGCAGTGGGCTGCAGCCCGAATGTTCCTGGTGTGGTGACCGCACCGAAGTTTAGAAACGGCTCTCCGGTAAAAGCGTCAGACGATTGTTGGAATGGATGGTTCGAGGGTTGAACTTGGGGGTACCAATAATAGGGGTGATTATTATCAGTTGCGGGGGCGTTTGGTGGAGTGACGGGTAGCTGTCGACGTGCAGTGGACTTTATACCCTTTGGCCTCCTTTCACTCGCCCTCCCGTAAGGGGTAGATGTTTGCCGTCTGCGGCTAGTGGAAAGTGTGGGCCGGCTTGGGCCTGCCACAGCTTGCTCCACCTGCCGTTCCCTTAAAGTGTCTGACCTCCGTGGCCTCCCTCCACCAACAGAGGGGCCCATGGAAGGTCCAGGGCTGCGGGGGAGGTATGTAGAAGCGGATGGGGTCAAGGGGGAAGAATGGATGTCGGTGTCTGCCGGTGTGCCGTTGTACACCATCCCGTACAGGGATTGGGGAGGAATCGCTTGTGAAACTACGAACAGATCCTCTAAGATAGGTGGGGTAGTTCCTAAGGAATGTCAGAGATATACAGCCCGGGCTCGAAAACAACAAGAAACCAACTCACTAGTGCAATCAGGAATCCCCGGAATTGGCCGTATCACGACCCGGATCTCCTTGAGACCGTAGGGGCCAGGGACCCGCGGGGGATCTGGTTCCCTTGCATCCAACTGCCCTCTTCTCCAGATCGGTCCCACTCCATCCAACTCCAGCCAGCCTAGAGTTGTCGTTGGAGCCAGGGGACCTGTTCCTGTTCGAACGATTTCAAAATATTTCCCTTGAAGTGTTCTGTAGGGATGTTGGGCGAAAATTGCAGGACATTAAATGATACAACGCACGTTACCAAAGACGATGTTTTCTTCATGACCTGATAGAATGTGTCAATCCTTGGTAAAAAGATGTGCCCCGGAGTGGTGGAAGCGATGTTGAGTGGGGGGATTATGTGTTCCGAGCTCCATGATCCAGAAGAAACAATAAGCTTTGTTACGGGGGCTAAATAATGAAACGGTCAGAAGAGGATCGACAATGCACGGACATAACACTTACCCGGGATGAGGTGAGGCATTTGGCTCACAGACATGGTTGACTAGGGAGGGCTAATGTAGGGGTCCAAATAAAGGATTTGGGGTTTTATAGCCGACTCGCGGAGCAATATCGTTGCATGCGTGAATCCAAAGCGCAACCCCCTGAATCCTCACGACTCGGACAAGCTTTGCTTGGTTTGAATGAAGCATTGATGTCCATCAATTGTGCATCTGGAATTCCAGGAAAGCGCACAGGACGGAGGGGAGCGACGGACATCTGGTCGTAATTTTGCTTTTAAACCCTTTTTGTGCGGACCAAAGCGCAATTGAAATGGTCTCTATCAAGGCGAGTTCCAGACTAGCCAACTTGAGGCCTAGGCAGACCAGAAGGATTGTTTGCCTATCCTTTGTACCAGTTCCATTTCAAGGTTCAGACGCGGGTCCAGCCGTCTGAGTGGCGGAGGATTGCTAATCGGCAAAAAAAGGGAATCAGGGGGACAATATTTCGCACCCGCATGAACTGCCCTACGTAGGCGACCCTGCGCGCATCTCAGAGAGTTTGAAACGGGGCTCAGACGATTAGGTTTCCGATTGTTGGTTCCTCTGAGATCTGGACCGTCGTTTACGTTGGTCTGATGCTCATTCAATATTGTTGGGGCGGATAGTCCATAAGAGGGTCTCAACTTCGCCGCCTATTGTAATCCGTGTTTACCAGGAGGATAATCAGAATATTGTACCGTTGGCTGACTGGAAATCAATTATAAATCGCATGCAGGCTCCCATGTTTGCAAGAAGGTTACATGGGAAGGGGAGGGAGACGACAGCAACGAAAGGATAGTACGGTGGGGCGACTTCTAGCAAATATTCCGTGCACATGGTAAAAGAGATATTAGGTGTCGGCGTGGCCGGTTGTACAACTATATTCATCGGCAAGCGCATCAGTGAATTGGCGATTTGGGACGGACGGACAGCTGGCACGGGGTATTGCCACGGGTGACCCGAGGATGATGGCCGGGTTTGGCCCACACATTACAGTCAGAGTTCTGTCTACTCACATATGGCCCACACCGGTGATGAATGGATTACGGTGGCATGGCTGCATGTCCAATTCCTCCCAGCTTCACGCCTTCTCTCCTGCGCGTCCGACTCCAGCGAAACCCCTCTTCTATGTCAGAGTGCAACCGTTTTTTCATACAGCAGGAAGTCAAAGCCACCTGCAAACGTATTCGCAGCAGTGGAGCAGCCTTATCTGAAGTCACGAACATCGGATTTCCTGACAATTCGAGGTGACCAGGGGTTGCGATTCCCGTTCGGCCGAATCCATTCGTCCAATTGCAACTACTCCACTCTAATTCCGAATGGAGAAGATCGTCAGTGGCCAATACAACATTACATAAACGCCACTCCATTCATTGTGATATCGACTTCATTGGTCACCATGTTGTCTTCCCATAGCTTTCAGTCATTTGTTGTCCCCCAATAGATATGTCGACGTCAGAAGCAGAGCCAGAGAACGGTGACAGGTGTTCAACGCTCCGTCTAGTGGATATAAAGATATCGGTCTGCTCCCATCTGCTATCTCGAACAAAGCCCCAGAGTCCTGAATTACTTCTGCTCTATAAATATCTTATCGCTAAGCTTGGGACGTCAACCATTATATACCAGTGCCGAGTCACGTCCACGTTCCATCAAGGAACTCTACAACGACATGCATGACGAAGCACTTTTGATAGGTACGCACGCGCGAAATGATTCCAATAATATAATGAGTGAGACGCGATTGCACCTGGTTTTCCAATCCCGGATAGCGAAGCTAGAACCTAAGGTCTAGTCCTGCTGGAGCGACACCTAACTCCTGAACAATCAGCTGAACTAGCTGGATCAATACCCTCACCCGAGTCCTTCTGATGAACCCCCCCTTTGAGAGAGCTTCATTGCCGAAGGGAAGCATCGGTGGGAATTGATGAAAATTTCCCCTGCTCTAGGGCGACTTTGGAACTTTGGCGTTTACAAGTTGTGGTGCCTGCCATTTCCAAAAGATCGATTCGTGGCATTGTATGAAAAAGATCGTGATCGCAATGCTTTCAACGCCGTTGGAGCCCAGAAGGGACTTGCGCATACCAGGAAATTTGAGGATGCGCCGAGAACACTCAAGTTATATCACTCACGCTACCGATGCAACGATGCGGAACGGAACGCGATGCGGTCTGCATGGGTCTTTCTCGTCAGCATGATGCAATCGCTCCTCGGGACGGATCGATAATACCATCATGGTCTATCAATTCCGCACCGTATATGAACCGGTCTTCAGCTCAAAGGTGAAAACAACGGACAATAACCTAAATCCTGTTCGGAGGCCAGCTAAGTGGCATCTCCTTTCAGTGTCATCCAGTGTAACCATCCATGCTACACAGTACGTAACTCTCTCTCTGGGCCACCGATCTAGAAGAATCAAGCATGAACACTCCCCAGCAGGATTTCACGAATGAGAGCCCAGGACAATCTGACAGAAAGGCTGGTCCTTCATTGGCCAGGCCTGTATCGATCTACCGATCCCAGCCAACCAATCCCTTGCCACCAACCAACGCTTTCCTGCTGACCAACCTTTCGCTGCCAACCCACTCTTTGATTCGGACGTGCCTGTTGGTGTTGAATATATATGAGCGATCTCGGAGAGACAGAAGATGCACCTAGGTCTGATGGAAAGGCCTGATTTAACGAACGGTGAAATGCCAGAAACCATTAGGAATTGAGCAACTTTTAAGTAGGCGTGGGAAAGCAGCCTCATATGCACAGGAGCTGCTTCAAAGGAGGGAATGCTCTTAGAAGCCGTGGGTAATACGTTGCGTTCGTCGAGAAATACCCCATTCCTCTCCTCATTCACAATTAGTTTGACCCTATCTTTCCCAATTCTTCATCGTTTCGGACGCGGAAAAGTGCGTTGGAAAGCTGGGGTTTATTGGAAACAAGAGACAAGGATAATACACAAGCGCGAGACCGGGAAGCCCACGGAACACTAATCATCACGGAAAACACAAAGGTCTCTGAGGGTACCCGTCTCAAGGACATAGATCCATCCATGCACTATTGAGGGAAAGCGATCATCATTTCGTCAGGCACACATCAACGGAGATGAGACTCACCCTTTACTGGCATCCGGGCTTGCTGAACGACGTCTGATCTCGCGATGTTCATCGCAGCCCTTCTAACATTCTCCTCCAATAGCCTTAGAACCCCTTCTTCCCGATTGGTTGCAGGCCCAAGTTCTCTTGCCAAGTTGATGAGTGGTTCAAGCCAATCGCCCAAAGGCGTCCCTAGGATACCCTGAGGGGGATCTGGCGACCAAAGGAGATCATAGGATGCCGCTGCTCCTCCGCATTTTGTGTGGCCCTGTGGGTTGTGAGAAAATCAGGTTGAGTCAGAAGCGATCAGCCAATAACGTCACCACTTACCACGATGACGACTGTCAGAATGTTGGATAGAATGATGAATGGAGAGTGAGACGATCTTGCCTACGCCATACTTACTATGTTGAACCTTCAGCACCAATACTGCGTACTGGATGACTGATAAAATGTTCGAGTCATTTGGAACGAACTGACTGAAATTTTCATTGCTCCATCTGGGCGCATACCCAATAACATTGTCGGTGCTTACTTGGCAATGTTGCGATGGACGAAGACGTCCCCTGGTTTGCGTACGGTAATGACACTCTCTGGAACTCGTGAATCGGAGCTATCATAGGTGGGAGATAGGTCAGGAGATATCGATGTGGAAGCAGCGTACCATCCGATCCAGAGGACTTTAGGACTCTGGCCCAGAGCAGAATCAGGGAAGAAATTTGGGGCGACTTTGTTTATGGCGCCTGCCCAGGAAATGTTGGCGATAAGCAAATCAAGGAGAGCATTGGAATCGGGAGTGGTCATGTTGGCAAGTTTGGTGGGGGACCGTCGCAAGAGCAAGTCTTCTGTCTTAATATACTCCTGCTCAGGTCCAATGTAACCTGCCTACTCTCTCAGGGAGCGCCGGCAAAAAGCGCCCACACCGACTGATTAGCTCCCACGCATTAGTCAATGGGCGCTATGTCACGAGTTCAAACTGAGGGCCGGCGAAAAGCGTCCACACCGACAACTGAATTGATTAGCTCCCACGCCCAAGCCGCATTAGTCAACGGGCGCTGTACCATCAAACATTTTGGCACGAGAGAGGGCTAAAACAGGGGGAAAATCTTTACAAGTCTTGGTCTTTTTACTTAGCTCTCCTAAGACAAATTTATAGCCGTTGGACCGATGCAAAAGTGAAAGTGGGCTACTACCTGAGACTCCGGGCACTGGGACACAAAATGTGCCATTGGATTGAGGCACCCACAACTCCACTTCAGGGCACTTGCTAGACACACAAGACAGGGGCAAGAGGGAAAATCGCGCTCACAAATACTTTCATGCGGATTCTAGGTTAATACGGTGCAACTATTTTGCTGTCCAGCATGGAAATACCTTTTGGGGGAAGGCAAAATATGCTCAAACATGATAAAGTAAAAGGGTATGGGGCGTTCTCCTAATCCACTGTAAGGTATTACAGCAAATGACAAAAAAAATTGCGTACAAATCCAAAATATTATGGAATTTCACCTCCATATGTTCCGGTTCGGTTCCTCGCACCCGCATGTGAAATCTATTTGGGTGCATGGGCGGTATGTATGGCACTGGGGTTGGTGTCCCTGCTGACCAAACAATCATATCAGTACTTACTTGCTCCAAACTCGCGGAAAGTTGAGACGTACCTCCAGCCCAGTATCCATTGAAGTGCGTGCTTGCCCAAGGTGGGCTCCAAACTGACCTTGTTCAGCCATATAGGTGCCTGCCATGTGGCTGATATTTGGACATTGGAGAGTGTTTCATTGGGGTGATTGTTTACTGACCCGTGGGCCAGAAGGTATGGATGTGGCCATTTTGATACTTGACCTTAAATTCACGCGTTACCTCGGGGCTCTGTTCAACGAGTGCACTAGTATTGTGTACGAACCCGCTACATAGCTGATCGTGGGCTTCGGAAAAGCTGAGGACGTTGTATTTGGATGTATTTACTGCGAAAACTTTTGACCAATATATCGATATATTAATGTCAGCGATATCCTGGGTTTAGCTATGAACAATAAGTATCCCCTTGAGCTGTCTCATATGTATCCATGTTATATCCGAGCGATATGACTGGGGTAACTGGTTACTGGTATATTCGATGTGGAAACACTTCGATATCCAGCGTCAGATACTTCCAGTATTCTGTGGGGATTCTGGTGATATCCGAGCTTGAATATTTTTCAGAACGCAGTGACTCATGGCATTCACTTTTTTAAATTTATACTCTTGGCACTGTCAGCACAGTCGACAAAGCACCAAATTTGCCAATTCAGAATTGTATTGACCCCTAATTTGTACACGAGATATATTCCGGATTTTTTTGGTCGAGCCGCTGTAAGCCTGCCCAGCCGATATAAGAATATATTATTGCTGATTGATATATAGTAGATCAGGTGGAACAGAAGAATATACGCTGTGAGCTTTAGCGCCGAGGCTCGAGCCAGCAAGGCACGGACGCATCAGGTGACTACAAAATGTATTGTATTGTCTTATTGATTTATGGTTTAGTGGCGAAACACAATATTGAAATATTGGCAAACACTAGTCCCCAATTTTGAAAGTTGACCTGAGCCTTCTCAAGCTCCGTACCTCGGCAGCCCAGCAGTTTGGGGGTTGGGGGGAGAACCATTTCCGGACCGGAGCCGAAACCGTGGTTTAGTTCATGATTCACCCGTGGTTTGAATGAACCACATAAGTTCCTATCAAACGGGACAATCCCGGCTGTAATGAGCAGGCAAGTCTGGTTTCATTGATATTTCGGTTGATTTACTCTCAACACACATCAGGCATGGATATTGGCTACGCGGCATTTCAGTCGTAATATCGCCGAAGCGAGGTCAGAGAGGAATAAGAACTCTCCCCCGTGACAATGACTTGTGCTTGTTATAACCCCCCCCCCTTTCAAACCAAATGAAGTTCACCACTCCTTTCATTGTTGCTTCTCTACCTTTCATGGCGCTTGCCAGTCCCACTGCGAAAGGCTTTTCTATCCCAGTTACCAAGAGGGGATCCTCCTTCACCCAGGACGGCGTTGTCAACATGAGGGCTCTCCGTGCCCACCTTAGACATGTTGCCACGTATGAAATTTCGGCAGGGCTTCCGTGAATTCTCAACAAATTTTTTCTTTCGCCCCAGCAAATACGGTGCCGGCCATGTGAAGAATACTGGCTCAGTACATCCTGCCACTCCGAACGGAGTGGCCCACACCTCGAAGAGAAAAACCGGTGTCGAAGCCTTAGCAGACGTCGGACAGCAAGGTTGGTACGGAAACGTCTCGATTGGAAGCCCTCCTGTCATTTTTACCACCGTTTTCGACACGTGAGTCACTTCTGGATTTAAAAAGCAAGTTGGAAGTGACGGCCGTGCCTTCTCTCCTACTTCAATCCGACATAGCGGAAGCAGCGACTTATTCATTCCTGATATCTCTTGCGAAAATTGTGGGCAACATACGCGTTACAACTCTAGGTGTGTTCAGAATCTGCGATGCTGCATTGCCTTCATTATATCTTTATCTAGCTCGAGCTCTACTTCCCGTGATGTTGGAAAGAGCTTTAACGTTACTTATGCCGGCGGTGCTTCCTCCAGCGGTCAGCTATACACTGACGATGTCACTGTGGCTGGCCTTAAAGCCAAGGATCAAACCCTCGGATCTGCCACCAACTACGCCCCGTTCGTCCCCAATCATATCTGATACTTGATCGGAGTTCTCATTCATTAGTTGGTTCAACAGGGTCTTTCAGACTGCATCGACGGATGGTTTGTTGGGCCTGGCCCGGCCACTCCTCTCTCGCTACAACGCTACACCTTTCTTCAACACCCTCATCCAACAGGGATGCGTTAGACGAAGTGTCTTCGCTTTCCACCTCTCAGAGTGCGGCTCATCGCTCCGCCTCGGTGGAACCGATGAATCGATATATAAGCCACCTCTTACCTTCAACAATGTGACTAGTCAGCTTTATTGGCAGGTTAATCTCGATGGTGTCAATGTTGGACGAAACAGGGCAGTCAGCGGTCTATCGGCCATTATTGATTCAGGGACCACTGTTATCGCCGGTGATCCAGACACAGTTGGGCAATTCTATCAGGCTATTAATGGCAGTGCCATTTTTAACACCACTGATGGGTTTACCTTCTACTCTTGTGCATTCCTATTACCTCTACCTTTGTCTCTGAAAACCTGACCAACCACATTTGTCCACAGACCCCTGTAGCCAGGATCCTCAAGTCTCATTCACACTCAACAATGTTTCGTATTCCATTGCTTCCCAATACTTCAACCTCGGTCAAGTCTCCGAAGGGTCAAGCCACTGCCTTGGTTGCATTGCCGCTCTAGCTGACTTTCCTGTCTGGATCCTCGGTGATCGTTTCATGATGAACGTTTATACTGGTGAACGCTCCTTCCATCCTCCTCCTGATGATATAAGTTGAGCAGATCTTGGTTTTCTAGTCTTCGACTTTGAGTCCGGTGTCGGATTTGCTGACCTTTCCGAAACCATTAACGGTTGGAAGGCATCAGTTAACACTTAAAACCCACATTACTAGGGGTGCCATGGTCCGGTTCGGCGGTGACTTTTTTGAGGACCAGAACCAGGACCGAACTGCAGTTACGGTCCTCGTACGGTTCGGTTCGGTCCTGGGACGGTTCAAACAGTTGTGTATTAACCACAGTGATGATATTGGGGATGTGGGCTGTTAACTAAGCATCAAATCAAAAATCAAAACCAATTCCCTCTCTCTTTGCACGTTCCAACATGAGGTTTGCCTCAAATTCCCGCCATTATTGAACTTTTGCTTTGAAGCCTTCCTTTCCTCCCGTTCCTTAAGGTAATCAGTGGTTGAGACAAAATTCGCAATACCTACCATCTGTTGGAGTGTCGCCAACGATATGTTTCCCTTTCTTGTATAAGCTTTGCCTATGTTTCTTTGTTCCTCGTAACGAGTGGCGTATGTGGCAACGTACCATCGCGCCCCGCCTCACGCTTGCCATGTATATACTGCGAGTGCTGGGTATGATATACGAACGTGTTGTGATTATACCATCTTGAGGATGTCAGTGCCGGGCATTTCAAGTGGGTTGTTAACATAGCATGCGTCGAATTTTCAAGCACTGCAGTTGCTATAACAAGACCAGTTTCACGTGAGTGTGGGAATCGGACTGGGACTGCCGCCAGCGGCACTGACTGTTATTGGCAACACGATTCTGGCAGGAGAGTCAGTTCTCGACTCCCAGTTAGGGAAATAAGGTTGTTTACGTTCCTGAACAATGTCGTCTGATACCTCGCCCCTGGGTGATCGGCCAATGAGGCGGCGCTCGGTGACATCTCCAAGGACTCCCTTCACACCCTTTTCACCAGCGTTAAAGTTTAGATCTCCTGTCATTCCTACTATAGAAGACCCTTTGCCCATAAAGCATGATGAAGGCTCGAAGATAAGGAGGGCACCTTTGATTGTTCTCGGCCAACGGATCAAATATTCTCGGACAGCTGGAAAATCTCCCGGCTTTAATCTCTACGGCGAATCTGCTCCCAATGGACTCGCCTGCCCCTCGTGTCTTTGGCGCCGTCGATCCATGTTCTTCAAGTATACCGCTATATCTCTTTTCGCCCTTTGTACCATAACAATTTGGGTAGTTACATGGCACGTTGTTCGTAATTCATCTGTCTCACCTCCAGGACCGATCGAACATCTCGATAGTCCGTTCCAAACAACCTTCCCGAGCAATTCGCCGTCTGCTTTGTCGAACCTTGACTATTTAGGTGCCGTTCCCCTTCGAACCCAGTCCCTAGGAGAGTTACTTGCTCCAGCCACCGCACCATCGCCTAGCACCATTTCAATATTTGCACTGTGTCCCAATGATGATTTTCCGGCACGAATGTCGGACTTGCTATTGAGGATTAATGCTGGATTTACTTTTTCGACGCTACATTCCATCACCTTTATCTGCTTACGTTCCCAGGCCCGAGAAGCAGCACTGTTCCTGGATGAGCATGGCTCTGATGACTTGCCGGTCTTCGTGGTGCACAATGGTACTACTGAGGCGACCTTGGAAATGAACCTTATCCACATGGCTGCCCAAAGTCTAGCCGATTGGGTCCTTCTCATTGACGAAGACGGAGTCGCAGATATCTCTCTTGAAACTTGGAGGCTGCTTCATCCCCTGGATCAGGTGGTGGTTCCTTTCGGGGTTCGCGGGGTTACCCTCACCCCGTCGAACGCGTTGTGTATCTCTCCTCACCCCAGCAGTTCCGGTGGACCTGTGTCTACCGCGTTTCTTATTCCCCCATTTTTCATTCGAACAGAAGTGCTCCGGAACTCTGAGCATGCGCTTTTTCTGGACGAGGCTATTGGGATCTGGGCAAACCTAGGGCGGCGCATCTCATCCTTGCCTGGAACAAATGGGGTAGGGGGTCTCGTGGCTGGACCAGGCCACGGTAAATCGAGCGACTGGTGCAGTCGGGCCCTTCAGCAGGTTGTGCCGTCAACTGAGGTGGATTTTAACTCGAACATAAAGACACATAGACAGGGTCTGGATGCACTGCGTCATGCATTCCACAAAGCTACGAGGGAAAATGGAGATCGAGCAGGGACTTTTGTTGTAGCTCTTCCAAGTCTGAGCGAATTGCGGCAATTTTTACCGACTTTGTGTCGCCTCGGACTCTACGGTAATTCACTGCGAATCTTCCTCTACTCTGCACAAGATGGATCCCGATCTGCGTACTACCAATCTTCTGATTGTCATCTGCACTATGATGTCATAGGGGATGTCAGCTCTGCTCAAGCAGAAAGTGATTCTGTCGAAAACTGGTTAAGCAGGAACGGACTTGGAGTGAACGTCGTTATCACGGCCGCCGGAAATAAGTGTTTGGATCGTGCCCTTCCCTACGCTCTGGATCGCTACCTTGACAGACTTAATCAGAATCAGACCCGACCGACTTTGATCAGGATACCTCGAGATCACTTGAAATATCTGGTGTGGACCAGCACCTTGTCAGTCACTCAGTGGCAAAGTACATCCTTCTTTGTGAAACATACCCTCGCTGAAATTCGCATAGACTGGCATATTCCGAAGCTTGAATTGGTCGTCATCACCAACAATCGGCCAAAGTCACTCCGACGGCTGTTTGAATCCTTGCAGAGGGCAGTGTTCTTCGGCGATCGGCTACACCTCTATATAAACGTCGAACAGACAGCCGATGAAGAGACCATGGCCTTTGTACGCTCGCTTGAGTGGGACTATGGGAATCTACACATTCGTCATAGAGTGATCCTTGGTGGTTTGCTGCCCGCCGTGGTAGAGTCGTGGTATCCTTCCAGCAACGACTCTTATGGGTTGATATTGGAAGATGACGTGGAGCTATCTCCTGCTTTCTACGCTTGGGCAAAGATGAACATGCTTCAGTATCGGTGAGCCGTGGGTTTAACGTACTCGCGCATGGTACAGCCTAATCTTTTCGTCAAGGTACGGAGCTGAGGTGAACAGATCTCCTCGACTATTTGGGATTAGCCTGTATCAACAGAAGACGATCGAGTTACGCCCAGAAGGTAGACGTCCCTTCAACGCCACGCACCTCTTTCATTCCTCCGGTATTCGTCACGCTTCTACCCCATATCTCTCTCAGGTCCCTTGTAGCTGGGGAGCCATTTATTTCCCCGAGGTTTGGCGTGAGTTCCACGAGTACCTTATCGATCGCCTCTCTGAGCGTATCTTTGATATTGAGACTTTGGTTGTCCCAGACAGCCGTTCGAACAAGTGGACCAAATCCTGGAAAAAGTTCTTCATCGAATTAGTATTCTTGCGTGGATATCTCATGCTATATCCGAACTACCCTAATTTTACTTCCTTTTCGACAAATCACCTGGAGGCAGGGACCCATGTACGACGTGATGCTGTCATGGATAGTGGCTTCGCAGCGAAGAAAGCCGCGTTCGAACTCCCACTAATGCCGCTCACTTCGATGAGCATTCTTGAGCCCTCTTTATTTGGCCTCCCCAATGGGAGGGTCCCTCGATGGGAAGAACTCCCTGTCGTAGATTTGTGGGGGGCATTGCAACAAGAACGTACCTTAGTGGCCATCGGGTTCGCCCGACACACGGAATTGGTGGCGGACAAATGCGCAGTTTCCAACGAGTCTCTTGAATGGGACGGGCCAACGGGATCTGCGTCATGTACTGTTCGGCCGACCTAATGGAATGATGCGAGCGTTTCTCTGTTTCAGTATGACAGCCATTAATTTACAACAAGACCTTCGGTCCATTAGTATTTTGGCGATCTCAATCGTGAACCTTATTAACTATTCCTTGATAGGATACGCGTACATCGGTTATATATAATAGTCACATAGGATTGAAGCGCTGAAATAGCCTCTACGTCAGTCGTCAATCCAGAACTGTCCCATCACGACGCTTGTCGTGCGAACTCCAATATGGTTCCTAAACGTGTAAGGTCAGCACGATCTAGATGGCGAAGACAGAGGATATAGCACCTGTGGCCCTGACCGCCGGGCAGACACCAGGAGCAAACTGCCCATTCAACTGGCGTCCACCCGCAGAAAAGGGGCACGACCAACGAGTGCTATCTAAATGGAATAACATCCAAGTCAGCTCCCAAATAACCAACGTAAGGTAAAAATATATATACTTAATAACCTAAACACGACGACTGTATGTTAGTAACATACCAATTAGCTTTAATTCAAGATAGTATCCTGAGATGCGAGAAACAGAATCGTGGAGGGGGGCCTGGCGAGAACACCACCTGATCTTGTGGTGGTGCCCATAAATAGGTGCGGTGGACACTGTGGATGGTGACAGTAACTAATTGCGGGGGGAAGGACATGAGCTGATCGACTATGCCCGAGGCAATGCGCAGTGAGTAGAGGGTGAGAATTAAAAGAGAGGAAGGAGGGAGAGGTAGAGGTGATGAAGAAACGAGTGCTTGGGGCGGTCTTTTATGCTTTTTTGGCTAATTCCATCCCCTCTCCCGGCAGCAGCGAATGGCATTTACAATCTCAATTTTCTTCGCCAAGCCGTGCAATCAAAGTAATATATGAGTGAGATCGAATCACTTCGCTGAGTGCCACCATTTTCACGGCAACTCGACCTTCTCCACACCTTTGAGCTTCATTCGGCCACGAAAACGACTAGACTATCCCCCGCCATAAAGACGGTGGAGAAGATACGGAGGGACAACATGAGAGAGGGTCTGGAGGCTAGAAAAAATCGCGCTGAATGAAGTCTGACCAATGAGCAGTCTAAAAGGTGCTGACCTATTTCGACAGACGGTAAGCCTTGTTCGCGTAGAGTTAGACAGTCGCGTTGAAGAGCATGAGTACTGGTATGAATCACGAGCCGCCATCTACTCCCTATTGAACCAACATTACAACAGACATCGCCGTGAGCATGCAGTATGAGCGCTCGGCAGGGCATCCACGAAATTCTGTCTCAGATCCAGTGCATCCAGATTTCGGCACATAATCCCAGTGGATCGTCCCTGTTGTTTCGACCGGAGGGACCCGCTAGAATTATTTCATCGGTTTCTCCATGGACTTGAGTTGGGGGAAACGTACGGAGGTTTGTGGCTACAAGTATCGTGGGATACTCGGCCAAAGCCCGTTTTGTAGGCAAACATTCTGAGCCATAGGGCCCCAACTCGCTTGGTAGTATTGCTAAATGTATCTCGAAAAATTGTTCCCAGCGCTTCTAGCTACTAGCATTGGCCTACTCTGTTTTCAAAGCCAATGGTGAGGGAAGTGCAGAAGGTAGGCGTAGCATTATTCACAAATACCAAGAAAGCGATTATTTTCGGGATTGACCTCAGCGTTTCATGACCCATGGTGCCTCGTTGCTTTGTCCTCGCGGGTAACTTTTGCCACTGGTTGACTGGCCCAGTTCAGACCAGAGCCTTTGGTCATAGGCGACTATTCTTCAGCATCAGTGGGTGATATCCCCCAGTCCAATATGAGTACCACCCGTCTGAGCGGGGCGAATGGCATTTGGGTCGCTGTTCTAATTTACTTTGTGCATTCATGGCTTGTAGCACATACGTCTCCCCAATGCGCAGATGAAGCATCGCCGCCTGCAATATACTCGGAATAGAGCCAGCAACAAGATAAGGACCGTGGCAAGATCGGGTGAAACCACAGCGGGCTCAAGCCTAGCTTACTTGCGTCGACATCATTAGCTGGCTCACCCCAGTAACTCTAGTTGAGCATACAACTATGGCATTCTTCAAGGTTGTTAATGGGTGGGCAGCGATTGATGAGCGAGGGAACTGCCGCCATCCTCGTTTTGCCAAATCGCTTTTGTGCTGTTGCAAACGCCGAGTCAGTGTCAAGCACCACCCACCACCCTTTTCATCCAGCTGGACAGGTGTCGGGGGTGTAAGCTTCTTTCCTCGTGGCTCCCTCGACCTGCTTGACTCACGCCAGCTTGATGAGGATTTCCGACAACAGCTCAAACGCCGTTCAGCTAGTCAAAAGGTGCCGATGCACCAACACGGGAAGTGCACTGTCTCAGTGCCTATCTGAATGGTGTCTTCTGAGCGAGAGCCGGGACGCTGCTCGGTGGTGTGGGTTTTCTGGTCCTTCGGTCCCTCTTCGAAAGGAACCAGTAAGAACACAACGCGCGCGCATAGTTACATTTCTTGAGCGCCAAAAAAGACGTGAGGTGCCGCGTCTCGAGGTCTTCACTAAATAGACTCTCCAACGAAACCCGTTGAACTAGTACTGCATATGTAATTTTGGATTCCCAATGTCTGAGTAATCACGAGCCCTTCATGGGCCCCGCCACACCATCTCTTGCATGCACGCGTCCACAATCGCTGTCGAAACAAGTCTCTTGATACTCTACGAACATTTCTATTCCACTGAGGAAACGCGATACATTTCAGCACAACATGTGGGATCCTAAGTGCCTGGTTTGCAGTCCTAGCGATACCATGTTCCACTTCGGACCTTAGATATGATCTTATGTGAGAGCGATGCACTGATGAAGCATTCGCCCAACAGTGTCCCCGCACATGCATCCCATTGCCTGCTCTGTCATATAAACCGCGAGAAAGCACTGACTATAATAGAATCCATAGAGGACAAACCGATCATCATCAAGCATGTAAAACCAACGAATGACCGCTCATGCACAACCAAGGCGTGAATTTTCGTCACTAACCCTGCCAACAAGAGCCAAAACTAGAAGCGAACTCAATTATACCGTAATCTGGGAACTATCAAGGCCAAGCGCATGCAAAAACAAGTTCACATTATCCAGCTTCGCCTTCCGTTCGCTCTCTTCGTCTACCCATCCCTTCGTCGCACTCACAACATTCTGTAATACTTTTTCTCGCACTTCCGCTACTACATGCTGCTGCTGTTCTGAACTAGAACAAACAGCCAGCGTAGCAAGGAAATGCCATACTGTTTGGTCGGCCACTTCGATCCAGGAGGTTGAACGTATTTGCTGCGTTAGAGTAGGGGGGACCGAGGCGGCAATGCGAATGGAGGGGAATAAGGATAGGAGGTTTCCGTAGAGATATTGGATGAGGTGGTTGAATATAATTTGCCTTGATCAAGCGTTAGGTCGAAGATGGAACATGCTATTGTCATTCACATACCATTGGGCAAGCTCTTCCGGAGTTGGGGCGTCCGGAGTATTTTGGGGGATCTGTTTAAGATCACCAGCACGGCTTAGAAGCATCGTTAGAAGGCCTAGCCCAGCCTAGGAAATCGAGCTCAGTCCGAAGCATTAGAGGAGTAGAAGGGCGCTAACCCGTGTTCGTGCTAGTCCGACTATGCTGCCTGATTCCAGCAACAATCCAAGCATGCCAGTAACGAAACGTAGAGGAGATGACCGCACGACATGCATCCCAGCCTGAAAAATCGTAGAAAAGAATAATTCATTCTGAATTTCCGCCTCCCTCTTTTGAGGGGTATTTTGGAGTTGATCAAGGAGGAGGGCTTCACGGACGACGTCGAGTTGCGTATAACAAGCGACGAGGAGAGTGAAGAAAAGATTCTGTCGTTTCTCATCCACCTGCCGTAACAACCTGGGTAGCAATCGTTTTCCTTTCCCAAGGCCAAGAAGTGATATGAAAGGATGCGGATTGCTGTCAGGATCCGGAGATAAGAATGTAAGCGGGGGAGGTGGTATCAGAGGATTACCTTGTTTCTAATGGGGCCATGATTTGCGATTCAACCCATAATTCCTCGACTAGTGCTGTGAAGTCCTCGTTCCTAAGTGACAACGGTGCCTAAGCCCGCTTGTTATTCCTGCCTGGCATTCAACTAACCATGTTACCAAATCTAAATCCGGAGGCGCTTTATCTCGAATTCTATGGAGTTGCTCCAGTTTGATGATTAAGCTGTAGAGCTTTTCCGCTGCAACCAAAGCCTCACGCCTGCTGAGGGGCTCTCTTCGGACAAGTTGAGTCTAAACAAAGCGTTAGAGAATAGTGGAAACCTTCAGGCGCTCAGAATATACCCCTGAAGCATCAGCAAGCGCTTCCCGACCTTGCTTTGCTGCCTCCTTCGCAGCGTTTTGTCCATGAGCATCAGCAGTCCCATCAATCTGAAGCAGCTGACGAGGTGCAGCTTTGTAGCTCCTCCCCGCCATCTTCCCAAGGGCGCCCTGCAGATGAGCTTCAAGATGAGGCTTGTGAGTATTTTGTGTCGGCTGACAATCCCGCAAGTGACACACCCTGGGATTGAGGCGCACGATTCCGTTGATTCTTCACGATACGCTCAATTTGATGTACCATCTTATTCAGCGCGCTTTCCCTGCGTCCAGCACCTTTGTGGCCAGGTGGCAGCCCGACACCGATACCGCCGAAGTTCCCAAAATTGATAATAGCCGCATCATTCTCCCCGGTTCCCAAATGCGTACGTTGAACGGTACCGAATACTTGGGCATAAAAATCACTTCCATAAGGATCTGCGGAAATCAGCTGAGACACCTGTATTCGGGTGATAAAGTCTTTGTCCGATTGCGTCATAAGGTCATTGTATCTAGACTGCATGGTGATTATTTCCGAGTTAGATTAGAGCACCAGGGGGCAATGCAGAGGCGTACCATCTGCGCTAATTTGAACATCCGCCTTCGACGTTTTTCCTCGTGCCGCTCCGCCTCATAAATTTTCTCTGTCGCTTCAAGCATCAAGGCATCCCGTTGTGCTGCCGTTAATGACAGTCCAACGCCATCGGCAGCGTCATATGAACGATCCAAATTTGGGTAACCTGTCGAGTGTGGGAAGCTCGCCTGAGCTGAGTGAAACTGCTGTTGAAGGAACTGGTGCTGTTGCGAGATGGAGATGTTGGAACGCTGTTGCTGTTGGAGCAACTGTTGCTGCAATAGAAGCTCACGTTCCTGCTGTTCACGTATTCTTTGCAACTGCTGGGCAATCTCGATCTCACGTTGGTGTTGCAGCATTTGATGCGCGAGGTGGTTCTGCTGTTGGGTCAGTGTCCGTTGCTGCTGCAGAGCAAGGAGCTGCTGCTGTTGATGGTCCTGGCCTATCGATTGCTGGCGTAATTGCTGCTGCAGCGAGAAATTGGGCAGCATTTCCCGCTCGCTTTCCCAATCAATATTCGGTAACGCGTGTTGGGCAAGCGGCGAGGAATGGTATTCCTGCTGGTGAGGGGGAGTCCCACGCGAGATTCGAGGACTTTGATGTTCGACTTGAGGGGAGGCAGATAGAGACAGCCGTGCAAGCTGCGCCGCTGCACGTTGTTCCGCTTCAATCTCTGCTAGTGTCCGTATTTTGGGGCCTGGTTGAGGTGGAAGTGGTTGACCCTGACGCTGGAGTGTAGTCGAGCCGTTCAACGGGGTATACGTTCGAGGGATGGCTGGTGCGGCTTGAATACGGTATGAGCGTGCAATTCGAGGCCATGGGAATAAACTTACGACCTGCAGCTGGGGGTTGGAGCGACCCTGATAACGTAATGCGTTCGTTCGACAAAATGCGAGGAGACGCTTGGTTATTCCATACCGCCTCTAGAGGTTGTTGCGCAGCAAATCCTATGGACCAGTATGAGAATATGATATCATAAGATCCTACCGTGACCCACTTGGGGCGGCGTTCGAAGAAGCGCTACCAAGAACACCGGAACCTGAAAGTTTTGTGCTTTCGACAAATACATGCTGTGAAGCTTTTGATGACCTTCGCCTCTTTGCTAAGTCATTTTCGGGCAAAGTTCGGGCAGTAAAGTCAAATTCGGTTGCTATATCGAATTGCGCTTCATCAGTACGACGCAGCTCCAAACAACACCTGTCGTATAGATGGACGTACTTAATTCGCCAGCATCCCCACCAAAGGTTTCATCATTACGTTCATCCAAGCCTTCATCAAGGGCATCTGCGAGCCCTTCGTAGCCTTCTTCACCGAAGGTGTATACGGCGATGTCTTCATCTTGTGACGGTTTGTGCAACTCTCGATCTAGTGTCGTGTCGAACCCAAAAAATGACATGCGTGGCACTGAAGAATCTAAATAACTCGTCAAGAGCCGTTAATGCCACTCCTGTGACCTTGTTCTCTTCACGATGTTAGATCTCAATATTGCCCGATGAAACCGGGAGGTGCCGGATTTGACGTTGGTGAATTGATCTGTCCTTAATCTGGTAGGCGAGCGCGCTTAACATTCTTAGAGCTCAGAGCGCTAGTTCATATGCCCAGGATCGCGTAAGCAAAAGGTCTGCGAGAAGTGAGCAGGGTGCATGCCTGTTTCGACCCCAGCATATAATTATGGTCCTACTCGGCCTACATAAGTATGTACTGTCCAAAAACAACAAACGCGTAGCTGAGCCATGGGTCTAGTGTGGGAGAATATGATCCCGTCGCCGCACAACAGATATCCAAATATCCAAATATTATGCGTATTTTATTATGTTATCGGCAAGCGGTAGTTGTTTGCTTCCGATCACTCAATGAACAATGAGCTGAACAAGGCGATACTTTGTCAATATTGTTCTCTCTCTTTTGTTCCTCTCTTTTCGATCCAACTCGACCTCCCAAAAAGTGAACCGAGCCCACTAGAAGTCACACGTTCGTGCCTTCAAAGTCGAAGGGTCAGCTTCAGCCAACGAAACTCAGGGTTCCGAGTTTGTCAACCACGGAAAGTGTAGGCGTGGTCAGTGGCTGAATATGTCAGAGGCCAAGTCCCTTGAGGTCCTCCAGGCAGCTGGAGATATTGTTCTTGGCGCAGCTGGATCTGCAATTCCCCCCTCGGTGAAATTGGACCACCTGGTTCGCTACTTGGGAACATGGTCTGGCAGCGAGTATGTTGAATACCATAGCTCACGATGCAAATACTCATAATGTGTTCTCGTACCTCCCCAGTAAACTCATGATGGTATGTTCCAACTTTGTGAACCTGGGGTTCGACTGACATTATATTCCATGCAGCTCGTCCAGTACACTGCTAAACTCTCTGCGTTGCCGATGACTCGGTATGCTGAGGCAGAGCATCGTTTGGGTCGTCGCCTGGCGCCTGCTTCCCCCACCGCTGAAGGGCTGTTCAAATTTGCAGGGCAGCTTAGCCTCTCTCGGCGCGTCTCCGGTCTGTGGGGTAGGCCTCCGACTGTTGCCAGATAACAACATGCCGCTTATTTCATTGTCAATCCTTTCATTCTAGGCCTGCTCGCCATTCTCAAAGGCATCTCAGCCCTTGAGCGCAACCCCGCGACTTCCAGCCTCCAGCTGACCCTCCAACGTCTCCAAGGGCTTTCAATGCTCATTTATTACCCACTCGAATACCTCGCTTTCTTCTCATCTCCGTTTGCGCCCGTCATTCCTCCACGCATCATCTCGCCGTCTCAATCCACCAAGATTCAGATGTGGAGCATTCGAGCCTGGGGTGTTTACGTTTTGCTTCAGGTATGGATATGTGCGAATGAACTGGGGGAGCTATCTTGGAAGGAGGACGCATTCAGAAAGGCGCTTGAAGAGAAGTTGGAAGAATTAGAGAAGGTGGAGGGGGAGAAAGGCAAGGTCAAAAGTGATTTAGAGAAAGTGCTGAAGAGAAAGAAGCAGGTTAGGTACCAATTGATAGCAAATGCTTCTCGCCTGCCTGTCATATTGCACTGGTCAGTTTGGTGTCACCCTCTGAAAAACCTGAATAATCATCGGACATTTTGTAATTGCATAGGTCCCTGGTCAAAGGATTCTATAAGAATGAGGTGCGTTGAAACTGCGTGTCAGTCTCCTTTTTGTCCCGTACGCTGATTTCGGACGTGATCAGTTTTGGACGAACTTTTACTCTTTCATTTCCGCCGTTGCAGCCTTTCGAGGCGGATGGGAAGGGTCGCGATTGCCGTCACCCATGCATTGATGACGTTTGACAGAATCACACTGCTCTCTTCGGGCTGCTGCAATATTATTCTCGTGGAGAATTAGCTTAGATTCTAACTTAAGTGTGTATGTGAAAATTGTTGGACGTCTAGACACTATGGTCTGCGCCAAAATTAGCCAACTGTGACTCGATATTCTCCCACATTTTGATGCAGCTGTCCAAGATCAATCTCTCGTTGAGAGCAAATCGTACTGCGATCTCTGTCCGTCGCCGATATCTCGATCGTTGAAGTGCACCCTTGATCCAAAGTTGTAAGCGAGTGCATGTTGTGTGGGAGTATAATTAGACGCACTTCAAGCTCGGCGATTTCTGATATGGGTCGGTCGCTCCAATGCATGGAGGCAAGTCTCGCTCGGCAGATGGTTAGAATATCCACTGCGATGTCGATGAGAGCTTGACAACTGCCCAGACGTAAACCATGAATTTCGCACTCCTCATCTTCGACATCCAACAAAGACATTCTTTTTGCCAAATCACGTAGATACCCTAGAAGCGATTCGTTCCGCGCCTGCACGACGGGTGGGGCAATAGAGTCAAGCACGGCTTGCGGGGCTCTTCGTAAGAGGAGGTAAAGCCATAGTGCTGGAGATATTTGAGCACTCGCATTTATAGCGAAGAAGGTAGCTGATAATCGTTCATTATCAAGGCGCTTCCCCAAAGACTCCCTATCCATGTCGTCTTCCGTCTCCTCGATGAAAGGCGGAAAGAAGGGAGACGATGTGGGAAGGCATTCCACCCAGAGCTCTTGACTCTCAAACAGGTCTTGCCACAGTTCATTCAGGAGCTGCATGGACAAGCGTGTGCGTTGGGAAGGAGTGTGGGCGAGGTAATCTTCGATCTCTTGCACTGTGAACAAAATCTCATCATACGAGTTCCCATCGAGTAGAAATCCATAATGTGACATGAGTTTGACGTTCGAGAGTCGCTGGTCGTAGATGTTAAACACCTCTTCTCCGCCGTATAGCACGGCATTTGTAACCATTTCGCAGCAATCCTCTTCCGTAGTCGATACAGTAGAACCGGTGGTTGCACGAGCCTTAGGTTCGTCCGGTCATGCGGACATTCATCGAAGGAGCCACAAATTGCGCATACAAAGTAGTCAGTCTAGATTAAATCGACAATCAGAAGTGGTGCGAGGAACGAGTTAATCATGTGTACCTACCTCTAAATGAACCGTATTTTCCTCCGCATGGTTGAATCTGAAAATACAAAGTTTTACATGACGCTTGGTTTCTGGGTCAATATTGAGAGGTCCAACGCACGCATCCGCTATAGGAACAAGAGCCAAGGTATGATAGTTATCCACACGGAATGCTCGCGACGAAACCATCGAAAAGGCATAGCAGAAATCGTCAAAGGTGACGGGCTGAACGCCTATACTGCCAGAAAATGGCAGGAAAACCGTATTGAAGAAAGATAGAATGTCTGACTATGCCAGTAAAAACCTCTCACATTGAGCTGCTTCACAAGACGCAGGAGACTTACGAGTGATGGCCGAACTTCACAGGCCATGTATCGAAGTAACCCAGTCCCTCGAAGCCACTGCAGAGCTTCTTTCGTATCGTCATTACTGGCATCGGAAGGCCAGAAGGCAACGAGATCGACTGGATCTTTGGGGAGACTTTGTATGTACCCCACCACTTAGAAGCCTGTCCCAATTGTCTGATCGAGAACATAGAGAGAAAAACTTAGTTTGAAGATACAGAGAGAAGCTCCCAAGACAGCAGCACACACACCGCTCAATGCATAGTGCAAGGCTCAGGGACAAGTTGGGATCGACTTCCCTTTCACATAAAAACTCTTCCAATCCTCTGGAATATCGAAAGTTTCTAGCAGACAAGACAGCGGATTTGGGAATACTCGCCACTGAGAGAGAGAGAAAGAGAGGGGGAGAAAGAAATTAGGACCATTGGATCTATGTGAAGTCATCCGAAAGCTTGCCAATTTCTCTATTTTCTATGAAGGCAGTGGCAAACACGCAAAGGCCATGTGCACCCTGCTCAGTCTCGTCCATGTCAGGGACATTCCCCGTTTCCGCAGCAAGTACGCTTCTTGCGTCCCGCTGAGTCTCGTCTGTGCCAGGCGCATTACTTGTACTCAATGATTGGCCATCTGAAGGGACTCGAACCGACAATCGAGGGTCTATCTTGATGCCTTGTTCCTCGCACCAACGTAGATACGTTCTTAACATCGGAGAGAAGGACTGGAAAGTGTCTCAGACAAGGAGAGGTCGAACGGAGCACCCCAACCCTAGTGACCTGAGGAACCTCACAAAGCCTGAAGATCGGTCTTGTATACTAAAAGGCGGGCTAGTGAGCTTGTTATTACTATCACTCTAGCCCAGACTTAGACTAGGCAGGACTCAGGACTCCAGCCTCTATAACTTCGACTTGGACCGCTCACAAGAGCGGTATTGATATGTATTTAACGTTGTTTGTATCGAGCAACTCGACCCGTTTGGGGGAACCACTAACTCTGAACAAAGGATGTCAACTTTCGTAGGAATTCATCTCCAAGGAAAAAATTGGAAGAAAAATATCAATGCAGTTAGGAGGGATAGGACGAGCATTGTGGAGAATGGGGGGTATGAATGGCGAACTGAGGTATGTGCAACCGAAAATAACCAAGCAAGTCAACTTGCATGCCTTATGACACGCTAAATATCTGGGGAGAGTGGGATTGGAAAATCAAGGTCCGTGAAAACTAAGACGCTGTTGGCCTGTCACCACAATCTGGTCTCAGCATCAAAACCCTGTGCAACAACTGACAGTACGTACAGTCACAACCTCGCTTGTTCCGCCGCCTTCGATCGACACTCCAACCCTCTCTCAAATACGACGCCTTCAACACTGGGAAGTAAGAACTCCTTCAAGGTCGCTTCGAACTTCTCGAAGAATTCCTCCACAACACCAGGCTCGAAAGATCGGGAGTCCCACCCAAGAGTGGAGTAAATCCTGCCTCTAAACGTGTACCCCATGAGCAGTATCCCGCCCGTATTTTTCCTGGTACCGTTAAGGATGTCAAAAAGGTTCAATGCGGGGAAGTTGGACGGTAGATAGAGGTTGTCAAGGTTAGCGAGGAGGGATACGCCAAGGAGAGCGACGGATGGAACCCTTGGCTGCTTCGGCGCAACTCGACTGCCACCTTCGGCCTTAGCTGTAGTAAGCTTCGGCCCAGGATTCGGGGTGGTAACCCTCTCATCTTCCTTCTCCTCACCTCTTCCTCGTAATCATCGATCACCGCCCAGGCTTTGGCCCTTTCAGCCCTTTCCTTTCCCATTTCCCGGTTCCGACTCGGAACAATGGACTGCTCAATACCTTCGTATGTTGATCTCGTACACTCCGCACACGTAACCAGAAGGTTCTCTCTAGCACTTTCCTCGCTTCTTCGTCTGATTCACATTGTTCGAGAGCAAGGTGGGGAAGGAATCCAGGAAGGACGACGTTAAGGTACCCCAAGGCAAGGAAAATGTTCGATTCTGGGGTAGTGGGTTCGCATGGTGGATATACGGACGGAGGTTAATGGCGGTGTACATCATGATGGGCATCCGCTCGCTCCCAATCGCCTTCCATCGTTTCCGCTCCGCCTCGCTGACACGCGCGTTGCGAGGGTCAGTACGAGATGCAACTAGGCGAAGCCATGCAAACGTCACCAGGACAAAGATGGCATTCGTCACCGTAGCATGGTGAGATTTGCACAAGGAAAGAATGGTGCGGGTGTGCTGCTGCGAGATGATGAACGTTTGGATCTTCGAATTGCGAGCGGAAGAGGTAGGCCTGATTCGTGGGAACACATGACCGCCCTGGATCCAGGGCAAGGTCAAAAGAAGAACGCGGATCAGGTCTGCACTCGTTACAAAAAGCAGCAGGCCGACAACACACTCACCGCATCTTTATCCAAACTATTCATAAACGCCACTCTCTCTGCAACTTTCTTTAACCTGCGGTCATCACGTCCCATTCTCTCTTCGGCTGCGCTAGGCACTGGTTTAAATCCCTTCGGGCTGTAAATGGAACCCTGCTTCTTTCCCCACCTCCTTTCCCACTCATATTCAAGCATGTGCCATAATTCTGCCTCAGGGCGTGGGGAGGACGGCGAAATCGAGGAATTGCCACCGAGGAGCGAGAGAAGCTCGTTTCCGAGGTAATGCCCCGCTAGACCGTCAGTGCTATAATGGCTATAGCAGAGCAAAATATCGTGCACCGTCTTCTCGCTGTCAGAGGACTGAGGGGGATAGTAACGAAAAGGAAGCAAGGTCGCTCGTTCGAAAGAATACGAGGTCCATTGTTGCACATATCCATCAATTGCTCGCGGGTCTTGCTCGCGAAGATCCAATAGTGCTGGCGCGCCTCTACAAGTGCCTCGGTGGGACTGGAGGGTGCTGTATACCTGTGCAGAGGCGAATTAAAACAAGGTTTAGATCGAGCGGGGAGGGGGGGGGATGATTATCACGTACAGAAACCGAACACGGTCATACTCGCCTGCGTCCATCAGGACTTTGCAGGAACAAAGGGGATGCCGGAGGCGAAGGATAGCCCACGCAAGGTTTATCCTCTGGGGCGTGATAAAACCTGAAGCACAGTCGAATCTAAAGTACACTACATGGCAAATCGCATGGGTATGAGTATTGGGAAATGTGAATGATGGGGAAGAACAAAAATTGGACACACCGAACGTGTCATTGGCGCCATCCGCGCGACTTGGGAGGTAGTACGACCTACGCAATGAATAAGATACTTCAGGTCAAAATAACTAGATGAACTTACAGTTCGTTTGAGCTCATAATACGCTCAAAGTTGAAATTTGGGGTCCGCACTTGATATTCGTCAGTAGTGGGATTGCCAGCCCAGGAATGGGACGTGGAGTCCAGAGCCACATGTTGAGAATCGTTCTCGGAAGAAGCGCGAAGTGGTGGGCGTCCGGACGACATCCTGAGCCAGGCAGTCCAGCGAAGGAGAAACACCGGCTAGCAAAACTATAGGAGTTGGCAGGAAATGTCAAGAAGCTAAAAGCTTTTGTGCAACCACGAATAAGAGGAAGAGGGAAAGGATCCCAAACAAGAAATGGCATACTTAAAGACGTAAGGACAATGAGTTACATATGAGGAAGCGAACATGTTCGAGACAATCGCATTTTAAATTTACAAAATGAAATATGTATGCAACTTACATGACGGCATGACCAGATATGGATGGATGTTTGCCTCCGAAAACTCACGCACACGCCCCAATAATAGTTTTCTCGCACGTTGTTCTGCCCTTGATTAGTACAGACTTTCCCTCCAGCTCGGGCGCGGGTGACGATGTACTCGGACGTTTGGCTACCGAAACATTATGGCCGCTGAGGCTCCCACAGCATGTCTGGAAAACAGTCCGAATATTCTCCATTAGACAACGACATTCTGATCGTCATTGTCCGGAAACCCGACAGTCTCAGCCCCTGCATGCCGACAAACCTCGTTCGACACAGCATCCAGGGGAAGCTAGCATGGATATCCACAGTCATGATTTCATGATCAAACCATAGCAACCGAATTACAAATGCTGCAATCATTTGCTCCTCCGCTTGGAGAGGGCCGTTTTACAGGGCTTTGTCCAACAGCCGCAGGGACTGAGCTCGAACCTGAGCTTTTGCATCACCCAAAAGGGAAGCGTATGCGGGGGTATATATACGAATGAGCTACATAAATCCAAATAGAAGCCTTGCGAAGCTCAAGGCGGCCTGTCCGGAGGAGCGTCCGCTGCTTCTGAAACCAGGAGGAATTTTCACTGTCTGTGAACAACAAAGTTGGGAGTGAAGCCGTGACTTGATTCATACGGGACGCCGCAACCTACAAGGCAATCCCTCGTCTGGTCATTGGTGACAGGGGTAGCCAACTGATGACCCACCTCTCCAGCCTTCTGAGAAGAATCCAGCAACGAAGCGCCATAGCTTCTGGAGGCCTGATTTCTGCGACACATCTGCATTCTGCTTGCAGGCATGCGGCGTCGCTTCGGATCTTACTTGAAGCCTCCGATCGTATGTGCGCTGTTCTTGACACATCAATCCACAGGTTGACTGAATGTTACAATGAACGTGCCTGCTCCGTGGTGCCACATGCAATGTCATGCAACAAACGGACGCTTCTTAGTTTGCCCACTCATCATGTACATAAGTCCCCTGGTCCCCATCAATCCACCTAGCTGCCCCTACAGGTACCAGCAGCCTTCGCCTTGCCATCGTGGCATCAACTAATGCTTACCCGCACAACTAGGCCAAGCCACCTCGAGCTTTTAATTTTCCACGAATCGCACAAGTTTTCCCTCGTGCCATCTTCACACGGGTTCAATACTAGTGGGTTACTCACATCTGTGCTTGGTCACTTCACGAGCGAGGCAAGAGGACGCAATTCACATCATCGTTTATCCTTGGGGTCGTACTTCATCTGTGGAAAATCGAACGTCGTTCATATTAGGGGGCTCCAAGCTCAAGAGTGCGTGGGAGAAGAGCAGCAAGCCGCTCATAAATGATGCAACCTCCAAAGGACGGGTGATCAGAATCATCACAGCCGCTCATGTTTGCTCGCGTGCCTGGACGTGCATTCATTTGGACCGTTGCTTGCTTGCGGGGCTGATGCTGCAACCTTCACATCGGTGGTTCTGGAGGTAGAAGAACTGCATGGAACATCCAACGTCCGTTCCGGCGAACAAATTGTTCTCTCACTTTCTTCCTTCCGCACATTCCCATCCCTTGCCACCAGCAGACTCACTCGCGATCTGTGCAGTAATGCACTTGAACACATTGACAACGAGTGTGTCAGACCAATCTGGTATGACGTTTTCAATTATTCAGGGATAGGAACATCAGCTTCTCCACGACATGACATGAAGAGTGCTCGATGGCCTGGATATACTACGGATGAAGCCCTGACGAAGGGAAAAGGGAATGAATGCAGAGAAGTATATGGGGGTCGATAACAGCACTTAGGTAAAAACAGCTCCCGTGCTTTCTCGACGCCTTCTTATCGCGAATTCAACATTAGACAGGGTGTGATAACGGGATCTCATATTGCGTGGTATTTGCGTGGGGCAGCACATGTATTCTCACAGATCTAAAGGCGAAGTCGATCCACCAAGAAAACGCGCGATTGTACCGTTCCAAGACAAGCAGACATACACTTCCGATCTTTGTTGTATCTACCAACCATTGCTGTTAAACTACGTGCCCGCGATAGTCAAGCGTGAATCTTAATTGTCTGTTGTGACAGTCTCCCGGATCCACTCTTTGTTCCCACGTGACCACCAAAGTTCCAGACTTGGTGAATTTGAATAATGTTACGTACCAAGCTTCCTTGACTTTCTCTCTCTTCCGCTGCCTTCACGACTCCTGTCCTTTCATTGTAGACAATCGTGAAGAGCAAGGTCCTAGGTCAACCTAAGCTTTTTGGACAACCCCTGGAATCCTACGTGCCCCCCCCCCCCCCTTGAAATCCCGCACATAGGAACAGTTACTACAATCATGTCTGACGCAGAGGCTCAACCGTCGAAGCTCAAGGTAGCCACCGTTGTGGCGTTCTATATGATTGCGGCCATGGTGGTAAGTTGAGAGTCCCCATTGATTCAGTTACATTATCATTGCTAAAACTGTGGTTCACACGATGACTGTAAACTGATTTCTCACTTGTAGATGGTGTTCGTGAACAAAGTAGTTCTGAACTCCACCCCGAACTTACCATTTTCTCTCCTCGTATGTCCCAGTTCAAGCCATCATCGTTGATCATGGCCCCTCATGACACCTGTCGTTCACTCAGCTCGTGCAAACTTTCATTTGCATCGCACTGTTGCACGTTTGTAAATGGATAACGCAAACCCCCGGTTTTTCCTCCTATCTCCCCTTTCACGCTGAGCTCCCTGAGATTGATCTACGAGGTTTCTACACTCTCGCTCCAGTTTCGCTTATTGGTATCGCCGGAATAATATTCAACACTCTTTGCCTGAAAGATGTCGACGCCTCTTTCTTCCAAGTATGAACTTTTTGATGCCACATCGCGTTACGAAATATGAATACTGATTCCAAACGCGCTCTAGATCGCTCGTGGCCTTATCCTCCCCCTCACCGTCGTCGTCTCGGCCATCGCAACCCGTACCATGCCCCGATATAAAGTCCTACGAGCTGCCTTTGTCGTCACTGGTGGCTTCTTCATCGGAGCAACACCAAGCTCATACTTTTCCCGTCACACAACTGCGCTCGATGTCACGGCCCGCTCACTCGTTTATGGCATCCTTTCCTCACTCATGACTGCGTTGCATGCCGTCATGGTCAAATCCGCACAGCAGTATATGGGTGGAAACAATGTCATTGGAATGGCATATTGGACAAACTTGATAGCGATCTGTGCACTTCCGCCCTTTGTGATATTGAACGAGGAGGTCGGAGCCGTACTGGCGCTGAATGGTGAAGAGATGAAAGTGTTCGTGATTGGGTGTGCTGTCACCGGCTTTTTCGGGTTCTTGTTGTGTATGGCAGGGTTGTTGAGCATCAAAGTGACCAGCCCTGTCACTCACATGTTCTCGAGCGCCGCAAGGAGCGTCATCCAAAGCGTGTTGGGCGTTGTTATTTTCGGTGATGTGATAACACCGTAAGTCTTTAGGTCGAAGCTCCCTTTGTGTAAATTGATCTGACCACTCTATTGCCCAGGAATCGAGCTAGTTCTATATTCGTCATCACGGCAGGCACGGTTTATTATACATGGCTCAAATCGAGCACACCTCCTCCCCCTCCCCCTCCACCTTCGACGGACCACGATGTTGAGAAAGGAACCGACGAAGGGGCTCAAAAGATCTAACCATAATTTTTTTTACGCCTTGGGGATTTTTTTATTTTCTGCTTGTATCATCTCGCTGGCCTCTTCATGTTGAACACACCAATTTGTATCATTCGGGTTCAGGTATTACTTATATTGATTCCTTTGCGCGATGCAGTAACAAGTCCCGTATTATCTTGCTCCGCGGATCATGGCATGATGACATTACTCGTCGGGTGGTAACGAAGGAGGTGAGAGTGAGAAAGAGGCTGTTAGTGGCATTGAACGAACAGCGAATACCGGACACAACAAGGAAACAAAAATTCCCGCTAACTTCGTAGCCGATTGATGACAAGGTCTTCTATTATTGCCAATTCTGCATAACCAGTCACTAAGCAATATTTTCACCCAACTCTTATCCTATCGTTACTCGTCGCTAGTCCCACAATGGTTTCCGGCCCACCCGCTAGCTTTGAGTTCCTTGACCGAGGACACAGGTGTGTAACCGACTCTTCATCCCCTCACCAGTTGACTTCCAATGCTGAAAATCATGGCAATTCCTGAACTGTTTGCGCTGTGTCGCATATTCGTGACCGTTTTACTTTGTTTGGTGGTTGTTACGAAATCCACATGCCTTCCCCACGTGCGTCCGTCTTGCCTCCCGATTTCCTGACTATGACAATGTCTTCATACCTCTGCATGCCCCTTCGAATATGAGAAATGGTTCTGCCATGCTTTACGCATTTCGTCAGTTTGTGGAGGAGGTGAACTCTGCTTGCAAAGATTGTGGACGGATTTGACGACGCCACCTGAGATGAGTCGGGTTTAGGTCGCAGAGTTGCTACTTAAGCGCCAGGGCCTGACGTGTTATATGTGCAACGTATACGGACATGGGATTCGAGACTGTACAGAGACGAAGAAGTTCATAGCGCAAGGTATACTGGAAGTCAACGTGGACAATCGAGTTTGGCTTGTCGGAAGCCCAGCGCGTTGCGTGCATAGATGCGACAGTCACAGAGACCAAGGAACTTGAAATAGTCAAGATTGCGTCGAGTCCCTGACAGAGTTCAGACCAAGAGGCGCTAGTTACGTTGGACGAGCTTCATCCGAGTTTTGGCACCCCATGTGAAGGGATTCCGGATATCTCGCACGATCTGGACGATGTGGATGACGGAGCGTCACTGTTAGGCAAGGATAATGCAGAGCCGAGCCGGAGTCTCCTGGCATCAGAGCTATGATGGATCAAGTCCTGAGGACTCAGAGGCCAGTGTGCCTCGGGAAATGGTTGTAGGGTGGTGCGTGGGCGAAGCGCCTAAGAGTGACGGGTGCTGCCGCGTCAGGCGGCGTCCACCAGTTATTGAAACTAAATGGTCACTAGGCTCTTGTGCCGATGCAAGGGGATGATGGGTAATGATAGTTCGCCACCGGTGCACCAGGTACGGCGGCTGAAACGGGTAGTAATTCGGGTGCTCCACAACAACGGCGGCCACGCTCGTTCCGACGCACCGGGTGAAGCGGTGGGCATAGCGGCGAGCTTAGCAAGAGGGCGTTGGAAGAAAACTGACGCAGTTCTTTTTCTCACTGCAGGGGCGTTCCTGAGGAGCGAGAGTGGCGGGCACGGCAACCGAGATGGTGGGATTGGTGGCACACAAGGGCCAAGCCCCCCTATCCCTTCCACGCGGTCGCAGAGGGTCAGAAGGCACATGTCAATGGTTACTTGCACGACCCTATTGATCCAGTGAAGTAAGCTCGTTGACTGGAAGCGTGTATCGTCTAACATTGGATCGAGTAGATTGCAAACTCTGCAGAGTTTGAGAGCATACTTTAGACTCACTCGAACGTAGAAGAATCTGCAATAGGTAGCTAGTAGTTCCTTGTGCGGTGTCCCGGTCTGCATATGCCCCCTTTGATGGTCTCGCTCCCTAGCGCCTTTGTTACAAGCCCACGCGGCCGCTAGAATGGCACGTATACGCTCTTGAATTGTGATGCACCCCGGCGCATTGGGGAAGCACGAGAACCATGAGGGAATCGGCGAGCCCATGAGGGCCTACGAGAGGTCAAGAGAGCAGCCGCAGGAACAGGGAATGGGTCCCACGTAGCGGAGATACCCACCTCTAGATTAGTAACTGATGGGCACCATTCCTTTTTCCCTTCCCCAAGCCCTGACACACCACCACACGCAATTCATACCGATCGATAGGGATGCAGAATCCATCGTGGTCAGTCCCGTCCGATTTGACGGAATTATTCTCAAAATCATCATTGGCCGACTACCCAATCCCAAGGATACCCCAGTCACTGCTGGATGGATTTTGGATGACGTTGATATCGTTGGAAAGCTGCGAGCGGGGCGAGTCAATTGGAGTGACGAGAGAAGGTTGTTTGATTATGTAGGATGGATACTCTTATCATCTTATTGTATGTATTTGATATTGTTTTTCCTTCATTGCTTTGATTTATGTTTCTTTCTGTCTCCGCGTCGCCATAGTGGCACCTTTATTCATTATATGATAGGCGTAGTAGGACAATCATTTAAAACGGTTAGCGAGATCATTCACGGAATCGTTGGCCGATTTCGGTAGAGGACTTCGCCTACATAGAATTTCGCAAAAAATCGAAACCGGGAAATTTCTTCGAAAACAGCTACACAGGTGGTGAGTTGACTTACGTGCATTGGGCCCAGGTCGAGAATGCCCAAAAGTGCCACTCTAGATCTATAGGTTTTCTTTGGAATCTCACTCTGCATCTGCTGTTGTAAAATCCCGGGTCAGATCTGTCGGGCTCCTGCATGATATCCCTCCTCTGGCAGGTGATCAGCCTCACCCATGTCAATATTGCCCATCATCGATACCAAGGCTACCATCATCGTTTAAAATCTAACCAATGGGGGCGACGTTGGAGTTGTGCCAACGATGAGGGCCAAGTCCCCCCCTCAGGCTCATGTCCCTAGTGAAAATTCCACAGCCTTGCCGACTACTGGGCTCCCCTCTTCGAGGCCCGAATATGACTGGGGAACGAAATACACGAGGATCATGGGTTACAACGAGCTGTGCGTTCACACTCTGTTTGGGGGACCGCGTCCGCCGACTCTAATGGCGCATATTTACACGTTTAGTTCATATTACCTTCCAGGTCGTGCAGACGGAGCGAATGATATGATGTGTCCGGCAACATCCTTATCGTCCAGTTGTTTCTGCACTGACGCTGACCCTAACCGGGTTGATGTTCATAGTCTACCTCAAGTTTGACTGCCAGCTAGAAGTCGTCACGAGCAGAAGGATTCATCTCGCATGGACTATCCTGCTGGTTCGACACCCCCCTTTTGCATCCTCCATTAGGATGGATCCAGGATGTTACGATCAAACCCGTTTTGAGTAATGCCATTTTCCCACCAGACATTGTTCAGGAAGCTCACCGAACCTTCGCAGATACATACCGCCCTCCAGCCCAAATGCTGCTCTTAGTGAAGCACTCGCTTCCTTAGAAATCAGTTTTGATAAAACGGGGAAAGAAGTAGTGGATGAATTTATCAATGGACCTAGAATTCTTTCGGACCAGAAGCTCGGCTGTCTTATCGTATCGCTCCCCCCCAACGCTTATGCGCTTCAATCCATCCACGGCTTTGAGAAGAGCCATAAAACCCGAATAACATGCGAAATGCTCATCGGACTCGCCCACTTTACGGCCGATGCGACGGCAGTCCATCAATTCACGAACGAATTGTTGTCGCTGCTTGGTGGCCCCTCCACTAGTAATCATTCTCCAAGGTCAGAAGACGAGTTGAGGGGTATTCTAGAAGACGAGTGGAATATAAGATGGGGAGTGAGAGGCGCGAGGTTCGGGCCTGAAGGATTTACGCCTATGCCCGAGCCAGCCGAGGAACGAATGCATACTCCCACAAACAGATTAAGATTGGCAGCCGAGAAAATCGCGTTTCAGAATTTCCAGAACAAGGAAATAGTGCGTTCTTTTTCCCGAATCAAACACGCTTGTCATAACATTGACGATTGTATCACTTAGGGAGGCCATCTGCTTCCCCGCACGAAACCCACGAGTAAACGGCGCCACAACAAGATTACAACAATGGTCATTCCAGAACACCTATCCCAAATAATTGTCGCTAAATGCAAAGCTCAAGGCGTGACTGTATCAAATGCCGTTTTCACTCTCTGTTCATTCGCTTGGATTCGTATCGTATCGTCACGTATTTCTAATCCTCTCACATCAGCCACCGAGAAACGAATCTGGAAGCAGATTGGTAACGAGATGTTACCCATCATGATGTACACTGCTGTAAATTTGCGCCCTTATATGGTCGAAAATCCTCCGCCGGAGTCATACGTGTTCTTGGCATTGGGTTATCTCAACGTCATTCTTCCTGGCTTCCTTCCCCGCTTCGCCGGAAGGGCTATGAGCGAAGAGGATAAAAAGAAGGCTCTTCGTGGGATTTTCTGGCTTAGAGCGAGGAGAGTGAGGGAACAGCTGCGGAAAGCATTGGCGAGCCCATTCTTCGCCAGCCGAAATCGAATCATGGGCCAGGAACGAGCTGTAAGGGCAAAGGCTTGGGCAGTTGTAGATGATAGATCAAGAGAGGATAAGAGAAGGGCTGTCGCTGGGCTTTCTCCTCTTCCTCCCTTAAAGCCCCCACCTACATTTGGACCGGCATCGACACCATCGGCAACACCCAAACCCCCTTCCACTGCTCTCGTTGGTATTTCCATATGGCCTTCTATTAATTCGATTTACGACCCATCCAATTTCCCTTTTATCAATAATCTCCAGCTTGTCCCTCAAACTCGTAAAAACACTGGCGGCATACTCCTCATGGGATTTGCTCTCCGGGGCAAGATCAACCTTTCGTTGGGCTGGGATGCAAATTGCTTCCTGGAGGGTGTCGTTGAGGAGTTTTGGAAAGAGTTCGGGTCCGGTATCAGAGAGTTTCTGGTTGGGGAAGGTGAAGATTTCTGGCTGGAAAAGGGTCTTGAGGTTGGGACTCGGAGTTTAGTAGATGCTAGGTTGTAAGCGGGTCTTGCACGGGCGTCACATATTACACTCCGCTCGTGTGACAGCTAATTTAAGAAGTTCCTAATCGGGGATGACATTCACGTCACGGGAGTAAACTCGAAGAGGTAACGCTAGAGAGCCCCAATTGTTGATTGCCCCGCATTTATCAGTCAGGTTTGGTCTGGCGTTTACCGCTCTACATATCTGGCATTCGCTCGGACAACCTCTAGACCTTCTCGATGGCGTGTTGCATCTGCAGTTGGTAAAGCGGTCCTATCCTATCCTATCAGTTCCTTGTCCATGTCCATTCATCTGATGTTCTGTTATGTGCCTTCTCCGCTGTCAAGTCTCGTGTTGATGAGCAGTCGTACTTCGCGCGATCATCTTGAATTGAATGAAAGATTGATGCAATTGAATTGATTGGCAGTCATCGGCAATTCCCGGATGCCATGGAACTGGTTGTTGGCGAATACCGCGGTATATGGCGCGTTACATTTGATCGGGGCAAAATAATGAACTACATAGGGTTCAATGAAGGCCGCTCTATTTGAGTCATTACCAAGGCCTTACGTGATTGGGTGTCACGTGTACTGACACAGCCGCGTTTGGGCAATCCCAGAATATTCAATGATGTTTGTTCCGGACTAGGCAGGTTACTAGCCCAGTTCCGGACTAGGACAACCGTTCCTGCTAGACAACCATCGGTTCGCACTTACAACATTCGTATCTTGCCCTTCTCACTGATCCGCCGAGCTTGCCAATACGACCGGCCACCAGCCCCGTGTGCATGCGATCCACACGGGTTACATAAGGATACCTTTTCCGTTCTTTCTTGCGGCCATTCATCCGTGTTTCACAGTTGATTTGTCGACTGGGTTCTACATAAATCACAACCCAGGGGCTTTGCGTGGAGTTTATGTAGAAGGTTGCATCGGGCAATCGCAAATCCGACGCGGCAGGACCTGGGATTGGGCGAAGAAGATCTTTTCATGGAAAGGGATCTCGCTATATAAAAATTGAAACCGGCAGAATAACGTTGAATTGGGCCCAAGTTGAGAAGGCCCAAAAAGTGCCATCTCAGATCCAGGTTTTTGTTCATTCCACGTTCTCTTTGGAATTTCACTTTGAATTTATGTAATCCGCTGTAAATATGAAGTCCGATAGAACTTCACCCGGCAGTTGACCGGCCTTTATTTCATCGCCCCATCATCAGTACGATGTACGTGTTCATCCTTTAAAACCTAGCCGATGGGTGCGACGTTGGAGTTGTTCATCACCAACAATGACGGTCAAGTCCTTCCTTCAGGCTCATCTCCCGACCGAGGATTCCACAACCTTGCCGAATACTAATTTGAGGCATGAATATGACGAAGAAACGCTGCCCAGCTATTCGGGGAAGTACGCCCGGATCATGGGTCACAACGAGCTGTGCGTCGATAACTCTGTTTTTGGGACCGCGTCCGCCGACTTTAACATCACATACTTAATTCTCTCTCAGCTCATATTATCTTCCGAGTCGTGCAGACGGAGCGAATGATATGATATGTTGGCATCACCCTTATTGTCTAATTGTTTATGCGTTGACGCTCGGTTGATCTCTACAGGTTACTTCAAGTTTGATTGCGGACTAGAAATTGTCACGAGCAGGCGAATTCATCTCGCATGGGCTATCCTGCGAGTTCGACACCCCCCTTTTGCATCCTCCGTCAGGATGGATCCTGGATGTTATGATCAAGCTCGTTTCGAGTAATACCATTTTCCCACCAGACACTGCTCAGGAAGCTCACTGAACCTTCGCAGATACATACCACCCTCCAACCCAAATGCAGCTCTTAGCGAAGCACGCGCTTCCCTGGAAATTTCGTTTGATAAAACGGGGAAAGAACTGGCCGATGAATTTGTCAACGGACCTAGAATTCTTTCGGATCAGAGGCTCTGCTGTCTTATCGTTTCACTTCCGCCCTACGCTTATGCGCTCCGATCTGTCCACGGCTTTGAGAGCAGCCATAAAAACCGAATAACATGCGAAATGCTCATTGGTTTCGCCCACTTTACGGTCGATGGGACGGCAGCACATCAATTTACGAATGAATTGTTGTCACTTCTTGGTGGCCCTTCCGCCAGCAATCATTCTCGACCACGGTCAGAAGAGGAGTTGAGGCGTCTCTTGGAGGACGAGTGGAATATGAGATGGGGACAGAGAGGCGCGAGGTCCAGGCCCGATGGGTTCAAGCCTATACCCAAACCAGCCGAGGAACGAATGCATACTCCCGCAAACAGATTTAGGTTAGCAGCTGAGAAAATCGCGTTCCAGAATTTCCAGAACAAGGAACTAGTGTGTTTCTTTCTCTAGTTGTTCCGAATCCAACATGTTTACATAACGTTGTCTGTTACACTCACATATCATTTAGGGAGGTCATCTATTTCCCCGCATAAAACCCACGAGCAGACGGCGCCACAACAAGATTACAACAATGGCTGTTCCAGAACACCTATCCCAAATCATTGTCGCTAAATGCAAAGCTCATGGTGTAACGGTGTCAAATGCCATTTTTGTTCTCTGTTCGTTCGCTTGGATTCGCCTCGTATCGTCACGTATTTCCAGTCCCCTCACACCAGCTACCGAGAAGCGACTCTGGAAGCAAATTGGTAATGAGATGTTACCCATCATGGTGTACACTGCTGTGAATCTACGTCCTTATATGGATGCAAATCCTCCACCACCAGAATCATACGTGTACTTGACATTGGGATACCTCAATGTCATTCTTCCTGGCTTTCTCCCCCGCTTTGCCGGCAAGGTTATGAGCGAAGAGGAGAAAAAGAGGGCCCTTCAGGCGATCTTCTGGCTCAGAGCGAGGAGCGTCAGGGAACAGTCACGGAAAGCATTGGCGAGCCCGTTCTTTGCCAGCCGAAACCGGATCATGGGCCAGGAACGAGCTGCAAGGGCAAAAGCTTGGGCGGTTGTAGATGATAGAGCAGAGGAGGATAAGAGAAGGGCCGTCGCTGGACTTCCTCCCCTTCCTCCTCTAAAGCCCTCATCCACGTTGGCACCAGCTTCGAAACCATCGGTAACACCCAAACCCCCTTCCGCCGCTCTCATCGGTATATCCATCTGGCCTTCTATCGACTCGATTTATGACCCATCCAATTTCCCTGCTATCAATCTTCTCCAGCTTGTCTCTCAAACTCGTAAAAACACTGGTGGCATGCTCATCATGGGATTTACTCTACGGGGTAAGATCAACGTTTCGTTCGGCTGGGATGCAAATTGTTTCCCGGAGGGTGTCATTGAGGAGTTTTGGAAAGAGTTCGAAGGGGGGATTAGAGAGTTCCTGGTTGGGGAGAGCGAAGATTTCTGGCTTGAAAGGGGCCTCGAGGTTGGGACTGGAAGTATGGTGGGTGCTAGGTTGTAGTGGAAGTCGTATATATACTTTGCCTTTGGCACTTTGATACCCCAACCCCAATATACTCCGCTCGTGTGACCCTTCAACAAGCCACAGGAAGCTTCCTACATAATCCGGGATGTTTCTAATTCGGGCATGACATTACTTAATATATCATACGTAATGGGGAGCCACTTGCAGGGCCACACGGGTAACCAGAAGAGGCACTTGTCTTTTTTGCGATCGGTCGAGTTGCCCACTTCTCCTTCTCAAATCCCCACTGTTCAGCATTCAACAATGATCCGTCGCGTCTACCAACTGACAATTTGCAAGGAATATGTCACAGAGGGGTTCACATCACAATTGCATTGCTCTAGCTCAGGTTCTATCGAGGATTTATGCTCCGACGTTCCCTTCCATTGCCAATCTCTACAGGGTCGGCCAACTTACTTGGTCACGGTTACCCTGGCTCGATGAAGCGTATGCGATCAGATTCTACGCCCAAGAAGTCAAAATGATCATCCTTTCCTTCTGCTGATTCTGCGGCTATGTACTAGTTTCTCCGCGGCCGCCTCTCAAACGCACGCTGGTTCGAACTACTAACACACTCATTTATGCCCCGAAGACTTCCTTGTTCTTAGCTTTAAGCTTTGAAATGCAGGGAAGACGGGCAAATTCCACCTGTGACCGTAAAAGAACCCTCGCATGTTCGCCAAACCCTTTCTGTCCTTCTCTAAATGATCTCCCAGGCGATATAAAAAGCTACATGCTGGCAGATACCTGACTGAAATTTGAGAGGTGGCGTGCGTAACTAGCACGAACGTTCTCCCAAATACCAACTCAACCTCCACTTCTGCAGTCCACTCAGCCCCCGGTCTTCATCCGACCATGGACGTTGCTACCATAAAAAGTGATATAGAAAAAATGCCTGTTCACAGTTACAGCCAAGCTTCAGCTTCCTTTGGCTTTCCGAAAGGTGGCAGCCGCGTTCGCCAGGTAATCGACGATCACGCAAGTGCTATTCGGATCGCTGGGTCTGAGTATTTGGGGACGATGATACGCATGCTGTTCGCGACCCATGTCCCCCCCGTCACGAGCGGCTTTCATATCTGACATGCATTAATCATTCATTCAGACTCGCTTCTTCGCTTTCATCACAATTTCTTCTCTGCGGTGAGTTTTTCACTAGTACCAACCAGCTGTCTTATTGTTAGTTTGTATTTGATACCCACCTTTCCGTAGGTTTCCCTACAAGTCCTGGAGGGGTCAGTCTGATCATTGGACGGAAGGGTAACTTTCTTGTACTCATTGAGATCTCTTAGGGTTATATGTCCATCCTTTGCGGGAATTTCCTCGGGATAATTGTTGGTGTATGGACTGCTCGATACAGCGACGCTCATCTCAGTCCATTGGTGCGTGGTGCCTCCTGTATACTACCCACCGCTATCTAGAATTTCCAAAAAGGTCACCTTGGCTCTCTCATTGACTGGCTACTTTCCATGGAGAGATGTGCCTCTATACGTTCTTTCGCAAACATGTGGAGGAGCAGTTGCAGTGCTGGTTTTGTGGGGGAGGTCCATCGCTATCAGTGTAGCTCCTCCAGGATCAACAGTTTTCGGGCTTCACGAGTTTTCTGGATCCTTGTCGGCCAGTGAGCGATTTCTATTCCTCCGCATCGTCACGGTTCATCCTGCAGAGCTGACTGCGTATTTTCCAAGTTGCATGCTTCATTTTCGGAGTTGTCTGTTCTGGGCTTATCTTTTTGGCCGTGCTTTGTGCGGTCAATGATAAACGAGGGACACGCAACCCCACTTTAGTACCCATCGTGCTTTGTGTGCACATCATAGAACTCACGCTCTGGACAATTCTGAGCGAGTGGGTGACCTGGGTCAGTAGGACTGTAGCTTCCTTTGTGGGCCCACTTTCTGTCTGATCCCAACGCTTTCCGCAGGCCAATTTTCTCGTGCCCCATCTCTTCCCAGGGGCTAGGATATACACGACCCCGGCTGACAACGTTTCCTGGTATACAATACTGTGGAACATACTCCGTCCTCTTTGCGGCCCCATATTAGCGGGATTACTGTGCGACGTGCTGTACGTTGACGATGGTTCTATACTTTGATACCAATACACTAGCCATACTAGGGAGTGGGTCTGATCCATATTAATGTATCCTACTGTAGTCCCTTAATACGGAACTCTGACGTCGGAAACTGATCCCTGATCAAAGGGTGGCGTTCTCATATCCATGGGGGTGACACTGGTATCCGTGCTCCTCGGTCTAAGATACATCCTCTCAATAACTTATCCCCCCAACTTCCGTGGGGCACATACACATTTCCCTGACTGCCGAGTTTTCTGGCGACTTTGAGGCCCTATATAAGCTCCCACGACGAGGCACTGTTGTTGCGCCCCACTGAGATGTCGGATACCGTCGATTAGTTGGGTATCCGCATCTGCAGGCTTCGCCCTTAAATACATGCGTGAGTGGCAACAGTGATACGCGAAAGACAAAGGAAATGAGATGGGGCAAACTACAAAGGTAACTGGATGCTTTGTGGTCCAGTGCCAAGTTGCAGGAGCGCCCCGACGCCTCTCCCAAAGCTCAATTTGTCCGGTCCGAGCTCCTCCAATCCGGCGGTGACGTGCCGGGTGGATTACCGCCCCTGACCGCCTGTGGCGTTGGACTGCTAACTTCAACAGGCACGGCCTATATCTGCTGTCACGCCAAACGGTCCCATTGATTCCCTTTGTTCCTGATCCGCGGCAACACGGGTTGAGTTCTAGCTGCAGTAGTATGTAGTGCCCTTCTGGATCGATCAATGACGTATTTTCCTGTGTAAAATCAGATCTTATTGATATCCCAATCGGAGCCCGATTCAGTTATCTTCTCGGACTGTGGCAAGCGGTTAATTACATGGAACTAGACTTGTGCAGGTCCCGGCCTCATACATATCTGACTCTCCTTATCTCTATAACCCCTAGATTGACTTCTGTCTAATTATGCACATAAGGAACAGGGAGGTTGTTTTCGTGGACATCGTCAACTTCGGCGATAGTACGTCTACAACAGCATGCTCTGTATATTACAGACGAGGGTGCTTAGGAACTTTCTGCTTTCGTGGCCAGTAGAAGCCGATTTCGCCTGGCAAGGGGATACCACTTACGGGGTGGGGATTACTCTTTCGTTTGTTGCGTCGTGCACGTCTTTTTGTGGGACACCATTCTGACACCTTGAGCCTGAGCTTTCGCGGCTATATAGCGACTTCCCGCGGGTTCTCAGGTCGCCGATCTTACATATCAAGTCACTGCTTGTGACGAACTTCAATGGCCAGTCTGCTAGTCCGAAACATGCAGACATGGAACGTGTGAGGTGTTACATTGGATAGCGTGTTAGGAGTTTCAAGCGATAGATATGTCTTCCTCTTCGCTTGCGAGGGCATTCTCAACCAATCGTGAGGGAATCACATCATCCGCATGGCAGACATCTCGTGCGTCGCCGCTATGTTATCTGGTGTCGGAGTGGCAACCCGACGCCCGGGCCACAGGTGGCAGAAGGGCCGGCAGACCATCAGGCACCCCTATGGCCAACGTGGCGCGCCCGAGTCATACAGTCATGTTTTTCTGACTGACATTCTGTTCCCTGCGTTGGAACCCAACCTCTGCAGGCGCAGCTTTTGATATCGATGCCGACCAATTTCTAGTGAGCCACCTCCCCGGCAGTATTGCTCAGGCTGTTCATGGAGTGGGGATTTGATGCTGCTGTATGGGCGGCCGCGTGGTCCGCCAGTACTCGTCATACTACCATTATGGGAATGCTGCTCGATAATAAATCATTGATAATAGTCAATCCGCAACCGATTCAGAAGGTTTTGGATGTGTTATTTTGAACCATGTCCAGTTCCCGCTGCCGTTACTAGCCTCTCTGTCCCTCCCCGGTTCCGGATGTATGTACCTATTCTATTGACGATCTACTCCGGTTACTCTTGCCTTTGTTGCGTAATTGCTGCGTGTCTTTTTGTGGAACGCCTTTCTGACACCTTGGGCCTTCGATCACGGCTAGGAACTTTTCGCAAGTTCAGGTCCTCGATCTTATCACGACCCTGCTTGTGACGAAAGAGAGACTGGACGGTTTTTAATTCTATTGAGATCAGGCCTTGATATTCTCGAGAGATGTCACTGGCACATGCGATTCTCAAAAAACTCGGCCGGCAACCAGGTCGACCACCTAGTTGGCGAGAACTCTGGCTCACGAGGTTTCCTTGTTTGGGGCATTTGACGGGTACCGTGAAACCCCCTGCATTCGCCGTAGCAATCCGCAGTCACTATGGGGAGACACCTTGAGTCAAGTGCAAAAGATATTGATATCATGGTCTCTATGTCCCTGAGAGGTTGCTCACGTCTCAGGAGTGCGTGCCTGTATCGTTCGACAACTGCTTGCCGCTCCTCACAAAGGCGATGAGTACCCCAGTAAATCTGAATCTGAAGACTCTTCGCAGAAAGTCTCGACTCACGATCCCAAGGTCGGCTGGGATGTATCCTTGAGCGCATATAAGCAGTGCACGATAGAAAGGGCTCACCGATGTGGTTTCTTTGTTTCCCATACCAAGTTCCTGTCTGGTGCCTTCTTTTATTCCTCAGATGCCCCATCCTTCTTGTCGTGCTGGTGAATGGAATTGTTCACGTTGATATCTTTGGGGTTTAGTGGATGAGAAAGTTTTGTCTCATCCACGGAAGAACTGATTCACGGTGTGCGGAGTGACTCAGGAACGTATCATCAATCATAGCTCCCTCGGCGCGGACACCGACACGTTTAGTCAAGTAAAATAGAATATTATATTAAACTAAGATTTAATCGAGGTGTGAAGCATTCTATTCCATGCCCCCTTCATTCTAGCCAGTCGCCTGCTGCTTACAATCCTTCGTGCACTGTTGATTCGCTAATGCCAGCCAGCTCCAGCCTAGCACCTAGGCATCAGGCTCCAATAACATGTATTTGTCCCCCATCTGTGTCCGCTGCACGCCTCTTGATTGCTCGATGCTGTGTTGTGATGACTTCGGTCTTGCAGTTGGTGATCAAGAGGCCCTTCCATCGAGCGCTCCCCAATCAGCTCCCTTCACGTGTTTCTCTTTCTATCATGTCCATCCGCCTGATGTGTTTTCTCTATCAGATTGGCACTGTTATTCTGTACCCCAGTGCTAGTCGTGCTGAGTTCAGAAGTCTCGGGACATGGGGTCACGTCCTCGTGCCGCAACCGCCGCTACTATACTGCCATGATTTCGCCACCTTCCCGATGAGATCAAGGTGGTCGATTTTCTGGGAACGGCGGCAATGTAATGAGAACTCTGGGTATAGTTCAAACACAGGGTGCGTCAGCCTGATGAACTGTTGTCCCACCAGGTGCGAAACGTGCGGTTGATAATATATGAGGCACAGCCTAGGCTGGGAATTGATGGAGCGATTTCTCCCTAGAGAAGGAAACGTTCCTTTGGGTCGTTACATAGTTGGCTGCACCTTAACTTATCAAGAGGCACTGGTTCGTAGTCAATGAATGTCGAAGGGAATCTTCAAATCATTTTTCCGGTGCCTCTGCCCATTTTGAGCTGTCATTCAGCGGTCAAGTCAAGCCAAAAAAAATTGGCGCGCCCGATTTGGATGAATGTCCGGGCGAATCATGTGATTGTCCAAAAATGGTAGCAAATAAATGATGATCGACCTCCAGCTAAATAAGGTCAATCATATGACCTTTACATGGCATCGTTCATCAAATTCGGATTCCATTCGCCCCCTCTTAGAAGAACGCGCTGACAGGCATGATGGTTCGGAATGGAACCCGATATCATGCTTGCATTTTCATGTGCTGTCGGAAACCGCGACCCGGATGTCAACACCCATAAACAATTCAGAACCCCTGCGAGTGATGAAGATGGCATGTCAAGATTTTTATAACACCAATGTCAGCTTTCCTCCCATCTTCCCCCTGCCATTGGTACATTGTTCGTTACATCCTACCAACACAGGTGCCACGGAGCCACTTGGCAAGCGTGGTCAAGTCGAAGCTCCCTTCCGATCATTCAGACGTGCAACGTGCATCCCCACATTTCTATAGGAGATTCTACCTGCTATGGAACGCATCTTGGACGTGGTGTCTCTAACGAGAATCCCGGATTACGATTTGGTGTAGGTGACATGCTTTACGTTAACATTGAGCCCGAATAATTTGGATGCGTAATAGTCATCTCCGCTGGACTATACCTGCGTTTTCTGTGCTCTTGGCACTTTACTTCCCATTGAGGACTTCTATCGACTGCTTCAGAGTTGGTTCCCTTGTCTTTATTGCTATCGCGTACACCATCCCATGGGATTCGTATCTTATCCGAAGCGACGTACGTCCTCGACTTTTGATCTGACACTGCATTATCTTGTTAATAAAATCTACAACTTCACAAAAGATTTGGTCATACCCGCCAGACGCGACATTTAACGTGACGTTCTATTCCATTCCTGCTGAAGAACTCTTTTTTTTCGCCATCCAAACATGTTTCACTTCAGTTCTGTACCTCATCCTTTCGAAGCCCGTGTTACATCCTGCCCTGATACCCACCCATGAATACCCCTCATCCACGTCGCATATGGCGCTCCATCGCCTTGGCTCGTTGTGGTTTGCTGCTGGAACAGGTAGCGGTGCATGGTTATACTGGAGAGGAGGCCAAGGAACGTATATGGGTCTCATACTCGTTTGGGCGTGTCCCATCCTTCAGTTTATCTGGTGAATAATCCTCGCTTCTTTGTTTTTGGTTGAATGTATGAACCTATCGTTTCGAAGGAGCGTAGCAGGACTTCATATCATCGCCATGCCCGCCTTATCCTCGCTCGGACCTATTCTCCTCTCGACTGCGTATATGTGGATTCTTGATGCGACAGCTCTTCAACGGGGTACTTGGGTTATCGAATCTGGCACCAAATTTAATGTTCAGCTTTGGGGCCATCTCGACGTAGAGTGCGTCGTTTTTGCCTCCTTTCTCGCCACTCTGTTTTCTGAAACGTCCCACTCCCGTGATGTGTTTATTCAGAGAAGCAGTATTCTTTTTAATTACGAATTTCCTCGTTGTCTTTGGTCAAATCGCCATTGACAGAGCGTACGGGATCCTTACCATATACGCCATAGACTTCCCTTCCACCGCGTCACACACTTTCTTCTCGGCACCATTCTCACTCATCGCATCATTCTCAGTGACTTCGAGGTACTTGAATAACGAGGTGATCACTCACCGGCTCAACAACCTTCGGGACACCAGTTTGATCCTCAAAGGAAAAAGTAGAAGTTTCTGGACCGCAAGCAGCATATTCCAAGGTCCCTTAAGGATAGAATTGATCAATTTGTGAGCCTTTCAGTTGTTCCTAGTCATTCTGACTGATTAAGTTCCGGCGCCTAGGTATGCCTTTTGCCGAGTTATCGATGATTTGATCGATGACGATGCCCGCACGAGACAGGAAGGTCATGAGATTCTGAAGCATGTCCGAGCGTTCATTGATCGATGGTACACTTCGGGGATACCTGCCGGACAGGAAGGCTCGCATTTCGATGATTTGCTGAAGCCGCTCAACTTGTCGACTGCCCAGCGACGGGCCTTCTTTGCGCTGCCCCGCACAAGCTCTGGATCCTCGATAAAATACAAGCTGGTCGAGGACCCACTCCGTGAACCGCTATTGGAGCTCCTTGACGGCTTCGACTCGGACCTCATATTCAAAGAGTCAGAGAAGGCGGGTGCTCCACCAAATGAAATTCTGATTCATAACGACGAGGATTTGATTCGTACGTTCTTTCTCGCTTGTTTTACACGAATTTAATCATGGAGCATTCCGTGTCTCTTAGTTTATGCGTACCGGGTTGCTGGTACAGTCGCCAAGATGTGTTGCCACATGATTTTCCACTATGCGCCCACTTCTTACAATTCCCCTCGTCCTCGTGAGGAAATTCTAGACGCAGCTGTCAAAATGGGTATGGCCCTTCAATTCGTAAATATCGCCCGCGATATTAGGGTGGACGAACGGGCTGGGAGGGTGTACGTTCCGCGAGAATGGTGGATCGGCAACTTCTCCAAAGCTGAAAGCTCCGAGTCTGTTGACCATCACGGATCGAACGCGAAGCCCGTGACTACACAATCGCCATATCATTTCCCACCTGATGAAGCTCGGATTCATCGACTCCACTTGCTTCAGATGGCGAAAGACTTCTTCCTTACCTCACGACCAGCGATAGATCAGATGCCGACCATTTTCTCGGCACGCAAGGGCTTGAGGGTCGCGGTCGAGAGTTACATGGAAATTGGAAGGCAGCTAGAGAAGAAGATTGGTGATACACAATACACTTTAGACGCGGATGACATTTTTGCAATGACTCCTCTTCAGACCCGTTTGACAAGGCCTAGTGTACCGAAGTGGAGAAGGGTCTGGGTTGCCTGGTCTACCCTCGTTACAGGTTAATGTGCTAGAAAGGAACTCAATGACTATAGATGATCTTTATTTTTCTCTTGGATGATGCTGTAGACTTGCTCTGACTATACTGGTTTATGTCACTGGATTTGTTGCAGGATGGAAACACAGGTGTGCTTAGGTTGGGACTGAACACTATCCAACTTCAAGATAAGCTTGATGACGACGTGTACAAGTGCTGCCATCTGCAAACCCGCGGTGCCATTGAGGCAATGGATCCGGGGTTACCTGCAGAGCAAGGTTACTCTCAATCGCTCGCCGATTTCTCCGCAGGGAAGTAAATCGTTGCAAACTTGACTGAGTCACTCCCAATTCGTGCTATTCGTGCTCTCGACATCGATTTCGTTGCAACGGCACACACACACTGCACACTCTTGAACCTTTCAATGTGCAAAGTTACATTGAAACGCTCGGTTGGTCGCTCACTTTCTCATTGGCTTGCCGCGCGCCCAGCGACATTCCGATCACGTTCACTTGCCTCACATTCCTGGTGTAAACCCACATCATGCTCGAGCCTCACTCTCGCTGCGAGCGTCCACCTCATTCGCTGGCCTTAGGGTGGACTTTGACGACTTGACATCGTACTGACATCACGTCGGACGCAAATCTTGCCCGCTCCGATTGCGCCTCAACATCCATGGCGTCCACCTCTGTCGCGCTTAACCCTCGCTCTCACCGGTTGGGACCACTACCAGTCCACGTGGCGGCCCCCCTGGTCTTCATCCATCCTTCACTTCCATTTCGACCCCGGACTTTGGCCTCTGGACGTTGTTCTGATGTATGGCATTCCAGCGGTGGAACGTAGTTCCCTAATAATTATAATGAAATTGAACTGGACACATCGGTTGTTGTTGTTGTTGATATCATATTTGTTACCCCGCGGTCGCGTTGGCACGTGACAGAGCGGCATATCCCACTACATTACATCTGTACATGAGGGGACTTTCACAACGTGGAGTGTCGTCGGGTTAGTAGGGTCGGGGTGATGTTGGAGTAACAACGACCCGTGACTTACCAACCAACACCACATGATCTCTCTTACATCCGTATTCGCCTCGTGACACAATGTATATAATTGTATATACTCTACTTTCTTTTTCCCCTCAGTTCTTCATTTATGGAGACTGAGGTTAGTATCATTGCTTTTAGTTAGTTGTTACATTACTTACTCTGTACACTTTTGTTCTATAGCTCCCACTTTAGGTTAGTACTAAACATAGTAATTCAGTTCTTCATTTACAGAGACTGAGCTCCCGCTTTAGCCCTCCTATTAGGTGACTGTAAGGGATTAACCTTACTTCACTATAATTCCGATTATAGTGATATTTATATTATGTTGCATCGCTATAATTCCCATTATAGTGATGCTGTTCTTTCTTTATTTATTTGTGCCGAGATATGTAAATTACATATATATACCTCGGAGTAGTTGTAAAGGCCTGGTAGCCTTTTACCTCTACCCCGTTGAATATACAGCTCATTAAAGCTTATGTTTAGACGGACCTACTGAGGCCTGAGGCGAACGGGGGAACGGAACGTTACTGTCCCCAAAATAGTAAGCAACCTTTCAGTGACGGTGTCCTCTGGGGTCTGGTTTCGGGTTGATTTGGTTCATCTGTGGATGGGGTTACTCCCCGGGTTCAGTGCTGTCACGATGGGTGGTTTTCTTGAAAGTTTCGGTCGATGGGAACTGAGGTACGATCAGGGGTAAGTCTGGGTCTCTTATCGATGGCATGCGACTTCTTTAGGTATTTTGCCAGTCTGAGGATTCCTTTCGGTCTCCCCATCAGCACCATGGGTCTGGTCTGCCGTCCGCTACCCAGCAGGGGTCGAAACTTCCTGAGTTGCGGGCAGTTTTGTAGGACGTGGGTTCGTGTCTGGACCGTTGCGCCACACTGGCATTCTTGGCTCTCTGTATGAATGCCGAAGCGCTGGTAGTATTCCCCAATGTGTGCGTGTCCGGTGCAAAACTGGATTAGTCTGCTGAATGTTTTCTGGTCTAGTGACTTAAACCTCAGGGTGGGTCTGAGTGTCAGGGCGATATGGTTCGCCAGGTGGAATCCGGAGCTGGGGGGGTTGGGTGTGGTTGACCATCGTGTCTTCCAAGCTTCTTCCATCTCCACTCTGTGTAGGCTCTCTATGTATGCAAGTGAGTGGTAACCTGGCCTGTCTGTTCTAAGGTGGGCACCTTCCTTTGCTAGCTCGTCGGCCCAGTCATTTCCTGCAATACTGCAGTGGCCCAGACACCAGCTGATTGCAATTTTTAGGTCCTCCTTTTCCTCAAGCAGCCCTCCTATCGTGTTCCTGAAGACCCATGAGTGTTCTTGTGCCTTCCCAGGTTTCCCCTGGAAGATGCGTTTCACTGCACTGGCATTGTCTGAGTATAGGACGATGTTCGAAGGGCTGTTCGGGTTGTTCTCTAGGTAGCATTTGGTTAGTTCGGCTGCTGTGTGTAGGCCCATCATTTCGGTGTCGAAGGTGTCGACATTGCCTCCCATCGCACCGTTCCCTTCAAAGACGATATCGCCCGCCAAGTACCCTACTACGCCGTAGCCTGTGATTCTCTGGCCAGCCTTGTCTGTCTTGGACCCATCGGAGTAGACAAAGAGGAAGTCCAAGTCATCTTTGTGTTCCATGATGAACTCCAAGTGATTGTCCTTCCAGGATTCTTTGGGGGATGACCCTGGGCTGTTCTCCAGGATGTAGACCCGGATCCTTTCTTCTAGATCGTGCTCAGAGAAATGCCATGGTGCCTCTAGGTGGGGCTTGACCTTCTCTGTGCCTGCTATGATGTGGTCCGCTACATGGGTGATGCAGGTGGAGAATTTCTCTCTTGGGTCTATTCGATACCTTCTGTGGAGGTCGTATATTGGGTGGGGGGGGGGGAGGTGGTTGGTGGTGTGCCTTGTCTTTGCCAGGAGTATAGGCGATTGGTGACAGGGTGATCAGTGGGGAGGCGGGATAACCGGGTGGCCTCCATCTTCAGCCTGTATTCGAGGAGGATGTCAATGGGTGGTATGGATGCCTCGATCTCCATGGCGATGATGTTGGTTGTGTGGAACACGCCTGTGATCAAGCATAGGCACTTATTCTGGAGACTAGAAAGGTGCTTAACTATTGACTTGGTTTTTCTCCTCCAGTATATTGGCAATCTGTACAGCGCTATTGGGAGGATGGCTCCTACATATAGGCAGTGGAAGTGGGATTGGTGGAGGCCTCTCATTGAGTTGCCTAACATGCGAAGCGATTGTGCTGCTGCAGTGGCTTTTGAGGAGGCTCTCTTAACATGTTCGTTGAATCTGAGGTGGGGGTCAAACCATAACCTGAGATACTTCATTAGGTTTGATGGTGTGATTGTCTTGACCGAGTCCTCCTCGTGGGATGGGATGGTTATGGATGGGCCTGGCCCTGCATTCTTGCCCATGCCTGTGCGGGTAAAATGCATTAGGTCATTTTTGACTGGGTCGGTTCTTAGGCCCCTTTCCCTGAGCCACTTGTGGGCTGCATGAAAGGCAAGTCTGATAACCTCTGTTGCTTCCTCCCTGGTTTGAGCTGCGGCCAACAGGGACCCATCATCTACGTATAGTGTGAGGGGGAAGAGGGTGGTTAGACCATTGTTGAATTTGGTATTTAGCTCCACATCTGCCAAGGCTGTTTGTCTGATGCTTTCTCTAATAGCTTTGTCCATGGGAGATGTGAAGTATGCCGCTAGGATGGGGGAGACACATGAGCCTTGTGGGACACCTGTGGATGTGGGTCTCAGTTGGTCCCTTTTCCCATCTAGGCTAATGGCTGTTTTTCTGTCTTTTAAGAAGCTATGGACCCATTTTACCATTGGTAGTGGTATGTGGTATGCTCTGAGTGTGTCGATCAGATGGGCATGTGGAATGTTGTCGAAGAAACCTGTGATGTCAAAGGTGAGAGTCAAGACTGTTGGAGAATATAATATGTTCCCAATAGTATAGAGTTTAACAGCCTATACTGGCATGGCTCAGGGGCGAGTAGTGTATGGATGCACGCTGAAGGAGCGGAGCTGGATCACCTTATGTAACCAGTTTCCTATGTCCAATAACGATATTAGAGTTTGTGCTGATTTGTGTACTGACCGTGTTTTGGTTGCCAAATATATGATTGTTCACTGTCTAAACAACAATAAACACCCCCCAACGATCTCACCTGACGTATAGATTGTCTACAGATAAAATTTTATATTGACTTTACTATGATTTCTAGTCAATATTACACCTAGATATACCACTTTTCAGTAGGACGTGATTTTCCTGATAATTTACTGAAGGAAAACTACTAATAAAATAATTCTGCAATAAATGTTACTCAATACAGGAGTGACCAAACTGCTCTTTCTATCGCTTAGAGTGCATGCTAGTTATCTAGCAGGTTCAGGATCGCTCACTTTTCTCCTGTGGTGTGATAACCAAATATTGCTGAGAGATTATTCAATTAAGAAGTCCCTCCACCAAATTCTCACTAATTCTCACTATGACACTTTTGTTCAGCTGTGTCTAACTGACCCTAACTCACGCTTAGAGTGACATGTTAGTTTTATATTAGCTAACAACTAATATTTGCTTTTATCTTTTGGAGCAAACGAACCAACCACTGGTGAGGAGAATTAAACTTTTATTTCTACCTGAGGTTTGAGAGGGGGCAGAAGCAGCGGCCTTTTATGCTTTTCAGAGGCCTCTCTACTCCCACACCTCGCACTAGTTACATGTGCTACATTTGTATTATAGATAGTTCTAGAATGATATAGGGGCTTGGGCTGTGTAAGCTTAATAATGGACTTAGGACATGACTCAGCAATAAGTAATTCATTTCTTTGTCTTTTGGGCCGATCTTAGCAGGATCTTGTAGTGCTGAAGCTATGCTCTACACCGCCTTAATTACGAACGGTTATCTTTAGAAATGACTTGGCTATAAAGGAACTTTCTAGACTGTTCTCTAATTGACCCCTTTTTGTGAAGTGTCAGGGTTCAGCACCCTGCCCTAGGGTGCCCCAGACTCCCCAACCAATCCCTTCCTTCCATTCCTTCATTGTTGCCTTGTTGTTGCCTTTCTGTGTTGTGTATCCACGCGCACGGGATAGCGTGGGAACATTCTGAGCGAGCAGCTCGCCCAGAATGTTCCCACGCTTACTGGGCACTGCCACCTGGATGTTCCCTCCGGGTCACACTACACAACTCTAGGAGCTGTATAGTTGTGGGCATGTGACCCATTCCTTTATATAGCAACCATGTGGGGAGATGAGACCTTTACCCTTCTTCTCATCTCATGCCCTGCATAGGCAAGTGTATATATTATCTTTCCTTTTACTATACATCTCATGCCCTGCATAGTGTAAGGACAGGTTAGATGGGGGCTGAGGTCAGGGAGCCTCCGAGTCCGAGGCCGGGCCCTGACAAAACCCCTATGTCCAACCCCCTTCCCTATTCCTGCGCCAGAACGGACGAAAATGGGCGCTTCCGGCCCCGTTTTTGTAACACTTTGCCTGAGACTTCCAGTAGTTGGATTAGTCGGTATGAACGCGGGAGTGAGTAGTCCCTGTTGGGTTTCTGTAAGGCTACTGCTATGGATGTCTTCCATAGTTTTGGGTGATAACCTGAGTCTGTGCAGAGTCTGAGGAGGTGGAATATCTCTTCGTCCAAGGTTTTCCATGCCCAGTGCCATGCATGGCCAGTGAGGCCAGATATGCCTGGGGCATTTAGCTGAGCAGCGGTGAAGATTGAGTCCCACACCTCTCTTTTGGTTACATGCAGGTACTCCAGGTCTTCATTCCTTGGGTCCAGATCTATTGGAGGTGCATCTCTTAGGTCCGGTGGGGGTGGTAGGAGACTTTCCCGTAGTGTCTGGCATTTCTCCTCATGGCTTAAGGCTGGGGCCCTGTTCTCCCCACAGGATATTGGTGGGGATACATATGTTCTGTGGCACTTCATCCATTTCTTCAGTTGCCATATGTTCTGGGGGGTAGCGTCTTCCATGATTTTGCGGAAGTACTCCTGTTTGGTCCTCCTTATGCGGGAAAGTACCTCATTCTGGAGTGACTTGACTCGGTCCACCAGGTATGTTGCTGGGTAGTGGAAGTCCCGGCTCCATGCTCTGAGTGCTTCTTTTGCCTTGCAGAGCTCGTGGTATGCAGTCGTGAGCTCCTCTGTCCACCACAGTTTTGCTGCTTTGCTGGGGCATCTGACTGGGACTGCAATGCCACCTGCTTTCTCTAAGTAGCCATGGATGGTTGCCGTGGCTTCATCCAGTTCCTCATTGGATGTGGAGGTGCAGTTTCCATTAAGTAGTGTGGAGACTAGGACATTATGTGCATCTCTGTTGGATTCAACAGTTGCTGCTAGAGCTTCAGAGAACTTCTCCTCTGATGCATGCTTCCAGTTGAGACTCCCACTGGACACATCGGTCATCAACACAAACAGTCATGGATGCAAACTGCACAATGGAAGCTTGAGAACAAGCACATTCAAAATAGATCAATAAACTGCCCACTGCGACCATTTTACACCTTCACACTCCAACAAATCTCGTCATACTAGATTGCTCGCCTTGCTTTGCAACAAAACCTGCACTGCATGCATGCACATTGAATTTCAAGAACTGGCTTTGCATGTACAGTGCAGAGCAAACATATGGTGATGCTTTGTTGTGTAGTACATAGACGCCACCGGGCCTGAGTGAGGTGGGTGAAGATAATGTGAAACAGTGGGGGAAGGCATTGTCAATCAAGTCGCTTGCATGAGAACCTAAACTAGGCATAGTTAAGCTGAGCACTGCTCAGTTAGTACTATGTGGGTTCCTATTTAGGAATCCTGAGTGCTGCAATTTTCCTTTCTGCCACTTCCCTCTTTTCTTCCCAAACTACCAGCGTCAATGTCGTCAATGATGTTGGAAAACAGCACGCTAGCGCGGCCGTGCGAGTTTTCGTACAGCCACATTCCCACAGCTGAGCGAGGAACTCGCCCGGCCAGCCACATCTATTTATTCATTCTTTTGTATTCATTTCGGACTATCCTGCTCCCAAACTACATGGGAATTACCGCTCTTTGAATCACTTTTTCCCTCAGTTCTCTTTCGCATTATTTGCTTGAGACTGAGTTGCCCCGCTTTGCTAGCAATCTCATATTACTTTAAATGACAGATAAACAGAGCGTTCTCAAATTCATGACTTGTCAACTACAGTTGAAACCGTGGTAAGCCATACCTGAGATAACGCATAACCTGCCATTACCCATAGAAATTTCTGGGAACCGGTATGGTTCTTATTGTCTAACCCATAAACCTGCCATCCCCCATAACACATAACATGCTGGGAGATTTTTATATTGGAATTTCGCGAAATTTGATCCATAACCCATAACTGAAAGAGTGGCCATGGCTCTGTCAATTCAGAGAAATTGACAGCAGCAAAGTAGGAAGGAATGTTTGGATGCTCTTGAGTCAGCTGGGGCCCACAAGAGAAATAAAATGAGTATAACTGAACTGGTAAACAATTCACTGGAGATTAATGACGACTCTGACAATCACATCTTTGATGCCGTGTCTGAGGCATGGGAACATGGGGACGACCAGGATTTGGCAGGGGCCTACGATGCTGATCATTCCGGTGATGATACACTAGTTGTCTCATGTCAGAAGGCTCTTCAGGCAGTGCTTTTGCTAATGACTTACACCAAACAAATACATCGTGGAAAATGGAAGCCATTTTGGGTCAGTTCGGATGTGAGACCCATCACTCTGCAGCAGTACATACTTCAAAAAAGTTGTGTAGATGGGCTTTATGTAGATACATAATCTTAATGTTTAGACCTTGCACATAACCTGTCATTACCCATACTGAAGTCTGGGAACGCAAGGGTATGGGTTATCACGGTTTCAACTGTACTTAATTTTTGTCATCCCCTTTAGAACTGTTCTGTACCTTAATTATTCGTCATCTTTTCATTTCACATCATGTGTCCACCCTCATAATTCATTCATGAGTCTCGGTTCCACTGCAAGACTCCATGCTGCACTTCCGACTCTTGTGTTACTAGCTAATGAAACCAAAGCTGCAGATGCGCCAGCCCTTGGACCAGGTTGCTATTTGGGACGACGAATGATTGACCAGTGACTGCTTGCCTGTCAAGTCCCTGAAGTACTATTCCTTGCCGTCGTCGAGATGGTTCATGCCAATGTTTTCTTGCAGGTACACAGCTCGAGAATGGAATTCAACATATTCACTCGCAGATTTTTGCCAACACATCCAGAGCTGCTTCACGATCGTATCTTATCAGTTCAGCGATATGAATCTTGCACCGGCACTGGCAACTCTTCAATCATTCACAAATTACCCCCCGAAAGCATTGAGCAACAAAGTCACGGACTCGGAGTCTACTCACTTCATAGAAAGTACCTTGCGCAGCTCCAAGATGAGGTAAACTTTGGGGGTAATCCGGCTTGCCAAGAACAACGCAGCGCCAGTAATATTCATGTGGCGCGGGGCACCAGTCTTGTCACCTGGAACGTTGTTTCAGCAGCAGTGGCAGACGCGATATAGCACGCTGGAGCCGTTGTCCAAGGAATAAAACCGATGGGCAAACTGACGAGATGTATAAAGTCTAATTGAAATCATGGGTGTACGACTTGCACCCAGTCAATACTCAGGCAGAGTTCTAGAAGCTGGTCACCCGCCTAACAGAGTTCAGGAAGACGAAATGGAATAAAGGAGCACCGAGGTTGAGGGGACGTCCTTCCTGGAAAATGATATGGTGACACTGCCAGTAGGGTTGAGGTTGCCCGGCACCGTCAGAAGGGCCAGATGATGAAAGAGCATGAAGAGGAGGGGGGGCACGGCACATATTGGACGAACTCTCGCAGATTGAGAATTACACAGATACATTTACTCTACCTAAGATCCGGAGCTGCTGTCCCGTCCAACGGCATCAGTCTCCCGATGAATATCGTTACTCATTAGTAATCAGGGCGGCAGCTGATAAGCCGTATATTAAGGAATGAGAGGATTACAGCGTAAAAAAGAAAGTGGACGTTGAATGTCCTAAGGCTTATCGTCTACGCATGGCTGCTGCGGCTGTCTAACTGGACACGCATATGCGTGATAGCATATCTGTGTTCCTTTCAATGACGCGCGGGCATGAAAACGAGGGGTCGCCGGGAGAAGTATTCATCGCCAAGAAAGGGTGGTTGAGTGTGAGTAGTACTTGAAGCCTCAAGGTATTTACTACTAGCAGGGGCGGGGTCGTCCAGCGTCGTCAGAAGGGCCAGATAATAAAAGAACGTGAGGGCGGCACATGTCGGACGGACATGTCGATCGGATGCTTGCAGGTTAAGCATTACATTTGAGATATGGGGCTATTGTCCCATCCAACAGCGTCAGTCTCCGATAAAAGTTCGATGATATCATCATTACTTGTTGGTAATCAGGGCAGCTGATGGGGCTTGTATCAACGCAGGGCGAATGGGTAGGCAGGTGACCAGCCTCTCTTCAGCAGGAAGAGAGTGAATGGGAAGATTGCCTCGTAAAAGTGGAAATTAATAAAGTGGACATTGAATGTCCTAGGGCTTATCACTGCCCACGGCTGCATCATGTGTCCAACTAGACACGCATAGAAGCATGCGTGATAGCATTAATATTTGTCTTCCTTTCAATGGCGCGGGGGTGCTGGGAAACGAGGGCCTGGGGTACTAAGGGTATTTATATAGCGCTACGAGAAGTTATGTAACGCTGCAAATAAAAGGTAAGTTCCCACGGGTTACCTTGAGATGATTTTAATTCAATCATAACATCCGTGCAATCGAGGGGATACCCAGCAGTAGACTGTGATGGTGTAAGAACAAGGAATTCACAGTCCGGAATGAACTGAAAGAGAAAGGGGACCAATCTCCGTGCGCCATATATTGTAAGTAAATGGGATCTTCCTTACTGAAGGTCATGCCTTCGTGCCAACCCACTGCAAGGTAGAGATACTCACAACACAGCTGGTTTAGAAGAATAATGAGCAGAAAACCTAGGGTATGGTGTACGCTGATTGTCACTACGCAAGCAGGACATCGACGGCCGAAACAAGCAGCCAAAGAAAGTCTACATGGTATTGAAGACGACATGTCTAGGTGTGGGGCAGTAAGTAATAAAAGTGCGAAGCAACTCAATTAATAGCCATTACTGGTGATCTCTCATGGCGCAGGGCCTCTATTGACCCAATCAGCGTATAAATAGCTCATGGATTCATCCCAGAGACCCCAGGCTCGAACTACACCTACACTGCTACTCACACTCCAACACCAAGACAGCAAAGCTCAATGGGTTATACTGTTGCCAAGACCAACCAGGGCTACAAGGCTGCATACGAGGAACGCCTCAAAAAGTACGGCTGGTCAGCTGGCGCCTCTGCTCTGTTCTACTTTAGCAATGCCGATGGCAACGAAGAGCAAGGCGTGCGCATCGAAGCCCCTGAGATCTTGAAGGAGTTCGTTGACAACGTTGCCTACGGAAGAGGTAGTAGTGGCATGTTGGTCTGCTTGATACTGAAATTAATGACGTGCTTGGGTTTTAGATCCCGTCGGTACATTGTTCTACAACGACATTAACGATATCAGAGGGAAGACGAAGTACAATGTGATCTACAGCGATGCCTCTGTGAAGAACGAGGATGCGGCTGTCATCGTTCAATTCTTTGGCAACAATAAGAGTCAGGGCAATTTTTATGCTGAGGTGCTTTTCCCCCGTTGGACCCTCTTCTTTCTTGTGATATTGATGACTCCTTTTGCCTTCAGTTTGTCGGCAGAGATCCGGTAGGTGACTGTCTGCATGTGTTTTAGACGCGTGCCTGAGTAAAAAAAAATACCCAGGCGCGCACTGTCTGGTGGATCGTGGACGGTACGGCGCACAGGGGAGGGGAGTGGCATCCCCTCAAACTCACAACAAGCACTGCGTTTGTCGAAAAGAGAGGCAATGAAAACGAAGTCAATATCACCCTCGCTACCCTTGGTAAACAAGTTTCGTTCGACCTCCCTGCTGGGTACGCCTCCGGAAAAAACATTTGTGAGCATTTGCCTTTCGTAGCATAGAACGAAACTTTATAGTGTGTCCCCACAGCCGTCTGGGGAAATCTGTCTACCAACGACATCAAAAAGATCAAGAAGGGCACTAAATCAGTCGTCAATTATAACGACGATCGAATTCTATTCTACCCTCAGAATGGGAGTAAAGACCTGACGGCCGTTGTACGTGTTTCCTTCCAAGCTCGCCCAGTAGTCGTGAAGTCTGATGACATTGCTCTCGGCCCACCCTCATCCTTTTCACTAGTTCTTCCGTGAGTCTTAGCTCGAGTCCACTCCAAGACTTGATGCGGTTACTCACTTGCTTCTCTAGCCCTTGAAACCAAAGATTCAGACGCGACGGCTCTTGGAAACTTTCGATGGGTGTCGACGGACCAGGTTGCTGTTTGGGACGACTACGATGGGGATGATAATTAACCTGTGTCTGTTTGTCTGTCAAGGAATTCCCGCCTTGATGAAGCATATTGTTGTAAAGTAGTTCATGTCAGAGTTTTCTTGCTTGTCACAATTTGAGAATGAGATTCAGCATAATTCACCCATAGCAGATTTCGCCACACATCCAGAACCGTTTCACAAACCTGCCTTGTTAATTCAGCGATGTGAATCGATGGACTGTATGATCTTTTCTCCCTTGTGAGCCACTGTTCTGCAGATGGGTCTTCCACTGTTGGAAATTTGACACATTTATTCACTGTTATCTGGTGCATAACTGTGACGAGTCTGAAGTGCCTTACTACGACACAGAGTACTTCAGGGATGTGTTAAAAACCGCTAACTCAACCGAAGATTTCACTTGGGATTCCGGATATGAATCCGACGACACCGCAGTTGGTGCTGATGTGCCTCAGGCTGAGTGCACCAGACTCATTATCTCACCCGAAGTCGTTCTTGCCTTTGTGCCACACGAAAAACGAGTTCATGATTTGATTCATGACTATGCTATCATACATCATGGTTACATCGTGACAAATGGTTCTACTGTCAATTGTGCCGCCAGCAATGATCCCAGTAAGAAAGCGCTGGAGCATGCTTGTTCCTCTGATGCGATTGACGATGGATATGAACGCCCACCTGAGAAAGACCCAGACGAGGTCTCAGGCACGAATCAGAGTGCAGGGGCCCGAGCATGCGAGTCCGAATTGACTCAAGTCGCCCATTCCATGTCAGTCGCCGAGTTCCAGGTTGACCCATGCCCGCTAGAAATGCTGCAGCGCTCTCCCACCATTCAAGGAGACACTGGAGTCGTCAGACAGCCCACCCCACACCTAGCATCTGAGTCGAGCAAGCAACGCGTTGAGTCTCCCAGCCTTGAGTCCTGCAAAGTCCTCAGTGACATCAAATACATTCCGAGTTCCAACTTGAGCAAGCAAGACGTCGAGCCTAAAGAGCTTAGGCCTCACGGCCTTGATCCAAGCGTGATTACAGACCATGTTGAATACATGATGGCTTTGAAGGTCGGAGACGCGAGTGCTGACCACGCATTGGAGTTTTTCTGCCAGTCAGAGGATCCTCATCCAAGAGGACCGAACATGTATATTGTGATTCCGCGGGCACGAGAGCACGAGGTTAAAGAGCTGAGGCCTCCTGACCTCAGCGACAAGCTCATTAGCGAAGTTCCAGATGAGGAAGCCGTTGAGGCCATGCGAGTATCAGCCTTGGATCGTGAGATCGCCGTGAATGATGGGAATCCTAAGTGCCCAACTCAAGACTGCAAGCCTGGGGTAGAGCGAGGTGTCGATTGCATGTTGGGTGTGGAGTTTGGTGCCGAAGCGAGGGAAGTCAGCAACAGCCCACATGAGCCAGTGATGCAAGTGGAAATGAGGCGCACCATTGTGCCTAATCCTATCACTCGACCTGTGGTTCTCCTGGATCAGTGGCCACGATGGTACAGAGACGCGTGAAAGGTCCCAGTTGCACAGTAATGTTGTTGAGTGATACTGGGTGTGAACCTGACGCAAAGAGCGAGGCTGCTCAAGTCCCTGAGCCTCCAGGAAGCGATGACAACGATGTCGAGTTCAACTCAAGTGTATCAGAATTGCGCTGTGTCGATCGCAAGTCAGTCAAACTACCAGAGTTTCATCCAGAATTAGGTTGCCGCCACACCGCTTCTGCTATGTCGAATAGCATTGCCCAGCCGAAGGGTCATTCCACAGACCAAGCATCCTCCTTGACCAGCTCCGAGCACGAACGCCAAGAGTTTGTGGACAATACATGAAGTCACCTGATGTGGCAAAGACTTTTAGATGTTACCAGAGCGGATACCCAGCATATTATTTATTTATTCCTTGTCGATTCTTGGACCAGAGGCAATCTGTTAGGATGATTGGAGGATATCGTGAACGATTAAGAGCTAGGCCTGTATGTCACGGGGATTTGCCGGTGTACCACAAATGAGCCAAATCCCGCGATTCTACTACCCTCAGCAAGCACCTCACATCCATCACATGTAGCCTATACCCCCTCACACTCCTTACACACTTTCCTATTTTTCCTTATTTTTCTGATTCCATTTCCGGTGTCTAGAGCCCGATGTTTCCACTTCTTTATCGTCATGTGATGCTCTTTCCTTATTTGTTTTATCGGACTCTTCCGTGACCCGCTGTACAGTTTGGTAGAGAGTATCAGCACCACACTCTAGAGGACCAATATACCCCACTTCAGACCTGACTTGTAGTGAGATCCTTATCCCCCCTCTTTCCTGTCGCGAGTCTAGTTGGATAGACCCATTACAATGTCTATATTATGTTGCATCACTATAATTCCCATTATAGTGATGTGGTTATTTCTTTATTTATTTGTGCTGAGATATGTAATTTACATATATATACCTTGGAGTAGTTGTATTTTACCTCTACCCCATTGAATATACAGCACATTAAAGTTTATATTTAGACGGACTACCTGAGGCCTGAGGCGAATGGGGGAACGGAACATACTGTCCCCAAAATAGTAAGCAAACCTTTCAACTACGCTCACGTCAATCCACAGAACTTCCGACCAGTCTTCACTTTGGAGCAGCTCACTGCGTCCTTACAAGCCACTTTCCTAGCTGCCACAGTAATCCGAGCAGCTGTACTCATCGACACAGAGGCTCTCCATCGAGACATTCTAGCCTCCCTCTCCTCCGATACCACAATCTCTTCTCATCTTGCTTCCCCCAACCTCCCCAATTCCCACTGGTCCATTGATGCTGAAGGCCTGTTAAGGCTGGACAACTGCATTTATGTTCCGGATTCTAACGATCTTCGTCTCCATGTTTTGTGAGACAAACACGACCACCAGCTTTCTGGACACTTCGGTCAAAACTGGACTCTGGATCTAGTCCGTTGTGAGTATACCTGGCCAGGCATCCGTAACTTCATCAAGAGCTACGTCTCCTCCTGTACATCTTGTGCCTGTGCCAAAGTCCCCCATTATAAGCTTTACGGCTTATTCGGGCAACTCCCCATCCCTGAACATCCTTGGAACTCCATCTCCATGGATTTCATCGAACAGCTACCCTCCTCTTCTGGATTCACTTCCATCTTGGTTGTCGTGGACCACCTGTCCAAACAGTGCATTTTCATTCCTACTGTCATATCCTGGAATCCCGACCCCATGCACTCCCACCCCACCACACCTTCCTAACAACTTCACCATCCCCTACACCATGCCTCCCCACTCCCCAAGTCACCTCCCTTCCTAACTGTCTGTCAGGGACAGCTCCGAAAGCGGCGAGGTCCCTGCACGTGGGACTCGGTGGGACGAGTAGCGGCTGTGCGTAGCGGCGATCCCGTCACAGGGTGAGCGTCCCCAACCACTTTAAGCTGAAGTGGGAAGTTGAGAAGAAGGCTGCTTCTTCTGTTCCCACCCCAGGCACTATTATATACATGCGGCCAGGGTCACATGGAGGGAGCCACGTCATCTCTGCACACAGCTGCACCTCCCTGGGTGTCTCCATGGGAGATCCCGGGGGTGGCCGCTCAGTAGGCGGGAGTGTGCATGGCATGTGCGGTGATCAGGGGGGTGGGGTCAGGTATGTAGTAGTACATGGAGAAAGGGAAATCGACCGTAGAATAGAAATAGAAATAGAGATAGAGAGAAGGGGGAAAATGGGGGAGGGGAGACGGGGAGTGATAACGGGGTAGTGCGGTACGGTGCGGGGTGCAGCACGGGGTGCGGCGTGGGGTTAAGCGGATGTGCCCTGACATCACCCCCCCCTTAAGCCGCTTTGCCTCGAAGTGGCTGGGCGGTTCTCCTTCTCTCTCCCCAGGGTGTGGGGGTGCACTCGGTGGAACTCCTCAACTAGGTTGGAGGCGTGGGTCAGGTGGTCGTGCGTGAGCCACTGGTTTTCTGAGTGTGGCCAGCCTGTATACTTTACCAGGTACCGGAGTTTTCGGCGTAGCCACTTAGAGTCCAGGATTTTCTCAACCTCGTACTCCTCTTCTCCATCTACGAGGTCTGGGCTGGGGCGGGGTTCGGTGGGGCGTTCCGTGATTTCATTGGGGCGGTGTGGTCTGATGTTTGTCACGGATACAACTGGGTGGATCCCTCTTTGTCGGGCGGTGAGCCGGAGTTTGACGGCGGTGGGGGAGACGACTTTAACGATCGTGAAGGGGCCAGTCCATTTGTGGTCTAGCTTCTTGGTTGGGTGGTCAGTTGTGTAGTTCTGGGTGCTGAGCCAGACCCGGTCGCCTTCTTGGTACGTAGGGGCCGCCTCGTGGTTCCAGTCATAGTAGTGGGCCATCTCATCCGCCGCATGCTCTAGCGCCGCTTTCGCCTCTTCTTGCATCTTCATCATCCTCAATGAGAAGGCATCAGCGGCTTCTACCTCAGATGTGCATGTGGGTTCCGTCCCCATCCTGGGGTGTTGGCCAGTGTCAAGCTCAAAAGGGGTGCGGTGAGTGGAGGAGTGGACGCGGTTGTTATAGGCGAACTCCGCTAGCAGGAGCCAGTCCACCCAGTCATCTTGGTGGTGGTTGACAAATACCTGGAGGTAGGCTTCTACCTCTTGGTTTACTCTCTCTGTCTGCCCATCTGTCTGGGGGTGGTAGGGCATCGAGGGGGTGAGCTTGACGCCGAGGAGGTCCACGAGTTCCTTCGAGAATCGCGAGACGAAGGCGCTCCCTCTGTCACTGAGGATTTCCTCAGGGAGGCCATGGTGCTTCCAGACATGTTCGAGGAAAAGCTGCACGATCCCCGCCGAGTCCACCGTTGTCACTGTGGGGATTGCGTGGATGCGTTTGGATAGGTGATCCACCACAACCAAGACTGCGTTGTAGCCCTTCGACTCGGGGAGCTCTCCGATCATGTCCACCGAAATCACCTGCCAGCGGCGGGCAGGGATCTTGTTCGGGATGAGCTTCCCCACTTTGTGGGAGGGGAAGGATTTGACACGGTTGCAGGTGTCGCACCTGCGGACGTACTGCCCGACATACTCTGCCATCCATGGCCACCAGTAGTCGCGGGAGACGAGTTCCAGGGTTTTACACCATCCTGGGTGTCCTGTCGCCTGCGCATCATGGTGTAGCCACACTAGGTCATGGTGGAGCTGTGGGTCTTTCAGGACATATATCTTCCCTCTGTACAGAACCAGCTCTCCTTGCTTCTCCCACTCGTCCGACCTCAGTGTGCCCTCTCCCAATTCCCACATCGCCTTCACCACCTTTTCATCTAGGTCCTTTGCCCTGCTAATCCTCTCGAGGATAGTCGTCTCCTCACCCTCTACCAAGACCGCCTCTGCTGCATGGGCCTCAAACCAAGCAGGTTGGAGGAGGGTTAGCCCATCATTGTCGTCCTTGCCTTTCGGGTGGTCCACGTGGCGAGAGAGTGCGTCCGGCTTTCCCATGAGTTTCCCGGGGCAGTGGATGAGGGTGAAGTGGAATTGGGAGAGGAAAAGGGACCACCGCGCTTGGCGCCGGTTCAGCCATTGCACGGTGCGGAAGTATCCTAGGTTGCGGTGGTTGGTGTAGACCTCGACTTTCTCCTCTGCTCCTTGTAGGAAATGCCGCCACTCCTTGAGGGCGTGCACTATTGCGAGCATCTCCTTGTCATACACTTTGTAGTTATGCTCTACGTCCGTGAAACCCTTGGACATGAAGGCTATGGGGTGGAACTCTCCATCTGTCTGGAGCTGGGATAGTACTGCTCCGGTGGCGAAGTTAGAGGCGTCGCACTCGAGTTTGAAGCGACCTGTATCGGCGGGGAAGGTGAGGACCGCATCAGCAAACCTGGATGCGGAGGCCTGAGAGCTCATAGAGCTCATAGAGCTCTCAGAGCTTCAGTACTTTGAAATTGCAGGTCCCCTTCTCTGAGAGCTCCAAAAAGTAGTCAAAGCTCTGAAAAGTAGTCAAAGCTCTGAGAGCTCATAGAGCTATATTTGCACACAGGGGACTATTATCTATATGAGCTCCCTGAGTGTTTAATTTACCCGATATCAAAATTAAAATTTAAAAGCATTGACTATGGCATCATGTGACTAGCCATAGCCAACTCCCTACCATACAAGGGACTGAACAAACTCAGCTTCACTTTCAGCACCAATGTGGCACCAGACACCAAGGGTATGTAGCCCAATCAATATATAGACCAAATTTAGGGATATAAATGCAGTTAATCTGAAATTACTTAGGGAAAATGTGGGAAAATGAGTGGGGGGGAAATGGGGGGGAAAATGAGGGGAAAATTGAGGGGGAAAAATGGGGGAATTGGGGGGGAATTGGGAGGGGGAATGAGGGAAAAATTAAAGGGGGAAATGGGGGGAAAATGAGGGGGGAAATGGGGAAATTTGGAGGGGGGGATGAGGGGGGAAATGAGGGGGAAAATGAGGGGAAAATGGAGGGGGGAATGGGGGGGGGAATGGGGGAGAAATGGGGGGGAAATTGAGGTGGGAATTGGGGGGGGAATGAGGGGAAAATCGAAGGGGGGGATGGGGGGGAAATTGAGGGGGGGGATGAAGGGGAAAATGGGAGGAAAATGAGGGGGAACTGGGGGGTTTCTAAAAACTTGAAAAAAAGTCAGGGAAAATTAAGGAAAATTCAGAAAATGGGGGACTTTCTAAAAAAGGAGAATGTCCAAAAAATCAGGGGGAAAATCAGAAATTTTGGGATAAGTTAGGGAGAGATATTTCAGGAAATTAGGAATAATTGGAAAAAAAATTAATTCACTTTTTTGATAATTCAATGTGCATTGGAAAGTGCCAAAGTGGGGCAATGTAGCAATGTATGTTTCAGTGTTAGAAAAGTCTCCCACCATGTTTTGGTGAGTGTCAGGGCACAGCCCCTCACTATTCCACAATCCTGCATGCATGCAGACCCATGGGAAAGTTCTGGGTAAGTTACTCACCCAGAAACCATCACAGCCACAACTGT